ACGTAACACGGTACAAACCAGGTTATGCAGCACAACCCAACATTGCCGAAACAGCCACACAGGCCTTGCTGCCACTCGCCCATGACGAATTCTTGATGGTGGAAAACTCACGATAATCTGGTAAGAAACAACTCCAAATTACGCCTTTGGGCTTTCTGGGATAATTTTGATTTCAATCCCTGTTGTATGGATGCTACTATCGCTTGTGCAGATTGCAGAGTGACCGTAAGGTCAGAGCCAAATTCTGCTAAATAACCATCAAAAATCTGTCAGATTTATCAAAAATCTGCCAAATTCCCCAGAATTACTCGAAATACACTATAAACACTTAAAATCTCATGCAGATTGGAAGTATTGCCTTAATTAGGTTCAAATTACATTATAAACAATCTATAGTCACATAGAGATGTTATGAAATTATCGCGTAAATTTCGGGCAAAACGCGGATCCGGCCACCATGGCCACGACGAAGTCCGTTTCCCAGTGAACCTCACTCAGCACCTAGACTAGCCAACATGTGTCATTATGTAAGGGTTTGTTTAAAAGGATTGAAGCTTTTTTAAAACAAACGTACCATTTTTTGTTCAAATTTGCTGTTTTTCTGTCAAATAACCATTTTTGCAGAATTCTGTCAGAAATCGGCCAAAAAATACATTCTGTCAAATTTTCTGTCAAACTCGTTTTTTTTTACAAAAATTCTGTCAAAGTTAGCCGAAAATCGGCTAAAACGGTCACCCGGGCAGATTGGGCGTGTACGTACGGAAGACGGATAGTGCCACTCAATGTGTGTGAATATATTTTTTTGGTGCGTGTGAAAATATTTTTTTTGTACAACGGCCGCCACTTATTATGTGGCGGCCGCCAGATAATAAGTGGCGGCCGCCACATAAGTCGTCATAATAAGTGGTGGCCGCTGTACAAAAAATATTTTCACACGTACAAAAAAAATATATTCACACTTTTTTATGTGGCGGCCGCCACTTATTATTATCTGGCGGCCGCCACATAAAAAAGTGTGAATATATTTTTTTTGTACAGCGGCCGCCACTTATTATGACGACTTATGTGGCGGCCGCCACTTATTATCTGGCGGCCGCCACATAATAAGTGGCGGCCGCTGTACAAAAAAATATTTTCACACGCACCAAAAAAATAAATTCACACTCATTGAGTGGCACTATCCGTCTTCCGTATGTACGCACTCGACAGCCAGGCCAAAATATGGACGTTGGATTTTGAGCATGTTTTCGTTCACACGAGGTACCCGACTAGCTAGGTCGATATCCACTGACTATCAGGTGGATTAGGCCTACGTCAGTGAAGGGTTTTCCCTAATTGTAGTGCTGAATCTTTTTTAAAAAGATGTAGTCTATACCTTGTCCCTCCCAATATTAACATTTGAAATCATCCGACACAACACTCATACAATATTGGCGATAATTTTTACGACTGTTTATTACGGATGATTCCATTCAATTAAATTTTCTGATTCGCGAACAACTTGGAAATTACTTTCATACACGCCTTCAATGAGAATATTCAAATAATGTGCTTTATTCTCCGCTACACAAATCCTTGGAATTATGCGTAATGAACCAAAAACATTGTCTGTAGCACCAATGACCATAAATTCTAGATGAAAAAGATGAAAGCTAAAAAGGTATTACAATGTATATGTGCCTACATGTAACGTTTGACCTGACAAGTCAATCCATGCCTGAAGCCACATTCAAAAGTTTCACAATGAAAACACGATGCATTGATTTCACAGTTTTCCTGCTAAGCTAAGTGTTCTTTCAGCAAAATGAAAACAGATCAAATAGGGATGTGTGTGAATTGTTTTCGTTTTGCTGAAAGAACGCCCAGCTTTTACGTGATCCGTGGACAGAACTTTAAAACGATTGTTGTGTTTACAATTTCGTAACTTGAAAAGAACATGAGTGATTTGAATGATTCTTGTACTAAAAGAAAGCTTATGAATTGGGCTTTAATGTCCTAGATTTTGAAAGTGCTACATGTAGAAATTCACTAAAACAATGGTCCCAACATTTGGGTTTTGTTTTTTTCTCACCCTGTACACAGTGCAATCGCAAAGATTGGAATTATGATTAAACTGAAAGCGATAAGGGTTACAGCGACATGACCGCAAATTCGTGTCATAATAATAGTGCACGTATTTAGAGTCGGTGCCCATTTTTAGAAAATGGGCGTTAACGATTAATGAAGGGGCAAAGTTTTCATGACACGGTCTCATTCGACTGGAGATAACAGCTCTTTCAAAACTGCTTGCTTGGTTTTGTTTTTGTAAGCAGGCCTACGTCCAATACAAATTCTAACCACATTATATTAATATAAATCTTTACACCTACTCGGGGAATAGCCAAGTCATTTATATGCGAAGTAAATGCCGAGAAATCAATTAAATCACAATTAAGAAATCTATTTATTCAATCATTTGTTTTGCTCACTATAGGAAAGCCTTCCATTTATTCCCTGTTTCATTATGCAAACTTAGTGAAAATACAAAAGGTACTAGGACTAACTAGTGTATTTTTTAAAATCAAGACACTACAAACCTTACTAAAAGACCACATTTCGTCAGTCTAGATTAGTCTCAATCTGAGTGTATTTCTCAACTCAGTGCAATAAAACAATAGAAACAATTACGAAAGGTGTCATGTAAGCATCAATTATTAATTAAGCACGTCAACAAGAACTTTTACTATGAGAACATGCGAATTTTCTTAAATCAAATGTTGAAAACAATCGCTTTAATTTAGAAAGGTTTCACACTGCACAATATTCTGACTCGAAGGCTTAACGGCTCTGCTTTGGTTGTTGGTCTTTTTGCAAAGAAGGTATGCCATTTAAATGGAATGAATGACAAACGGCGTCACAACGATGTTTTAAAACAAGGGACAGCTGAGGATGTCCATACGTTGTTTATTTTTTGTAGTTTCTTTGATTTTAAGTCGACAAAAGTATAGCAACATTGTCACCAAGCGTTCAGTGCCTATCTAGTCTAGTTTTTGAAAAGATGGTGTTTCAAAAAAGGCCTTTATAATCAATAAGACTAAGAAATCTAAATCCATTAAAAACACCTTTATCTACGATTATTAAACATGCTGTGAAGTTCTAGTTTATAACCTGCAAAGCTGCAGTGTTACATTAACCCCGGAGATATTTATCAGACGAGTGGTTAATATAAATTTGATATTAAGGTGCGTTTTTCGAGATGTATTTCAGTAGCATTAAAAAAAACAATTTTGTTCAACCATTCTCCATCATGTAAAATATTTTATTTTTACACGACAAAAAACGTTAATAGCGATAAAAGCCTTTGAGGCTCTTGGATAAAAAAAATATAAGAAAAAGAAGAAACAATACTTGGTGTTTTTTTGGAATTCCCGTTTCCACACTCGACATAAGATGCTTAGGGGCCTGTGTTTAATTTGGTGTGTCATACTTTTCATACATCGGTTGCAATACTACAAGATTATATCAAGTAACACTTTTTTCATGTTCCAATTCATTGTTGTGATTTTCAGTTCAGTTATAACTGCTGACTAATATTACTACTGCTACTTCTACAAGTTCTACTGTTGTTGAGTGGTCGGGCACAACCCGACCACTCTCTGTTATTGTTCTGATAAATCTTAATTTTTTTCCGTACGGCACGTTTCCGCGGGTTTTCTCCTAAAACGGTATATGGTATGAACTTGTAACTTTCAACATAAATCGGCGCTCATCCCTAGTGGTGCATATTACTCTGACGTCATGATGACGTCATCGCAATTTACAAGCAATTTTCGTTGAGAAAATGATGATATTCTTTCACCTATAACTCTTGAACAAAACAATCAATTATTTTCCAACCTTGTAATCAGATAGACCATTAATAGATAAATATTTTTTTTGTCTTGTACATTAACTCGCTTGACGTTTACTTCCGGGCCTACCGGAAGGTCAAAGTTAGGTCAATTCAAAACGAAGACTTTAGCCTGAAATCAAAACATAGCAACAATTTTTCCAAACGGTTTACGGTATGATCATAAAACCTTGTGTAAACTTGTACCATGTAACGAAGATTATTTTGTAACGTCATCATGACGTCATCAGATATCAAATTACAAGCGATTTAAGGGCAACTTTTGACAAAATAGTTTGCGTTATATCTTTTAAACTAAATAGAGTATCGTGTTCGTTTTTTTCGTGAGGTTGTAGACTATGCCGTGAGAAACATTTCTTGTTCACGGACACAAAACCGCATGACCTTCACTTCCGGTGTTACCGGAAGTGCAATAAAAACCGAACATAATTCAAAAGCGGAAGCATTTTACTACACACATCAAATTAGGAAAGTGTTTAGTGAGGAATGTCAGACAAATAAAACAGTGTGGTGACGTCATCTTTCGAAAGGGCGCCCCCTAGCGGCAAACAAAATAGTGTATGCTTTCTTTAATTTGAAAACCATCCGTTCAAATTTTACCAAATTGCCCCTTGATATTCTTTGATTTACCACATATAACTTGGCAAGGTTTCAAATTCATGACGTCATCAGACCGGAAGTTACTTCTATGAGAATTTGAAAACGATCATATTTTAAATGTTATTCTATCAATTGATCCATGTCGATCTTAGCCCAAAAAAAGACATCCATTACAATGTTTACCTTTGCTTCCAAATACTGTGTCGTCATCAAACCGGAAGGTGGGTATTATGAATACATACGTTATTTTACTTTACAATGAACATCTCGTTCCGTTTTTGAATAATGACGTCATCAACCAAGAAATAACTTGCATGTGTACATAGAATGCTTATTGAAATTGATCACACCGTTAAATATGTATTTGTTTAATTGAAGATAATAATAATTGATTTTACTGGAAATTATATTATTTCGAAATCCTTTGTTCTTACATAAAAATATTCATAACTTAAAGGAAACATGCAGTGGAAATTCAGCTCGTCTTGTTTTCATGCACATTACTATGTGTTGCAACAATACATACAAGATCTTAATACTTGTTTCCATTGGAAGTGACAAGAAAGTGGTAGTTTTTCAATAATTAGTAAATCCTTTATCAATATATAAGAGGGCTCTATTTTGCTTTTGTCACGCAAGGTACTCCTTGCCAAAGGTGCGTTATGAACAGTACAAAAATTAGTCCTTCAAAATTACCTACAAAAAAACTCGGTGTGTGGTTATCTACGTTAAACTTTGTTAATTTGTTATGCAATGAAGTTGATAATTTTTAAAAGTAGAGAAATCCCAAAAGGTGACTATTGAGTTACATTAGTTAGGCCAACTTGACGCTGATGAACTATTCAGCTGAGCCGGCGTATCATCGAAAGGAGAACGTTGTTGGTTGGTTGTCGGTGGGAAGGCTAGCTTCAACGTTCGGAGGACATGACTTGTATTCTGTTATTGAGTGTTAAGCTTGTAGCAACTTTCCAAATGAAGGAAGGCATCTTGCTAATGTGGCAACAATCTGAGGTGGTTCCGATCCTTGATGACCACTAGCTGATAGAAGGATCATGTTTATTTGGTCTTGCGGAGCAGCAAGCACATGCACATTCTTGTCAATAATGGTTGTAAGACTTGGAGATTGGGTGGGGATCCATGCATCCCTATGACGGTGGGGTTGTCTCTAAGATAGCGACTCCTTTGACTCTTCGGTGAGTTATAGTGAGATGAAGTTGGGAAGTTTGTATAATCATTTTGGTGCGGTACGAGATTGATCAACGTCGCAGTGAATGAGGAGGGCATGCTGATCAATGTTAAACACGAGCCATAGACTGGCCTATTCCCAGGCCCGTAGAATCGCGCATCTCTGCCCCTGCCTGCACCAAAGCACACGGAGCACAGCAGAAGGTGACCAAGATGTCGTTGGTCTGATCTCCTTCGATACTACGCTGCTCTCGAATCTTGCCTCGGACCACGAAGAGCGTGTACCAATTGAGGAAAGGCACAAAGATGGACAGGCCACACAGCAGGCAGTCGTCACCCACAGCCTCGGCATTCTTACCGTGCACGTAGCACGGTACAAACCAGGTTATGCAGCACAACCCAACATTTCCGAAACAGCCACACAGGCCTTGCTGCCACTCGCCCATGACGAATTCTTGATGGTGGAAAACTCACGATAATCTGGTAAGAAACAACTCCAAATTACGCCTTTGGGCTTTCTGGGATAATTTTGATTTCAATCCCTGTTGTATGGATGCTACTATCGCTTGTGCAGATTGCAGAGTGACCGTAAGGTCAGAGCCAAATTCTGCTAAATAACCATCAAAAATCTGTCAGATTTATCAAAAATCTGCCAAATTCCCCAGAATTACTCGAAATACACTATAAACACTTAAAATCTCATGCAGATTGGAAGTATTGCCTTAATTAGGTTCAAATTACATTATAAACAATCTATAGTCACATAGAGATGTTATGAAATTATCGCGTAAATTTCGGGCAAAACGCGGATCCGGCCACCATGGCCACGACGAAGTCCGTTTCCCAGTGAACCTCACTCAGCACCTAGACTAGCCAACATGTGTCATTATGTAAGGGTTTGTTTAAAATGATTGAAGCTTTTTTAAAACAAACGTACCATTTTTTGTTCAAATTTGCTGTTTTTCTGTCAAATAACCATTTTTGCAGAATTCTGTCAGAAATCGGCCAAAAAATACATTCTGTCAAATTTTCTGTCAAACTCGTTTTTTTTTTACAAAAATTCTGTCAAAGTTAGCCGAGAATCGGCTAAAACGGTCACCCGGGCAGATTGGGCGTGTACGCACTCGACAGCCAGGCCAAAATATGGACGTTGGATTTTGAGCATGTTTTCGTTCACACGAGGTACCCGACTAGCTAGGTCGATATCCACTGACTATCAGGTGGATTAGGCCTACGTCAGTGAAGGGTTTTCCCTTCACTGACGTACGCCTAATTGTAGTGCTGAATCTTTTTTAAAAAGATGTAGTCTATACCTTGTCCCTCCCAATATTAACATTTGAAATCATCCGACACAACACTCATACAATATTGGCGATAATTTTTACGACTGTTTATTACGGATGATTTCATTCAATTAAATTTTCTGATTCGCGAACAACTTGGAAATTACTTTCATACACGCCTTCAATGAGAATATTCAAATAATGTGCTTTATTCTCCGCTACACAAATCCTTGGAATTATGCGTAATGAACCAAAAACATTGTCTGTAGCACCAATGACCATAAATTCTAGATGAAAAAGATGAAAGCTAAAAAGGTATTACAATGTATATGTGCCTACATGTAACGTTTGACCTGACAATCAATCCATGCCTGAAGCCACATTCAAAGGTTTCACAATGAAACACGATGCATTGTTTTCACAGTTTTCCTGTAAAGCATTGTACGCTTTAAATATCCTGTATAAAATGTCTAGTGCATGTTGTTACTGAAATGTTGAACGGAAAAACACAAATGAAACTGGTGACATGGTCATGTATACGTGAACAATCAGAGGTGATTGCCGAACAAAAAGTGCACAAGCCAAAATAAATATCCGTACAATAGCACATCTGAGAATCTGGATGCAGATAATTTGACGTACTTTATTAGCTGGCTTACTCTTATTTTCCTCCCAGATCGGAAGAATTTAAAAAACTAATATTGAACTACAGAAACTATTTACGTAAAATGTAACTCAAAATAGGGGAAACAGACAGAGCAAAGTTGTCCTGCCTCGCAAGCAAGCAAGCCCAACTTCAGCCAAGGGAATGGAGGTCATTTCAGCACATCTTGAACATAGCATTTTCCTTAAACACAACCTGATAGGAAGCAACTGCAGCACGTGTATGAGGTGGCATAGTCATCAATGTAAAACATAACCACTACTGCTATACGAGTCTACATCTGGGTATGAGTGAATAAACCCTCATTCACTGATGCTGTCTTTAGGCATGAAGAGATGACATTTTTAAGGTGGTTTTTTTTTTTCAATGCTATCAACTCTTGAAAAAACAAACATCACTTCAACAAAAACTACTGTATTCAAAGTAACCATCCTATTTTATCCACAAACCAATGTTATTTTATCATCATAACTTAGAGAAGCACAATTTTGCCTGGATGAAATTTCTTCGATAATCTCTTATTTAAATATCACTGCCGGTAAAAAAACAAACACTATTCATTTGTGGAGTCTATGAACAATGTTGAAATACTAAATACCTGTAATAGTGGCAGAGTAAAAAATCAGCTCATTTTTAGTGAACGTTTTATTTCCCAGTAGCATTTGTCAGGAAAGTGGGAACAATCCTGGAATCAACAAGTAGTTACAATACAACTTAGCTGCAGAACTGCTAGGATATTATTATGTAAAGGAAGATAAAGTATATGTTCATTTGCAATCAACCTACTGTAAGTCAATAAAAGTAAAACATCAATATTTGAGAAAACAATAAAGTATTTATACATAAAACACAATCGTTTACAACTGTTTCATTTCTGGCTTCATAATATAATAGTGCAGCATTGCCATTGGTAAATTAAAACAATAAAAAGATTCTGCTTTGGTCTTTAGAATTGATATGATATTTACAATAATTTCTTCAGTGTTAACATTACTTGCATTGCTCTTTCTGTGCGCAATGCCCGCCCTACCAATGCTATGCAGCCTGTCATTGGCAGGGGCATATGGCAAATGTTTAAATTCAGCTATAATTACCCATTTCGTACAGTGACAAGTACCTAATGCAACAAACTGACAAATTATTTTATACAATCCTTGATTGTCTTGTTATACCACTTAAGTATCTTGTGGTTCTTATATGCAATATAGAGCCCAAACAGAACTCAAATTTTTTGGGGGAAAGGGCTTTTTGGGGACGGTTTTTCATTATGATCTTGAGAGAATAAGAACTCAACAGTATTTCTTTAGTAAACCTTTTAATATCTTTGCATACATTTGCGCATGTTCCCTGGCTACAGAGCACATCAATTCGAGAGGCAGTCAATCTAAAGCTTGTAGTGGAAAGCTCTGTGAGCAGTAAGCTAGGTACACCTGTCACCACAGGTTCAATTTCTGCTCTAAAGTTTCTCCCGAAAAAAAAACTTTTCGAGTTTATGTCTTTGAAAAAAAAGTCTGCTCTATTTCAGATCAAACGCCAAATGTTTGTTGACTTAAAATAATGCACCGAATGACAGTAGACTTCTGTCATCATCAAAGAGATGCCGACACCATGGACCATAATAGCGGTAGACATTCTGGGTCTGGTTTTTTTTTTTTTTTTTTGCACTAGCAAACTATTGCCTTGAGCACAGCAAGGTGGGTGTTGACAACAACTTAAGTGAATCAATTTAATGGACCGATTCATGTGAGCTCCGCCCCATGGCATTTGGACCAATCACAGCCATGATTAATTCCCAACATGCACACAAGTCTGGCATACATGTGTACGACATGCACAGCTGGAGCATGCATTGGAGAGGCGCACATGCCCATGTGTGCAGTGGGCGGGGCTTAATGTATTGTGCTAGTGTTTGTTGCTAAGAGAACACAGTTACAGAACCCTCCTGACCCTAAGTTTGTCCTGCCAAACAAATTTCCATTTAGCCATCAAAAAAGCTCTCAGTAACAAGCGTTAACTCTCCTGCAATTTGCAATAAGCTTTCTCCACTAATTTTTCACTCCTACATACTTTTGCTCTCTAACAACAAAATAATAAAAAAAGGAAGATTCTGTAAAAACCAAGGCACCAACTTACTTTTAAAAAGCAAGCAGCAGAAGATATGTTTAACAATCTCATCTGATAAATGCATAAAATAAATTTTAAAATCTTAATGGATAGATCATTTACTTACACATGAAAACACAGACAGACCTACCTTTTTACTTTCCCGTGGTACCAAAGCATTAATGTATAATTCACTTTCACAAGTACAATAACTCTTTAGTATTGTGGCATTGTTTGGAGTAGACTCTACCCCTTCTTTAACTGTGATGCTCATGTTGAAAGCAATCAGTAGTGTTGAAAGTTATCAGTTGTACCCAGACAATTAAGATTCTTTACATGTATACAATCCATTACCACAAGTGTTACACTGCATGCACTGAACAAAACCGATAATTATCACTAAATTTGGCTAGTTTTGTTCTTGTAATTGTGAAAACTAGGTAAACATTCGACCCCCCCCCTCCCATCTTCATCAAACAAAATCTTTGCAACAGTGTTTCGCTATAGTGCTAATGATATCGCAATACACTTCAAATATTTGTCTATACTTTTCTCCAACTATCAAACTCTCATTAAATACTTCAGTTTCATATTTCACTTCTTCTTTACAATGATTGCTTCAAATGATGTAGCGCCTTGAGCACCAGTCCTGGTGGATACGTGCGCTTTATAAATATCCACTATTATTATTATTAAATATCATATATTCATAGTTTATTTCCAGTTGTAGAATTATTTCGTTTTCTGTACAATATATTTGGTTTCAAAGTTTTACACACACACACACACACACACATATGTCCAATCAACATCATCTATGGCAGTGAATGCTTGTCTAGTGTCCTGTGCCAATGAGCCTTTTTGAGTTATCGTGACACTATAGGCGGTCGCTTTTTGGTTTGGGTAACTACAAAAGACTTGACCCAAATCAAACAAGGCCCTCCTAGTGTGTCTGCCATATCTCAACTAGGCCAATACTTGTACATACAAGTCTGTCTACAGCCATCAAGCTCATGGCTCATCAAGCCGGCATGTTACAACAGGGTCCATGGCATGATGCAACTGGGTGTATTTCAATTCCCATGACTGGACTACCCATCCATCACAAGTGAAACACCCCCCCCCCCCAGCTAATGCCAGAACCCATTCCAAGTCTTGGTTAAGAGAGGCAAGTGGAGTTAAAGTGGCTTGCCCAAGGACACAGCATATGGCCAACAGGAGGATTTGAATCCCTTACTCTCTGACCACGAGTCACAAAGCCACACCAGCCCCATCACTTGAACACATACACCCAGATGGATTTCGTCTATCAAGACATTTTACAAGAGAATTTGTTTTTGTAACAGCAAGATTAATTGATTAATTAAAAACGTCTTTTATGCTGACCTTTGCTTGTTTTAAACACAAACTAATAACATGTGTTTGGATACCAAACACTCCCTCACTGCTGCGATTGAACTTGGCATGGTTTGAATTTCCACCACAATCCCAACAAGCAACACTCCAGATAAATATACGTATTGTTCAATGGTCTTGGCACAGGACCTAGACTCAGACTTAGTTTCATATCATCAGCTCTTTCATGAGCCAGGCAGTACATCAGCTTCCTACAAACCCTGCTCATGACTCCGACACTAGAGGGCGGCCTTTGCATGTAGGTACAGACACCCACACCATGCACCAGCAACCTCCCGTGACCTTTGCTCATTTCTTGTCCTTCGCTGTCAGTGATTTGACAAGTTCATCATCGTCCGGTAGACTGTGGATTGGTTCCCTCCAGAACGTAAAGGAGCTGTAATCATGAGGGGAGACGAATGCCATGGTTTGCTGACGATGGAGCGAGGGAAAGACATGCTCCACTAGGGCCTGCATCTTGGGGTACCTGATCAGAACAATGACCAAAAACATTTCAGAAAATGAATATTGATGTGAAATGACAAATATAAATTTGAGTTTTAGAAGTCTTCAATGGTGTAGTAATATTGCTAGCTTATTGATCTGCCCGTCATCTCGTTTCTCTCCGTCCACGACACACTGCCAGCGTTGACAGTGATATTCAGTGCAAGTGAGCTTTGTAATTGCTGCCCGTCATCTCGTTTCTCTCCGTCCACGACACACTGCCAGCGTTGACAGTGATATTCAGTGCAAGTGAGCTTTGTAATTGCTGCCCGTCATCTCGTTTCTCTCCGTCCACGACACACTGCCAGCGTTGACAGTGATATTCAGTGCAAGTGAGCTTTGTAATTGCTGCCCGTCATCTCGTTTCTCTCCGTCCACGACACACTGCCAGCGTTGACATTGATATTCAGTGCAAGTGAGCTTTGTAATTGCTGCCCGCCATCTCGTTTCTCTCCGTCCACGACACACTGCCAGCGTTGACAGTGATATTCAGTGCAAGTGAGCTTTGTAATTGCTGCCCGTCATCTCGTTTCTCTCCGTCCACGACACACTGCCAGCGTTGACAGTGATATTCAGTGCAAGTGAGCTTTGTAATTGCTGCCCGTCATCTCGTTTCTCTCCGTCCACGACACACTGCCAGCGTTGACAGTGATATTCAATGCAAGTGAGCTTTGTGCATTATTGCATGTCATGCAATAGCGCCCTCTGTTGGTCAATGCCATTTACTGCTTTGACGCACTGAACAATGCAACACAATTTACCATTCATTTAGGAATACTATGATATGGATTGTTTTGGTCAATGAAGTCATCTAAGACATTCTTTCCACCAGGACAGCTTCAAGTAATGTCAACAACTACATTAACTAATAGTTGCAATAAACATCAGCAAGAGTTTACCACTTAAGCTATCTTAAGCACTATGGCCCATTTTTCTCCACATTTTGACTAGCACAAAAGTATTTTTGCTTGGAACTATCCCGAATTTGTGAAAGTCCAATATCAGGTAGTTAATGTATGACACATTCACATAGCCAGTGTAGGTTTACTTACGAGGATTGGAAGGTATAGGTGTGATCGTGGGTGACTTTCCCCTGTGAATTGATGGTGAAGATCCTGGATACTGGAATGCCTACTGCCCTATAGGCCCAAGTGTCCTGTCAAAAACACACACACAGAACTCCGTATCAGAATTTGTGGTCCTATCATTTCAGTTTCCAAGTTCCAATCACAGTGACTTTCAAACTCTGCAATACAATCATTAAACCTTTCAAGCTTGGCAGTGGGTTCATTTTGAATTTTAGTCAGGGTACACTCAGACAGAATAGTGTAAATTTAACAAATTTTAATTTTTCAAAAATCATATTTGTAAACATTCAACTTATATCTGTGTGATGTAAATATGCTACTCAAAAGTTCAGAATATAATGGAAAGTATAAACTTTGACTGATTTCAATGTATAATTGCAGGAAAGATGATGGTGTGACTTGCTCAAATGTGATTTCAAATGGAGCATTTGACATTGCTACTAAGGCCAAAAAAAAAGTCTCCGGTTTCTGGTATGGAGCTTGCCCAAAAAGTGGTGCGGCGACGCGACTTTTTTTCCTTTTTTTTTTACCTGATTTTTTTGCTTCAAATGTCGGCTGATGACTGCAAATGGTGCCCGACTAAACTTAGTGCAAATATATGGGAGTCCAGAGAGGCCACATCAAGCTTATTCTCGACCATAACCCAACCTAAAAACACGTTAAAATTGTGCAGCAGCAGGATTCCAGTCAAACCAGTGAGTTTGGCGGTTTTGAAACATCATCTTTCATTGAAAAAAAAACTTTTTCATTTTGCCGACGCGCATGGCTACGGCGACGCGCGCGCATACCAGAAACTTTTTTTTTTTGGCCTAATAATCAGAAGTGTGATAAATCACTATAATCAGTTGATTTCAGTTACAGAAATCACTGTAGATGATTTCGTCACTGGACTGGACCCTGCAATCCAGCGGGATTGTAGATGGTGGAGTGTTGGTGAACTATTCAGAGAGTCTAATCCTGTCTCAGTCAAATCTTTGTTCACTCAAGCAAAAATTCATTTGACTGTTTCCTGTAGTAATCTTTGAAGGTAGGTTGTAGATGTAAAACCAAAGATACGTACATTGATTCTGTTACCGAAGCCAGCATAGAAGGGGTTGCAGGGCGTGCTATTCATGCTGGATGGGAATAATGATTGAATGTCCTTCAGACATCGGATCTTAAACTCTTCAGGCTTCTTGATAATCACCTCCCTGCAAAATGGAAGAGCCAAGAAATCAGAGTTGTAATGACTCAAGTCAGTGACTCGACTCGAGTCCAACTCGAGTCACAATTTTTGGTGACTCGACTTGACTCGAGTCCTTAAGGGTAAATGACTCGACTCGACTCGAGTCACTGCGAGCAAATGACTCGACTCGACTCGAGTCCCTCATCAGAAGACTCAACTTGACTCGAGCGAAGGCTAATAAGACTCGAGTCCCAAAAATAAAAGCGCAACTTTGCGGAAAGTATTTGCAATGACTTACGGTGCAAAATTTATGCTCACTTTACTTTGCGAATAGCAGTCATGTACAAATATACAACGTGTCACAGACTCCCATCTCATGGTTCTAGAACGCACAAAATACTATCCAGGAACCAGATTTTTAAACACATTTTCTAATTCGCTGTTTCATCATTGGTTTTGGGCGATTTCTTATAAAGCTCTTGGATTCGAACGCTGGCTAAACTTATGGCCTCCTTTTATAAATTTTGGTATATAGTGATCAAATAATCGGGACTCGAATTGACTTGAGCTAAATATTTGACTCGACTCGACTCGACCTTTTGACCTAATGACTCGACTCGACTTGAGTCACTTCTTTAAAATGACTCGACTCGAGTCACTTCTTTAAAATGACTCGACTCGACTCGAGTCACAAAAATCAGTGACTCGTTACAACTCTGCAAGAAATACACAACAGTTTAACAATCCTACTTGACAAACAACTGAAGCATATAGATTGGGTTATTATGAAGGGCGCAGTGCTCTACACCATCAATACATGCGACTTCATTTAAAGTCTCTAACTTGGCCAAGTGTCGATCACTGAAACAAAAGCACAACTAACATTTCAAATGTACATAATTTCCAAGAATGGCCTCTTCCTCTTTGGAAACACTGTAACCAGTAATCCTGTATACATTTGAATAAGTTTCCAAGTGCTACATAGACCTTAGATGTAACGGTGTTGTACTGTGTATACTGAGTTGCATTGTAAGAATAAGGCAGGAACTATTCAGTGTTGCTGACTAGAGTATGAATTATGTACATGTTGTGATTTCTTTTAAACCATGACTTTTTTTGTTTGATGGAATTTTGAGTCAAGGAGATATTAACTTTAAATTTCGGGTTTTGCCCTAGTCGGTGTATGTTACAAGCACTGTTCTTTTTCTACAAGGCTTGTGATTTTCCATTGCTTATACGTCAGTGAAGAGAAAAATCCAATATTAAGTTTCAAATCATGTTTACATATAAATGGCTATTTGCTGACATCCATGTCTAACATAAAACATGGACCAGAAGTTGAATTTGTCAGTTAAATTCATTTATTTATAACGAGGGCTTAAAAACCCTTAAAATGTTATAGGTGGTCTCAATTTTGTAGATGGAGCTAAAATATAAAAAGTGGTGAACCAAACAATCATTCTACATATTCCCACACAGTTCCAACAATGGTAAACACAGTGTAATGACCTAACCCCTAAGGGCTATTAGATTTCATGAGGCAAAGTAGTTTGCTAGAAATTGAATATTCGCTAAGACTCCAAGCCCATTGATCAGGGGTAACACATTTCATATGAAGCCATCTCACCTATGGAATGCCCGTATGAGTGAGCTAGGATTGAGCAGCAGTGGTCCATCCGGCAGTGCAAATTTATCCTGACAGACGCTTTTGAGAAAGCCTTTGGTATGCCTAGCCTGGCCAATGGCCCTGGAGGATAGGTATAGGACAACGTAACCATTCTTCTGGATTTGAGAGAAGAGTTGAGCGACTCCACCATGGGTCCAATCCTTGCCGAGGACGGGTAAGATCTGGCCAAAGACATCAGACCTGGATGCAGGAGGAAATTGATGAAACAATGTTCAAAGTGATATCAGGTGATAAAGGGAAGGAAAACTATTGAGGAACGGGCACAATATGTTATGGGTTAGCTTTCCTTATTTTGATTCATAATTAACCAGTTTATAACTCAGCAAAGTTGCTCGGTGCAACATTTATTTCATGGGGCTGCTAAATCAGCAGAAAACTAGTCAATAGTCAATAGCAGTATGCCTTTTATGAAATCTAGACAAGGTTTTTTTTTTGGGGGGGGGGTTAAGAAAACAATAGCTTAAAAAAGACAAGTCAGGCCAGTTAAAGCTTGTCCCCAACTACTTGGCCTAAGGGGTCTGAGTGGTCATTCAAGTGATCGTTTTGGGTCAAGGTGTCAGTCAGTCAGTTAGTGACATAGGTACAAAGGGGATTGTTAGCTGCCCCCCTATGCCCAACAAAAAAGCTTTATATCTTCATGAAATGTGCCCCCAAGTGGAAGAAATCATGTCAATTTGGAGTTGCTACATGTCACATTTGAGTTACTACATGTTACATTTGAGTGGCTTCATGTCACATTTGAGTTGCTACATGTTACACTTGAGTTGCTACTTGCAATTGTCACACTTGAGTTGCTACATGTCACACTTGAGTTGCCAGATGTCACATTTGAGTTGCTACATGTCACATTTGAGTTGCTACAGTCACATTTGAGTTGCTACATGTCACATTTGAGTTGCTACATGTTACATTTGAGTTGCCAGATGTCACATTTGAGTTGCTACATGTCACATTTGAGTTGCTACATGTTACATTTGAGTTGCTACTTGCAATTGTCACATTTGAGTTGCTACTTCCACATTTGAGTTGCTACATGTTACATTTGAGTTGCTACATGTCACATTTGAGTTGCTACATGTCACATTTGAGTTGCTACATGTCACATTTGAGTTGCTACATGTTACATTTGAGTTGCTACTTGCAATTGTCACACTTGAGTTGCTACATGTCACATTTGAGTTGCTACTTGCACATTTGGGTTGCTACACGTTACATTTGAGTTGCTCAGCAAAATAGTGTAAGTGAAAGATGACAGCAATAATATCAATGTGAGAACTGGTTGTTCATACCTTGTGATGGTTCCATCAATGTCGGAGATGATGATCTTGCTGTCGTGTTTCCAGAGATATATAGTAGATTCACACGATGTTGTGCCTTGATACCTGGTTGTTACTGAGTACTTGATAACGTTTGGACCAGGCTTCAAATTCAACTTCGCCTGTGAAAAGCAGGCCAAAATTGTGTAAAAATCAATTGAATAAGGCTGAAGACTGGTGTTGTTATGTTGGTTTTGAGGGGTGCTGTCTTCAGAAATGACTGATTGTAGATTTGAATCTACTGTATCCTGAGCATGATGGATTACGACTTAGGTTCTATTGTGACAATATGGCAGCATCGAGCCCTATACTGCCCAGGGAGCAGAGATGGTCTTTGGAATGTCTCATTGGCCCAATGAGCAGGGGTAATAATACTATTGGACCGCAACATAAGAAACTGTATGGTTGATATGTGTACTATACAAGTCCATATTATTCTTGTTATTATTACTAACTTGATGAGATCCAACTCACCAGCTGGTCGGATGACAGCCTGATGGACTTCTTGTAGATGTTACTAGGAGAGCCAGAGATTGTCTGATGGTCTGGTTCTGCAGCTTTCTCACTGGATTCAGTCTCGTCACTCCAATACACAGTGTCATCTCGATGCCTGTAGAATAAGACGGTAGACTTGTAAGTCAAGAATCATAACAGACTAACTGAGACAGAATTAGAATTGACTGCAGCTCAGCAAAACAAACCTTCTTGGTCTTGACTCAGTTTTTTAATTACTTAAGACTTAAACTATACTTCACTGGTTGATCATATAACGAAAGAACATAATAAACGATATAAATATGTGTAAAAATTCAATGTTACTCGAAAAGAAACTGCAAAACAATCTTTTTTTAAGCTAGTTTAATCTCATAAGACATTACTCTTTAAAGGGCCCATGCAATATAGTTTTTTTTAATGCTATCCTTGAAAATGAACCTTTGTGTCCCATTTAACCTCATTTTCAATTTTCGTTTTGCCATTTTGAAGGGTATTTTGGTGTTTTGTGGGTTTTTATGCCAATGCCAATTTCCATATTCATGAGCAAAACTGTGATGTCATTCTGGGCAGAAACCTCAATGTTACAGCTATTTCAGCACTAAAAGTTGCTAGAATTTTGGATATTTTGCTGTGTTAAGTGCGCATGGTGTTTTCTTTATTATTCTTTGTTGTGTAAGTACATGGCAGTGAGTAAGCCTTTCTCACAAATGTTTTCATTGAGCAAATTTTGGCTTCACAATTTGAACAGAAAACCCCTAAACTGAACCGCTTTTTCCTCAAATGACATCACGGCAACAGTGCTCTCAGTTGTCAAGAAAAGCATGGGAATTTTAAAATGTTTCAAGAAGTGCACTTTTTAATGAAATGAACCAATAAGGGATGTCAAATAGTTTTCACACATTTAAGAGGAGTAGAAAGTTGCACAAAATGTGAATCTAAGGACAATTCACTGCATGGACCCTTTAAAAAAACGTCAACTGTACAATTATATATTTTCATATATCACTTATTTGACAGGGAAAGTGTTCCAGTTTAGATTCAAAATTCACTCTCAACTTGCAAGTTTTTGCTACATTGTTTCAAATGTAAATGTAGCAGCATTTTGAATTTAGAAGGATGATTCACCAGGCCTACTGTCACATCGTAACTGCCTCTGTGTTAGTGACTGCTGACATGGTTCAGGCTTAGCCCTAGACTGGCCATGTCATACCCACCTTGATTCCTCTCTATCTTGGGCCACTTCACCGCTGGCTTCACCGTTAGACTCAGACCCCTGTATTTAGAAATATGGACGATGATCAGTAGAAGTAATTAACAGGGTGAAACATCAAGGGGAGTAGTACACAATATCTCCCAACTAAGTCCAGGATAGTAGTCCAAATAATCGGGCAGACGACTATCAAATGTAATTGAGCAAAAGGTCATATCAAAATATCTGGGATAAGTTGCGGGTACGTTTATCTACAACAGACCCATTGAATCCGGCACTAGCGGCAGGATTTTGAACAACATCCACAGAATCGTCCTGCCATGAAGTTCTCAGCATTGTTTACAGCAGATTGGCTTGGCTGCCAATTCCATAAAGTCTGCACTTTGTGCTGGTCCCAGAGGGTCAGCCTAGTGTCCTCTTTGAACCTGACTGACTGACTGTCACTTGTGAGTCAAGCAGTGCTATTGTATAGGATTAACCCGCAGTGTCAACGAATGAATGAGCTAAATCAGGCTCATTGCTCAGGCCACATGCATGAAAAGACTTCCAGTACAGTGAACAGTCATTCTGAATCAATTGAATAGAACTATGTGCACTCTAGGACCACCCTCACTGGGCTTGCCTTGTCTTAACTTGACAGCTTGGATGTAAGTGATTACCAGGTTAAGAGAGAAGATTTAAACAGAACCATTATGTTTTCTAAAGGTATGCACTCTATTTTTCAGCAAAACTGTGTTGAACTGTGTTTTATCCCACTTATCTGATTAGACTGTGGAGGTATCTATGGGCCCCTTCAACGGCTAGAAAAGGCGAGTTGGGGGAGACCTCGACTAGTCCCCGGTGCATCAATTGCGTATTTCGAATGATCCAAAGTTATTGGGAGCGAGGATTAGTCTAGGAGACCATCGCAAGTTAAATTCGAACGTATTCGCGTGCCAACAACGCCTGATGCTCATGCGAAGACACTGTGGCTAATAGCTTTGACACATTCAGGAAGTTGTGCGTACTTCACGTGGGAACCAGTACAGTACAGTACACACACGCTGTGTGTCCCATCCACGGGGCTCTCAAAAGTGGTAAAAACACGCCCTCTTTTGTTGGCGCACGGACCTTATAGACAGAATGAAGTCACAGTTCATGTGAAGCATTCCATGTGAAGCATCGTAATAAAAATTAAGACCACTTTTTCTTGACCACTTGCTGTGTCCTTCTGGGCCAGAGATAACTGAAGCATTTGTTTGTGTGTCTCACCTTTTTGGTTGGTGTTGTCGGTGGTTTGGCAGGGCCCCATAGCCAGGAGGTCAGGCTACGCTTCCCCTTGGGAACTTGGTCTTTCATGAGTGTCGTCACAACAGGCTAAAAAAAAGAGACAATTATTAACATCCTTATCCTTATTGATGGGCTTAATCACAAATAATTGCAAAGCCAAGAATGCTATGAAATAATTTCAAATGTGTGTCAGAATTTAGCCAAAGAACACCTAAAAATTACATTATGCTAATAACTGACAATTAAAAACATTCATTTTTGCAAATTTCAGTGGGAGGACAGAAGCTTAGTGAAGCAGGTAAAAAGATACGCATGAGGCACCTAGTAGAAAATAGTTATGGAAATGTTTTCCGGTATTAACTGCCTTCCCAAAAAACTTTGACATGACATGTAGCAGCCGTGTTGTTGCGAATGCCTAAGCGTCGCCGTTGTTAAACAAAGTTAATCCAATTACGCACTTGGACGCTACTATCAGAGCAGTGAAATTCATGCACCCCAAAAAAACATGGCCTTCTGTACGTTGTGTTTCTCAGAAAATATGCTCAGTATGATTGAAATGGTAAATTATAACGGAAGAAGAAATTCTAAACTTCATGTCAGCGAAAAAAATTGGCGTCATCGATGCCAAAACGTCAATTCTGGTTACTGGTAAAGCTGACCTTCAAGTCTGGAAGAAATCATTCGAAAACGTCCCCAAATCTATGTATTTATCTCAATTTCTAGGAATCCCCTCAAGTTGTTATTTCACGAGTAGTTGAACACTTATATCATCTAAGTATATTCCGACTTTCAGCTTAATCTGTTGTTGCAAACACTTGTGTTACACTTGCACTAAATCCAAGGTAAATTTCGAAGAGGATTTTTTGCCAACCAAATTAACTCACTTGCATGGTTTCCAATTTCAATGAAAAGTACTGAACATATCAAAACGATTTTTAGCACATATTTGGATCATTATAGGGGAAACAAACCCTGAAAGTTGAACATGTTGAATGAAGATACGGTCTTCCAAACGGGAGAAATTAATTTTTAAAGATTTCGCCCGCCTGGGTGAACATGTCTGTGTGAGGAGATTTAAATGTTCCAAAGGAAAGTTCTCATATCGATATGTGTAGTATTTTAAGCTACGCAGAAATATCTATCATATCTTTTTCCTGAAAATATTCTCCCCTCCTAAAAATGGTAGTTTATGCCTGTCTCTGTACCTCAGGGAGGGGTCTACGGAATGCAAGGTAGGAGATGATGACAGGTCCTGCTGCTTGCCAATTGTAGTACTTGGCATCGAGTCTGACTACAAGGTTAGGGTTGGAGAGAAGTCCTGGAGACTTGCAGAACTCATCATACGTCACTAGGTGCTTCATAAAGACATCTGAAAAGAATTTTTATTTCAAAACAAGCTTGATACGAGCTTGATAAACACTTTCAAGATTGATCAGTACTTATTGTATTTTTGTTTGTTGGGGGTCATAGTGCCAAAACTTAGCTCTTAGCAATGACTAACATTTATGGTCCCTAGACTCTCCTTTATTTCCCCAACCTTGCCCAAAAAGTTTTAATGGGCTCCATGCGCAAACAGAGAGGGCATTTATTTACCACATTCCAGAGCCCAGTGGACGGCACACACTGCGTGTGCGTACTGGTTTGCGCGCGTATGGCGCAAAGTATGCACGACTTATTTTATTCTGAATGTACACAAAGCCATAGCATCTTCGTGTGAGTGTCAGGCGTCGTCGGCAATGCCTTCAAATGTCACTGAAAGGGGGTACTTGTGCAGGGAGCCCATAGATACCTGTGCCTTCCTGGTGTCTATTTATGTTGTGTAGTAATCATGGTAAGTGTCCCTTAACACAATGTGTTAAGTGTCTGAATATTTATGGGATGGAGTAAATGTCAATATTGGAGGAAAGAGGTGCTTTTTTGGACAAGCAAAATCAAAGCCCTATACCCAAACCTCATGAGTTGTTGTCTCTACTCTCTACTCACCGTGGGGTACACTGTCATCTTCCTCTTTCAGCCCACCACAGAGTGACATCTGAAGTTCCATGGAAGACTCACTGAAATAGAATCCAATCAAAGGTGGTGAGTAGGGTAACAATCTACATCAGAATCCCTGACCCTTGCAACTTCCTCAACTAAGACTCTACCTAAATTTGCTTTAACATCATGTAAGGCTGTATCTGAACTGAATGGTTATGACTTTTGTCAAGTTTAAAGGCATGTAGAAATATTGGTAATTACCCAGAAACGAAACTACTGATTTAACGAGGAAAAACCTTGTTCAAAGTGACAAAGGATTGGTATCATATACCCTGTGAAATTATTCTGCTTGAAATGGTATCGTTAGGAAGAAAACAATCAATGACTTTTAACTCTCATTCATAAATACCTCAGACAGTTTAGCCATTCCTATTGGTCAAGAGCCCGTCACGTGGCCGGTATTAAGCGGATGATAAAGACATGGCTAGCTGGTCTTAAACACTTTTCCAGTGTCACAATAAAATGTGGACTCCTAAAAATCCAGTGCCTCTTATCGTTTCATTGGTTGAACATTCACAATCCTCACGTAGGCATGCGCAACACTACCAGGGAGTTAGAATTTTATAGTTCTAAATTCAAAACGCAACGCGCCAGGTGCGTTCTGCGTGACATCGCGCAGAACATGTTACGCGCGCGTCAATCTCCATAAAAGGGTTGTTTACATCTTACTCGCCAGCTGAACACTCCATTATTTTGCAAGAGGGATGTTTCAAAAAGCATAAAGTGAATTTGTTGAACAAAATCGGGATGTTTTGAACGAATTATAGATTTTTTTTTACCGAAAAGGTATTTATGAATGGGAATAAATATGTACTCCGTCGGTATTTATCACTCTGTTTAATACCACTTAGAGTCTGGGTGCTGATAATTACCCTCGCCTCCGGCTCGGGTAATTATCAGCACCCAGACTCTAAGTGGTATTAAACAGAGTGATAAAAACCTCCGGAGCACACATTTATTCCCTTAATAACGCCCCTTGATGTTACCACTAACACATAAATTCCAAAACTCTCACAGTTACCTGCTATCATCCTGGTAAGCCACACCTCCAGACACCTCCTCCACTGTGTTAGGAGACTGTGGAAGGGATGACCCAAGATCAGAAGACTTGTCCTCATCACGGAGTTCATCTATCCTATTGGAACGCTCAGCCCTGACCAAAAAAACCCACGTTTCAATTAGACAGTTAATGAGCAGATAGCCTCTTTTAAGTTTTGCGTTCAGAACTGAAACAGTCTGCGTCACACAAAACTTAACTGAAACAGCGCTGACCATTTGCAAGAGATGGAAGGTCAGGACACTCTCTCCAAAAATTTAGGTTCAAACACTTACATGTACGAGGTGGTGGTTTAAAAAGTACAAGTAAATTTTCTCTCTAAAAAGGGACTGTGGGTGCAGTGATATAAAACAACTACTGATGACTGAGACTGTTACTTTGTGGTACAGTAAAACTAGCCTTCCTCAATGATTCATGAAGCTGTCTACTGTCCCTCTGTTTCGCCTCTATAAAAAAAACAGGCTACATGGATCACCTTGGGAGGCTAGTTTACTAAAAATGTGTATACTGTTATTGTTGAGTATGCAACTACACAATTGACCTATCAGGGGTTAGAATCGTGTCAACACAGCTTGTGAAATATTGTCCACTTACATGATATACAAATGGACGCGGAACGCGCACAATCTGAGACAAAGAAAATTTAGTGTACAAAAACTCTGTAGGGTTGTCTAACTTGCAAACGGCGATAGGTCGATTCTTGAGAATTACAGAAGAGTTCTTCACCTTTCTGGGAAGTACAGAGCATAGACTTCAGGATCAATCTCCTCAGATGCTAGGTCTTGCAAGTACATGCCCTGCTCTACACCCTGACTATGTTGAATGTTCCTGAAGACATTAAATTTACTCCAGACTGACTTCTTATCATCGGTCTTCTGTTGGCTCTCGAGATCAGTGGACTCCCCTTCAGCTACCGTTCCTTCCTCCTTCTCAGATTTGTCTTCATTACCTTTCAAGTTTCGCAATGACTGTGTGAAAGGATTAGAAATATTAAGCATTATATCTGACCTATCGTTACTCAAAGCTGTGCCATACAATATTCCCCGAGTAACTATGACTCACTGCCACACCAGTACATACATGTAGCCTTACATTGCTGGCATTTCATCTTTTGCATTGTTGTTGTTTTGGCTTTTCATTCCAAGGCACAGTTTTGCGGAATACACTCGGCAACTACTGGGCAAATTTACATACTGCACTTGTACACCTCTGATTTCAGCATAATGCATGACTTTTGATCTTCCCACGAAAATTCCCTACTTTAATACTTGGGAAGCCATAAGTTTCTTTATACATGCCTGTAGACTACAAGTTCGGTTCCATGACATGCATGAGGCTTAATGCTAGAGTTGTGAAACAAACGGGTATTGTATGTTCAGTGCTTTCCAAGAGCTAATTGTGAAAACTTGACAAGCTTGGGTGGGAGGAAACAGTGCCTATAGTATTACATTGGAAAGGGCAACAGGCATAACCCAATCCCAAAATATGTCTTGAATTACTCTTCATAACCCACTGGTACTTTAACATGTCTACATGCATGGATGCAACCTAGTGCCCACAAGAAAGTTCTGTTCACCTACCGTTTGGAAATCAAATCTATGGGCTGCTTCTCAGCATACATTATGAAATCTTTTTCAATCTAAATCCATCTCTTCTACATTCTTGATTAAACCCACTCAAACCTGATGAGTTAAAATTGTCACAACAAACTATGTGACCAAAAACGACTTTGACTTTATACACAGCAGAGGCAATGTGTTAGTATCAAAGCAGAAGTTACTGTGCAGCACAGAAAACATGCAGAATGCAAATAGCAGAAAGTGGTTCAAGAAAAAAACACTGTTATCATAAACTCTAAACACGAGAACACACACTAAAGCTTAGAATTCACAATTAGTCAAACATCAATGGTAAATGACCAACAGGGTAAAGGATAACACTATAAATCACATTTAAGAATAAACAATACAAATTGAAAAAATGGAGATTCACGAAGACATGACTGAACATCTAATTTCATGGCAACCTATGTGATGTCACTGATGGCAAGCTGAGAATGCAATCAATTCATCAGTATAAACGGTGTGCCACAGCAGAACCATATTTAGACTTGATATTGGGCTTTTAATCAGGCTTTCACTGTACTTATTAAGGTGTGTCACTTGACACACCTCTTTTAATAAAAACATGCCAGACAACAGCTCCATCACCACAATTCAAACATGTACATTACAGTAGGGCTAGTGTGACTGACCTTTGTAAAGGTGTGATTTTAAACAAAAAGCAGCCAATGTTTTTGCTGCACATATTTGTAATGAATAACAAGTGCCAGATGAAAGTGCCGAGAAACTTGTCAAAAAAATCACAAATAAGACAAATGTAACAGTTTTGTTTTTAAAAAATCTGTTCATACTAGTGCACATGAATTGACCTTCACCAAAATAATTCCAATGATTCAATAAAACCATTCCATCAACCACAACCATAACTTCACCAAACTTAAAGTGTTTGTTGCAACATGTTTTCCCCCTCATTTTCCTTCAGACGTTAATTTGCATTCATGACATCTGCAGGTTCCATGCCACCAATTTCAATGGCTCATACTGAAAATGAGGTCCACAAGCTATGCGTACATGCGCATGTAAATAAACGATGCTTTCTGATGCCGACATCAACCAAAGTTAAGTAAACAACATACATGCATCAGCTGATTGATTTCATAAGAAAATTTCATGAGTTTGTTTGAAAAGTGACCTATCAATGACATTTGACACCCTTGGTGACTCATGTACATTTTTACATTAAAACAAAATTGAAATGAAACCTCTTGAAGAAACTAAACTTCGAAGTGGTACCAATGATGAAGGAAAAGACATGACTAATAGTCAATTAGAAACGTGAGACAAAACTTGGGTAAACTTATGCATGTAACCGGTTCACAATGCATGCATCACAAGGGAGGGGGGGAGGGGTTTGAAACATCTAGGGAGGGAAGAAATTTGAAGACAAACCCGGTACCTCAAACATTTCATCATCTGCAGCGGACAAAGATCGTCTGGACAAGCGGCGCTGAAGGGGGGAACAAGTCAGGTTTGGCAAATCAATTAGTGAAGAAACAAGAGCATTATTGCTGTGATTTCCCACATACCAGCCAGTAATGCTGCAACCAATTCTAGGATACGTAATGTTTGCAGGTTCAGTTTTTTTCCAGAAAGGGCTCAAGCAAATGTAGGATACATTGATGTTAGAAACCCAACAAATCAAATCAAGAGATTAATATTGCTGAAGATTTAATGATAGTCTGTAAAGTTGGTGACTATTTAACTGAATCAAATCTACAAAAAAATGAGTATGCTAGAACTGAAAGTTCAAAACTAATTGATCAAGTGTGCAATTATCTTAATTTTAGAATGCTAGATGTACATGAACAAAACTACTGTTTTTGTAAGATTTCATTACAGGATAACTACTGTAAGTTAAAATTGACAGTCAGAAGGAATAAACTGCAAATAAAATGTTGCGGCAGGCTTAATGTAGTGGAATTTGACATTTTGCCTGAAATTTGAGGTATTAAAGAAAAGTATGTACACATGGTGCCAATATGTTATTTACAATTTGAAAAGAAGCCTGAAACTGGTAATTGAAGGACTTACCACCCCAAATATAAGGTGTTAACTATAAATTTGTTTAAGAAATTTACTACTCAGAATTTCTTGAGTTGGATAGAAGTTCAAATAAGGCTTCCTTACTGGGACACAAAATGTTACATTCCCATTATTTACACTTTAAATTTTGTAATTTAAGCTTAATTTCAAATTTCGGAAAATTTTGGTTTAGAACTTATTAAACCTAACAGGACTTCTTCCAGTTCAAAATCAATTTCTGAGATTAAAGTTTCCTAGTGTAATCAACTTTCCAAAGCGATAAAATTACAAGTGAACTAGAGAAAGCACGACCCTATCATCACCACCACAGGTACTTGAGCTACCACACTTACACCTGGTCAAGGGAGGTTCAAATCACAGCAAATCACTGAGTGTACTTACCCCTGGAAGCTCACCCCAGTTCCATTCAATCTTGTCGGTGCTACTGCTTGACCTGATGTGACCTGTAGACTTGCTACGCTTACGGTCTACACGTGCCATCTCTAGCTCTGTATCACTCTTTGGTGATGGAGGGCGCGTACTCACGGGACTACAATGCCAATCGTTATAAAATGTGCGTAAAAATCAAAAACAGCTGTAAGTATTCTGTGTAACTATGCCAAAATCTATTAAAAAAAACATGTTTGTTACATCTAAGTGATGATCAGCTGTCTGAAAAAGATTGTTTGACTCTCCTTGCACGCAATCATTTTCAACATGTGCAAATCAGCAAGGTTTTTTTCTAATTCCATCTTCTCTATTTGTTTAAGGTTCAAAATACACCAGAATGAGTACCCAGCCTAAGCAGTTTATGATAGTAAATCCATACAACTGTACCTTTCCTGGTACCGTATGTGTGCCAAGTTATACTGCTAAGTTATATACCCAGGCCAAGATTTCTGTTTTAATGCACAAGGTCCATATTGTAATGCCTAATGTATTTTGGGAGCTAAAGTGATAAACCAAAAAAAAAAATTAAGCTGTTCTCTTTTCAAAATTACCTGAGTATCGCTGGAGTTATGTCTCCATCAGATAGTGGATGCTGAGGTATCTGGACTTTCAGCATCTCCTGGTGCACATCACCCCATACTTCACTCTGTGCCTTCTTGAGTGGTTTGAAGGCCCTTCCGGAAGGTCCTTCCTCTTCAGATACATCTTCCATCTCAAAGATCTCCTCGTCAGTGTCGGAGTGCTGTGAAGATGAGGTACTAGACTCTGAGAGGTTCATGAGGCGACGGCTGATGGATGACTTCTCTGGGAAGCCATCAGAAGGTGGTTTCTCAGTCCGTGTTGGTTTTGTTCCACTGCTTCTGTGCTTTCGTTTCTTAGTCATCCTTCCACGTCGGTTGGACTTAGTCTCATTCTCGATCCTCACTAGTGTTTCTTTGGCTGTAGATGAGATAGCAGAGGCAACATTACTTTTCTGGGATTCGTCTTCAGATCCATTCTCAATGTCAAAGTCGGACGATTTGATAGCACCTTTGAATTGGAGTTGCTTCTTGTTCTTGCCGCGACCAATCTCGGTCTCTACTGTGATGGCAACGGGCTCATCCTTGGTCAAGTCCCGGATGTCTACTATTGTATTTCCTGATTCAGGTTCCTTCAAAGCTTCCAGGACACGTTCAGCATTCCTCTCCTTCTTCTCCAGTGTCTCAGCTGAGCTGGTGTCTCTCCCTAGACTGGTGTCTGACTCCTTGCTACTCTCTGATTCACTGCGGACCTGGTTAGCTTCAGCGTGGAGCTTTTTCATTCCATCTTCCATGAGATTGATTGTGGAAAGCAGTGGCGAAGAGCACAAGTGGGCAGGCACTTTGTCCTTTGAAAACAATACAAATAAACAGAATATTAAGAGTCAAATGTGGGCTGAGGTACCTCTATGGCAAATTGGATGGCACAAGCAAGGAACATTTTTTTAAAAGTTGCATAATCATGCTTGACTGTCAAGAATATATAAGCATCATGGTCTGCATAGCAGCATGACGGCAGTTTGCGTTGATGAAATATTTCCATATATGTTGCAGTTTGATTCTCATCTGCGACGCTTGCTGCATTTCTTTCGCTGATATGGAATCTAGGCACATCAACACTGATAAATTTTTTTCCAGCTTGTGTATATCTACCTCATCTGTCGCTTCTTCAAGAAAGAATGCTTCCCCATTCTCTCCCAATTTCATGTGGAGATCCACTTGTTCTCCATTGATCTCTATGTAAACCTGTATTGAAAGAAACAGAATAATTCCATAATGCACACCAAAAAACCCATCTCATGTAGGCTTTAGCTAAAAATCTGTTGAATTTAAGTAAAACAGTTCTTCTATTCATGGACACAGGAGCGAGTATTTAACAACAGCCCCCTGATTTGCCAGTAAAAGTATGATTGGTCAAAAGACGACACTACCTACAGTTAAAGTTGAAATAGATTTTCCAGTTTGTTCAATTTTCCAAGTGAAAAGATTTCTGGTAATCTATGTTTGTATTTTAGTCTTCCGATCTACCCATCCTTTTTAATGACACTTACAACTTTCTCTCTACTTCGGAGCACGCCCATTTTACCAAATCGGACGTGGAATGGGGAACACAGTAAAGACCCATCGTCCTGTTGTGCAACGATGACATCAATAGCGCCAGTAAGCGTTGCTGGATTGATCTCACTGTAAAATGTCTTGACGGAAGACAGAAAACGGCCCACGTAGTTCATAGTGGTAGCTTCTTGAGACGATTCTCTACATCACTAGTTAGGTACGAGTGATCTATGTGATAAAAGCGGAAAAAAAGGTGCTACAGTTAAGTATCAAATATTTTCAAATACAAAACATGGAACAGTACATGTAATTGATATTCTTGGTCCAAATTCTTATACCAATGTATATACTTCCTGTGGCATTGCCGGTCTTTGTAATGTACCGGTACAGAAAAAAAACCAATAACTGTAATGCATTCAACATAACAGAGTGTTAGCATCATTGAGAAACAAAATTATCTCGTAATCATTCAAATATTAACATTTTTTTAATGTACATGTACACGTACCAGTTTATGTAGGAATTACACCAATGAGAATTTGTGGAAGGTATTGAAAGAAACATGATGAGCCCCCAGGCAAGTTCGCACGTGGGACTTCATATACGTGGAAATCATATTTTCATCTGATTAATGTACATGAAAGAAATGACAGCAAACTTGAGTCAGCCGGCCTGCCCCTTGGTGAATTTGCCATTAATTGAATGATATTCTTGGTACAACTTCCTATATTTTGTCATACTTCCTGTGGAATTGCTGGTACCGGTATGCATAATGTAAAGGGGAAAAACAATGACAATGCATATAATAAATTATGTAAGATTCTATCAGAAAAACCAGCATCTTATTTATAACAGTGGAACGATGTCACATGTTTTGATCAGTTAAGTCCATGCGTGTTGCTGCATGTACATGTAGTATACTACATGTGGGTTTTATAAACTACAGTCAGGTGACTATCTCGAAGGCTTAATTCACACTCTCCAAAATCTCTGTGTGGGACTCAATCCAAAACAGAGATTTCAGGGAGCCCTTTCACACCAGCAGTAGCAAGGATCCAAAATGGCTTCTACACTGGTCTAGCACTGAACAAGTGAAAAACTAACCCTGGCCAAGACCAGGCATGAAAGGTCCTACCTACATACATAACCCAGGTGGAAAATCCAAAAGCTACCGGTACAGCCGACCCATGTAACCCGGTTTAACTTGTAAACTTGTGTGAATGGTATGCCTTGCTTACCCGTGTTTGATGAGACTCGGTTCCTGTTAACTAAAGGCTCTGCTGTTTTGGCAATGATGGCATAGGCAGTTTTGTGGCCCAGAAAAACCCCAGTCACTGCTAAATAATGCTACTCACTCAAATGAGGTCACTTATATCTGACACCTACACCATCCTCACCCGACATGACGCAGTGCTGTCATCCTCTATGCAATCAGGTAGTGATCATGTGATAGCCACACACCAGCTAATCTGCCTTCAATGCACTTCCCAGCAAGCATGCATCCGTGCATACACCCATACACACAATACATGGTTTGTTTATCATATTGGCAAAACTCTCACACAAAGATGAGGTCATGTTAATAATTAAATATAAAATCGTTGGCATGTACAAATGTGTAACAAGTTTGAATTTTTGAGAGAATAGTTGAATGTATTTCTTTGTTCCAATTTCTTTTTTTAGTTTTTTCATTTAGGCCTTTTAGTTTTAGGCCATCAGCCTGGGGTTTGGTGGGTATCAAATGAGGGGAATAAAGCTCATTGTGATTTTGGCAAGGTATGCACCCCTGTAGTTGGAAAATATGTGATAGCATTGCAGCGGTGGCAGCTTTTTGGGTGCTATCACTTTTAAAAAAAAAAAGGCGGCCAAAACATGCTTGTTACCACATATAATTATTCCGGTAACAAGCATATTGTGGGTCATTTTGAAAAAACAAAGAAAAAGCGATAACACCTAAAAAAACTGCCACTGCTCACACTGCAAAGCTATCACGCATTTTCCAACTTAGTCCATGGTGCATACCTAACCTAGCCAAAAATCGCTGAGCATTGCTCCTTTTGATCATCTGATTATGGTGGCCCAATTTTTGGACCAAAGCTGATAGCCTACTTTGTTATGAAACAAAAATAGCTGAATATAAATCAATCAGGAAACAACTGTTACACTAACAGCCTTGCCAACAAATGTATCTTTTTATACCAAAAACAATCCAGTTTTCTTCTAATGGAGTTTGAAGTTGCGTTTCCTATGCTCTTAATTAAAAAAATTCAATTTTTTTTTTATTAATAAAGTTTCAACTTGTGTCTTTTATTTCAAAACACTTTTCGGTTGATGTCTCATTCAAAAGTGAAGAGCTTTTGTATTAATTTAGAATATGAATCTATTTCTCGGGATTAAACTCGAAAATAGCACGGGGAACGCATCTTTAAAACAAACTTTTGGCTATACATGCAGCAATGCTGAAAATATCAATTGTTTTATTTTTGTATCTTACATGTCTAGATCAATTATTCATATACATGTACCGTACACTTCAGGATTTAGATATAAGTCTGCTCTATTGCTATGTTTGAATCATATCCCTTTTTTAAAGGGAATATACATCAGTTGCTTTTGCTGTAATTTTCAGAAATGGATGGAATTGGGGGGTTGGAAATATATAGAAAATATAGTTACACTGACTTTTTTTGAGGTTTTGGGTTCGAAAATGCTATAAAAACCAAGAAAAACAATCATTTTCCTGTAGTCTGGTTCCCTGACTCCAATAAGAAGAAACAGAGCAGTTTACATACATTGGGGAATTGTAAGGTCAGGGAACCAGTCTAGCTGGCTTGTACCCGTTCATAGGTGTGTAATCGATTGCAAACAAGTGCGATGGTCAATTGGGGCCAGTATTTGAAAAAAAGCCAGTTTTTTTTCCAACGCTGGTCGGCCGACCAGCGTTGGAAATTGATACAAAAATACCACTTTTTTTGAAAATGACAGTATACCAGGTGCCATGATTTTACAGGATGCTTTACACTGTCATTCACTAACAGTCCAGCAAGGTATTTCAAAATGATTTGGTATTTTTATTTTTTGATGTTTGCAAATGTTGTATTTTCCCTTTAATGGTGTTTTTTCCAATTGAATAAATTACACGCAGTCCAACAAAATTGACATTTCTGGAAATTTGCCAACCCAAAACTTGTAACAAGCAAACCATTCATTAATTTTTAACAGAGGCAGGGTCAAGGTCCATTACTGGGGTCACATGACAGAAATACTATCAAAGGTGCACAGCTGGATATGCGCCAAAGTTGGCAGAGTGCCAAATATTATTAGCGGTACAACTATGGTGGTACATAACACACATTTATGTCCGTACGGCCCATAGCATGCACTGTATACATGTACTAGTATTTGTACAAAATGGTGAAGGCAACATTGTAAATTTACAGAATAAAATGAGCTACAATGTAATTTATCCGGTCAATGAAATAGCGCATGTTCATCATGAAAAGCCAGATTTTGAAACCAGCTGCATTTCAAGGTGAACTGCTGTTTCTGAGATCTACCGGTACATAATGTACCTCTGCAACCCTGACCCTCCTGTACATGTATTTTGCTGAGCCAAGCAGAATAACACAGTACTAGCTATGAAGACTGAATGTAATGGAACTATCCATAAGAATTAGCTTCATGTGGGATAATGTTGACTTAAAAAAGGTTATATAATGTGTAACATTGTACATGTGCATGTACTTTGAACACCAAAATAATAAAATGACTTTATCAATAGCATTAAAAAAAAAAATTGGGGGAGTCTAATTTTAGTGCTGTCAATTTTCATTAAATCCAGCTTCCAAATGAAGGGTACAAATTCCAAATCTCAATTTAATTTATATACCAAATTTCTGTGTTTTTTTCCACATGTCAGTATGGCATGCATTATGTATACATGTATCAGGAACCATGTTTTGGGAGATATAGGAAAAATTTGAGGGAATTTTTGGTATACAAGGATCCACATGATCCTGTATTTGGTTGATTCCCACAAAACCTCAGGTTGACGAACTATTTGTAAACCCACTTACATAAAGGGAAGTGGCCCTGACACTTTGTGCACATGTGCCTCACACGTAACCTTAATCCTGTCTTTAAAGGCCAGAGGCTCACACAACAAAGCAGGCATTGAATACCACAATACAGCAGGTAATCAAAGGAAAAGAGGTGTGTCATTGTTGTGTCCAGTTATCCAATCAGAATACTGCTTCCTGGCCTTACCCACATAAACAGAAATCACCCCATACCATCCCACCTATGATCGCTCCATGCCTGTGGTGTGCCACACTATCAGCAAAGATAATTGTATGGTCTCCAAGCAGTTGTTTGTGTTCGACTATATTGACATAAGGGGCCCTTAAATAAATTTAAGAATAAAATGTAGAACACTACAGTTTGTCATCTGAGTGTTTTTCCAAATAAATAGGCCAGGGGAAGAGCGTTTAATGAGTGGCGGTACTGCATACTGGCAAGGACTTTGAACAATTCCAAACATTTCATTTCAACTTGGAGGAATTGCAAAATATCATTGAATGAAAATCTGAAATGACATGCTGGAACTCAGCCAGCCATGCAAACATATGTTTTTATGTTTGTTGAAATGATTGTTCTTCATAAAAAGGAAAGCAACTCATCAGCTGTTTTCAGTACAAATTACCACCACATATAATTTATAAAAATGAAACTAAGACCATGCCTTTAGACTGAGCTTTCTGTATGAGAAGTCCTCTGTGTTAAATGATTTAATAATCCCATTACAGTTATGAATTCTAGTTTTTCTTACTCTATGATCTATGTAGCCTTTGTAGGCAGCCCCAGCTCACAGTTAAGTTTGAAGCTCATCTCCTCATTGTTAATCTTAATTTTCTTTGAAAGACATAAAACTTAGCAAAATAGATGACTACACAAGATCAGTAGTACAAGGATGTATGTGACTCATGATTACATGCCTACTATAATCATTTACTAAAATACAAGCTTCCTTTGAAATAGATAAAAACTATATGTTACTTGTTAGCTCTTATCTGCAGATACCACAAAGATAATTTGCTCACAATGTTATGTCACAACCACATGACAAACAGATGAGCAGAACAATCAAATTAACCCTAAACCGAACTCAATCCATCAAAGTTCAACAGCCCGGTTTTACCTATCCTGTTGGGATAGGTACAGTACCCCTAAACTGATGCTCACTGGGGTTGGCATACAATTTTCCATGTGGGTATTGGAATTTGCCAGAATGGGTATGGTTCCTAGTGAATTAGGCTGGGGAGTTAGGGTTAATGTTTGTCTACATCCAAGCTGAGTGATATTCCTGCAGGAGCTTGTCATACTAATCAAGATCAAGATCAAGATGCATTGAAATTATTTGTTAATTTAAATGTGGACAAGTTTTTTTTCAATATTTGGTAATCAATATCATCTAAATCTCAAAACAAATTATCAATAAACATATTCTGGATGAATACTGCAAACTCCCACTGCTGTGGGTTTACTTTGATGGGTAAAATGGCCCCTGTAATGTCAAACAGATTTGTTCAAAACAAAGATCACCATGTTTTAACCAAATTAACCTATGAAAAGGGGCTGTCACTCCAGAATTGATCTTTCTATTTCACTTGAGTCTTGAGGAAGTATTCTTCTGTGAAGAATATTTTTAGTTCAAGCATGGAGGAACAAGGACTTTATAAATCCCCTTGTATTTATGTTTTTTCTTTTACAACATTTGGACATGATCTGTAAAAAAAAAGGGCAATTAGTAACAAAGCCTAGTCCATATAGTTTATACTCCATGGAAGTAGGAAATTTGGACTAGATCATCTTGTAAAACCCAAGGATGCCAGAGAAGAGGTTCCAGATGCACGGGTATTAAATAATATGCATTAAGACTAAGTCCACACCACTTTTTTTATGATTTACCCTAGCTGGAGTTACCCAGCCCTGAGTTTTATCATTGGGTTGTCTAGGACCCAATGATAAAACTCAGGGCTGGGTAACTCCAGCTAGATTTACCCAATGCCCAAAATTACAAGTTTTTGTAGGCAAATACTTCAAACAATTTCACGGTTGAAGTTCCCATCATCATGATCATGTACATGGGCCTAGCGCCTATAGACTTTTCACAACACTTACTGAAGTAGGCCTACAGTCATGACAGTGAAGTAGATGTATTACTATTAGAATAAATAAAGAATAGGGCCGACTTTGAATTAAAAAAATAAGTGACAAATAAGTTTCTAAAAAAATAAAACAAACTACAAACCAACATGACCAAATAATATTCAGCAAGCTGAGCTCCTGAGTGACAACATTTTAAGTTCAAGTGCAAGTGATCAATAGACAATCATGACATGGAGGTAGTGAGCATGGTAAATATGCAGACTAGTAATTTTTACCTTGGTCTTGGAAGTTGGATGTTGTTATTGTTGTTGGGTGAAGACCAACCAAGTCAAGAGTCAGATGAAGAGAAACTGTTATAACTCCAACTCCAAGCGCGTTTGCAGTGAATGAAAATTCCTAACCCGGCCGGTCGTAACCAAGACCAGCTTTTCAAACTCTGAAACAACACAGTAATTGCCAGGTTCACTTCAAATACGTTATACTTATAAAATTACATTAGTACTACCTACAGACAGTGACAAAACAGAGTAGAGAGAGTATAATGACTTAATGTCATGACATGCAATGACATGACGTACACAAAACACGGTGTACGTGCTCGGTGCTCGCACGATCGTCGACCATGCATATCCGGTCACCGGCGCGGCGCGCGGTTACGTTGATCACGTGCAAAATATTTAAATCAGGTGACACAGTTCATTTAAATATATGGGTAAGAAATAATAATTGTTGAAATCATTTTTGTTTAATAAATTTGCAATTGGTTTGATATTAGGAATGCCCACAATTCTATTTATGCAATATTTATCCTTGCTCTATTATACATGTTGTATTATTTAGGCCAACTGTATGTTGTTATTGATTTAAGAAACTAAAATAAAACTGAAAGAGACTGTGATGGCGCTGCCCAGTATTTTCTGTTTTGATCGCTGGCGTGGCTGCCTGAAAATGCTGCTAGGCTAGGCCTACTACTAGTACTAGTAAAATGTTTTACTAGATTTAATACCTCCGAAAAATTTGGAAAGGTATGATGAGGCTTTTTCGTTTTTCAGTCGCAGTGCCATTGCATTGCCATAGTGTCAGTCAGTAGGGATCTCTGACTGAGGATACACGCGCTAGTCAATCTACTCGGCCATGTCGGCCACGGGCTAGGCATGTGATACAGGGTATGGGGCGCCGTTTGTCAATTAATTGGTTAGCGCATTATGAACATGTTTTTACCTAGACCCGTGAACGTGGCTATAAACATAGCCACGCTTCAGTCCATAGTAAAAACACTCTATTGTGATCCGCGGTTACTAAGATGGAGTGACCATTTTAGCCGAATTTCGGCTACATTTGACAGAATATTTGCATACAAAAATGAGTTGTACAGAAAATCCGCAGAAATTTTTTTTTCGCCAGAATTATGAAGATGAGGGAAAATGACAAAGATTAGAGAAATATGGCAAATTTGGTTTGAAAACCTTCATTTTTTGAAAGATCCTAGCTTGAGTTACTCCAGCTGACATGCTCATATTCATTCACAATCACATGCTACATGTGAATGAATATGAGCATGTCAGCTGGAGTTTCTTAAGCTAGAAAGATCCCTGAAATAAACCCTTGCACAATGGAACAGCAATATATACTGGGTAATTTGGCAGACTTTCGAAGTGGATTTAGCAGTATTTTATATGGTATTACGGTCATCCTGCCATGTAAGACGTTTAGTCGGGGTACCCACTGGTGTTACTTCTACCGTTTTGCGCATGTAGAACTCGGGGTACCAGAGTGTCATGCCTGTCTTTGATTTTCTGATCATTTTGAAAACATTTGTTGTGACAAAGTTGTGCCGTACTTTACAGCAAACATCTTGGCAATGACAGATCCAACACTCGCGTGGCGTTGTATACAACGCCACGTTCACGGGTCTAGTTTTTACTAGTCGGAGTAACTAGGACTCTACGGATCGCTTTTTTTAACATTTGGACTTGGTACTATTGCCCGACCAAGTTGAAATGTTAAAAAAACGATCCGTAGAGTCCTAGTTACTCGGACTAAGTTTTTACCATGGTTTATGATATATGACAATTTATGAATTATATCACCTGTATATATGTAAACCATAGAAATTGTTGCCAAAAGTCTTTTTATGGTTTACATACTAGTAAAGTAATTTTAATATTGTTTGTAAACCATTATGGACTTGCAAAACTATCAGGTTTTTAGCCTACAAACAATGTGGTTATGATGAATTGTCTATTTTTAATAATATGGTTTTATAACCTATGAACATGCAATCATGATTTATTAGTCATGGTTTATAAACCATGAACATGCAATCATGATTTACAACTAGTATAAGTCATGGTTAATAAACCATGAACATGATGAACATTAATGATGTGCATCGGGTCAGGTGTGTTCATAGCTCCAAGGGTTGACCAGGCCATTCCGACCCAAAACATTAGAGATATAAACCGAATCCGAATCCATTTCAGATACCTGCTGCTCTACTAATAGGGATGATACAATCAACTTTGTATAACCCGGTTAACTCATTTGCCAATTGTTAAAAGAAAAAGACTGATTTGTTCTTTGTTTCTAATACTAGAACTAATACTCTACAAGGATGGAAGACAGACTGCAAACACGCCAGGCAACTGTTGATGAGCTGACAGCATTCATTGATGGAAGTCATCAACAGCTGGATGAGTTACTTTGTCATTTACAATGGGACAAGGAAGATATACTTGTAAGTGGTTTCATTTATGGTCTCATCAGGAGATTAGAAACAAGAATTGTGCAAGTTAAGGCTCAGTACTTTTCAAGGCTTCTAAAGCAAATCTCAACAGGTGTGTTTCAGAAAGGACTTGTCAAAAACACAAGTGAAAAAAACCTTTTTGCACATGCATTGGATTTATTCAAACATCTGAACACCAAGCTTGGCCTGGTCAACTAGTAAGTTAGATGTGGCAGCAGGCTCCAAAGGATATGATATTTAATGAAATGACTGAAATGAAATGATTACTCAAGGGTAATTTAGGATTGAGTCGTTACCTTCACTTCCATTTGTCAAGACCGGCATTTTGATAGCTTTTGATTAATGGTTCTGATAATGTCCTGTTATGCTTGTATGGTCACATCTGAGACTATTTACAAAGATTATCAGGTTGTGCTTTACTTAACTAGCAATTCCAATGTTCCTTGGCATTTTTGAAGGAAAAGTCCCCCCCCCCCCTCCCTTGATCCGCCCCTGCTTTCCCTAAATAAAATATTAATCTGTTCTCAACAGGCCCAGAATGAAGAGAAGATGAAGGTGTGTCCCATTCATTCCCACCACCTTGTACCAGAGACTTGCCTTGAGCAACACACTCATGAATGTCAGCTGGTGGCTCAGGGATACTCCAGACAGAAACAGGTCAGATGAATCTCTCAAATATTGAACATACGAATGCTTTAGGAGATAGTTCAGACAGAACAGTCCAGTTTCTATCTGTTGGAACTGTCTGCAAACCCAATGAAATGCAGCAACATAAGATGAATTAGCTAAAGATGAATCGGGGCACGTGATCACTTTACACTCACAAGGCCCCCTTCAATGGAGAAACCATGATGTATGCTATTGTACAAAGCAACTGCTATCTGAACAATGGCTAGCACAATGCTTTTGCCATTGAAGGGGGCCTTTGTGATAGAATTGATGGTGTGCCCGGATTGGTTTAGCCTTTTAGTGAACCTACACGTATACTCATGCCTTAAATAAGAATATTTTAATTTAAGGATATTCACAGAATTATTGTTTCAGTTGATTTCATTCCCTCTGAGAGCCAACAGGCTAAAATATGACTGTGTAAAAAAAGGTCAACTGTTCTGCGACTGTTTCATTTGGAATGTAAGATGTTTCAAGCGTGTTAGCGTTCCTATCACAGCATTTCAGACAATCAGTTTAGAAGGCCCAAATACGGTAATATTTACTATGCACTTCTGTACCTGTTGTTTTTTTCAGAAAGAAATCCCAGCCTCACATAGTTTCTTCTATGCCAGGTCCTCGTCTGTTGTGCCTGTGATTATAGGTAAGACAAAGGTTTCTTGTTTTCATGTGTTATTTGATACGTGGTGCAAGCAAGTCACTCATTTACTAGATAGTAATGATTTTGATAAACTTTGAAACCCAAGAACCAACAAACATTTGTATTTGGATTGGTGGAAGAATTTGTTGCAATAATATGTACCTGTGCATAACTTTAAAACATTTCTAACATTTCATTTCCATTTCATTGTGCTTTTCAGTCTTCTTTTGGATATTCAAAGTTTAATTTCTGAAAACACTCATTGACGTATTCCATTTTTATAGAGAAGGCCATATTTGTATTACAGATTTTGAAATTGGAATCACCTCTAACAAACATTTTGTTATTTTTTTTTTAGACAAGGAAGCACAAGACGATATCTTGTCCCAAGTTCCAGGTAAAGTAGAAAATCATATGTTTATCATTTTGTTTGCTAAAACAGGTTCCCTCAGCCAAGAATGATTTTAAAGGCAAGGGACTCTTTCTAAAGTTGTCTTACATCAAGCTGATACCCTCCCCAAAAAATGATTTATGTGATGTGCACAGACACCATCATTGACTGAAACGTTTAGATATAACTTGTAATCTGTTTTTAAAAATCTAGGCAGGTTCTAAGACAAATGTTGATCGACTAATTTCTCTCTTTCTTACAGTGAGCAAGCGTTTGCATTCCAGGCAGGTGCTTTCTAGTGATAGAGTCGCAGTCTGTCAACCTTATATCCTTACACTGTATCCTCTTTTCTCCCTAAAAAAAGTGAACATTAGTTCAAATGGGATTGGTGGACGAATGATGGTGTGCAAATTTGCCTTGTTGTTGGCATAAATTTATGTTATGAGAAGCCTTTAGATAGCAATTTCAGCGGGGCACGTCGGAAAATTACGGATCAAAACATTTGCTGAGCAAACACAGAACCTAAAACACCGTGTAATGTGCACTGTTTAATGATTGATTGTCAGCTGATTTTCTAGTGAAAATATGTGTAAAACAGTATGTCCATCAAAGTGGCCACTATGTTTGGCCCTCAAGTTAAAGGTTAGGGTCAATTGTCATAGCGCCACTAAGCAGACAGTATCAACTGGGTACCAGTCACAAGCAGCATCACGTGGCATTTTGGCTGGAAACCTGTTTCTGTTTAGCATTTTATGGATTTTTTTTTACTCATAAGATGGAATTTGCGTCAGGGTGATGTAAGTCCAATATTGGGTTTTGTCCTTCCCCTTGTTTTTTTCATTAACACCATGAACACTGTATACTCCATGCTGACTCGAGTGATTGTGAGAAAAAAAATACAAACTGTTCACGGTGGGACTCGAACCCACAACCTCCTGCTTACTAGTGCAGACGTCTTACCACTCAAACACCGAGCTTGCCAGGGTCGGTTGGCTGGTTCAAATCTGATATAGCAGCAGGTACCTCACCCAAACTATTCATAAGTATGCAGTGTTTATAAAAATATGTCAGTAAAGGGCAAAACCCAATATTGAATTTCCGTCTTACGGATAGATTGGTTGCGGTACCCACTGCTATATTGAACCAGTCAGCCGACCCAGACAAGCTTGGTGGTCGAGTGGTAAGACGCCTGCACTAGAAAGCAGGAGGTCGTGGATTCGAGTCCCACCCGAGTGATTTTTTCCAACTTTCACTCGGGAGGTAACACACTGAGTGTTTATACGTAGGTGGAGGGCAAAACTTAATTTGATTAACTCACACTTTGTCCTTACAAATTACTAGAGCACACAAGTTGAAATGTTTTCATAAGGAGACCTTTCTTGTATTTAGGTTGGGAACTATTGTAACTTGTTGCAAATTATCACGTGTACATGTAGTGTTTCAACAATCTGATACTGTCTGTACAGTTTGTTATATTTTAAATTTTATATTTATTTGTAAGTTGTTATTTATACAGTTGCTTTCCAGCACTTCTGTCTTTGGTTATTGAAACCAAACCAAAGCAATACAAATATTTGTAAAGGTTACACCTGAAACATTTATACTGGAACATGTGTTTAGCTGTTTCAGATATGTTAAGTACGATAAATTACCAAAGTAATTCATATCCGGACAATTGTTTGTTTGATTGTAGGGAGCTCAAGAAACAAGGAAGTTCCACGAACCATAGACCGTATGGATAAAGCCTTCACAGCAGCAGAGAAACTAGCCATCCACCTGGCTGTATTGGAGAAATCTAAAGCTGCTAGGCAGCAAGAAACGGTATCCCTACAAGATCTGGAGTTTGATCCAGAGGCATTGCTTAAAAAAGGTAAATTTTATCTCATGATGCCACAACCAATTTGGTTTCATTTGATATGAATGGATAACCATTTACTTTAGTCTTTCAATCTCCTAATTTGGATAGATTGTTCCACTATGAAAATGCTCAATTTCAACTAGAAAACCTTTTTCCCACGGCGGTGTGAAACACGCAGTGGGCTTGAGCTGCTTATGTTGGTTGGTGGGTTGGTTGGTGGGTTGGTTGGTGGACACTTTACTCGGCCATATATTGTATTCATACAACTCAAGTATACAGCTTTGCATTCGAAGACTGGTTTTGCAAACACTGTTGCGCATGCGTCTAATTTGCATATTTTTTGCATATTAGATCACTCCCCATTCCTTTTCATTTTCTGTACTCTCGAGGTACCAGTACGGCCCGGGTGCATGGACGGTGCCATATTTTATAGCCGTCTTCACGTTACACGGCTGCCGTGGGTTGTACCACTTGGTACTTGTTCTTGTTTTGCTTGCAGTTATAGAATTTTTTACTTCAAGGATCAAAAAGCATTATACATGTAAACCCAATGTTAAACTAGTGCTCATACTGGTAAATCTCTTCAGCTGTTTCCTGTTATTGTTCCAGTAACTCACATTTGGATGAAAAGCCACAAGAACTCTTTGATATACTTTCTTTAAAAAATTTTAGTTTCTGATCCTAATAACGAGAGCATTCAAAATGCAATCCAAAACTTAACCAAATGAAATTCAGCACAGTGGATGCTGAACCTTTTTGAGAAACAGTGGAACCCATGCAAAATGTCTTTCATTGATAGCAAGGCCAAAATAGTTCTAGATAATGCCTCACAATTCATCTCGGCACAATTGCTTTGGAGTTCCAGACTGAACTGGCACTGACTGCTTCCGTGACTTTGTCTTTACTGCTTGAGGGTTGTTTGATTACTGTCCAGCAAATTTTAGATATGGAATTTTTTTCTGTTACGACCTGTCAGACGGAATAATTTTACAAGCTGTTTTGAACCGGTCTTTTCTCAACATTTCAATAACTGGTAATGGTCAAAGATTGCATCGGCCTTTAGTGTTCAACCCCAGTTTGTCAAGACATTCATTCTTTACACTGCTCCACAGATGAACCTGCCAAGCCCAAGTCTAGATTGGAGGTCCTGGCTGAGTTACGTGACTACAAACGACGTCGTCAAAGCTACCGAGCCAAGAATGTTCACATCACAAGGAGATCACAGACAGAGGTAAACCTACAAATGGAGATCTTTCCTTTGAAAAAAATTATCCTTTAAGTACGTTTTATTTTTTTTAAAAGTTATTATTTTTTTCTGTTTCGGATATCTGCATTCCTCCGAATAAAAGGTTTTGTTTTGGATTTCTTTCACATACAAACGCATCCTCTCTGGGTGTAGACTGGTTCTCGGTCCCAACATTATCAATTCTGATATGGTGCAGCAACCAGACTGCCCTCTGATAACAGAATTACTATAATTTGAAATTTGCAAAGTAATTATTCCATTACTAAACTGGCACCATTTTTAAAATTTGATATCTCATTCAAAAGGGAATACCTTTTGTATTCACTTTTGAATAAAAAATATTCACTGCTAGAACATAAGCAGTTCAAACAAAAACAATCCTCCAAATAAGCACAAACAGTACATTTTTATAAAAAGAGATTCATAAGAGAGGATTTGTAATTGTAACTGTCAGAACATTGTACTTGTGTTGACCTATAAACTGAGCTATCCAGCCCCATGTTCGTAGCAGTGCCTTTAGTCTGGGGGCAAAATGATGATAACTTTTTAATGGTGACCTTGATTTTTCAACATTGAACACAGATCATGAGGGACGTGATTGAAGCTCAGATGAAGGAGTTACAACAAGCCTTACAAGGTGACGAAGGATCTGTCAATAACACCGAACACAGAGGGCGCTCTTCCAGCCCAGATGGGAGGAGATCACGTGATGCTAGCCACAGTCCTATCCGCTCTACATCCAGAAAGGACAATGGTCAGAATGAGCATTATTCTAAGGGCCACCGATCCTCAAACCGGTCCAGTTATGATTACGAGCCTGATCATCCAATCAGACGTGCTGATGTCAGGTCACGTGATCAAAGTCCAAGTCCAGGACCATCTGACTCAAGGTATGACAGGGATCGCAACAGGCGTCATAGAAGCAATGAGAGATCTGAAAGTCCACATGTCAAAGTTGAGAAAGTTGAGCGGATGACATCCAACGAATCAAGTCATAGCCCTAGACTAGTAGAGTCAGGGAGAGGGGAGGATTCTACTAGTAGATCCAGCACACCTCATGCCATGGCAGGTGTCTCCATCAAGGTAGAGAAAGAATCAAGAAGTCGTAGCCCTAGCCAAAGCAGACGGGATGAGAGAGAGCATGACGATAGAAGCCATCGTCATTCCAAACATAAACATCGGCATAAGCACAAGCATCATAGCAGGGATAGCAGATGATGCCTTTATCTCTTATTCGGAACCATCTTGTTACCAGCTCTTCATTTCATGATTGTGTGATTCATGTACTTGTATTTTCCCTTGATGAATGTATTCTGTTTCAGTACATAGAATCCAAGTATATGTGTGCAAGATAGAGGGCGCTGTCCTGGCTGACTCCATTGACACACAAATTAAAGTCGATGTTTGAGGTCAGAAATAAAACACATCCCAAAAAGTCTTTTTGGCATTACAGCTCCATAGCTGGTTTCATTTTTACCCCTCTGTCCATCCATACGTACTCAACAGGAAGGACATGTGGAGTGATGGCATTGTGTTCCTTTTATCCCTTTTTCTGAATATTTCACACCCGGGGCTTACTGGTCTTGTCATCACCACTGAGATGATTTCTCTCGCCGTGTTACCCGTCTGAAGAGAATCTCCAATCTGCCTGGATTGGATGCCAGTCCATCGCAGGTTATTTCCCAGCTAATGCCTGTATCCATTTATACTCCTGGTGGAGAGAGGCTTGCCCAGGGACACAACATATAACCAGCAGCTGGATTCGAACCTCTGACCCTCTGATCATGAGTCACAAGCCCTAACCACTACATGTAGGTCACACTAGATACACTATTTCAAGGTTCTTCTATATTTGTCCAAAATAGGCACAATTTTTGAGCAAATAAAGGCACTTGACACAGTGGAATTAGGGAGTACAAAGCACTTAACATTTCATCTTCATTGAAGTACGTTTTCAGATTTAGTAACTAATCTAAAAATTAAAGATTGTAAAATGTAATTTTTGAATTACATGAAAAGGGAACATGTAAACTGAAGATGGCATTTTTATACCAGCCTCATTTGCTTAGCAATGTGAGCTATTGAGGTCGTCATTTCAGCACTGATGTGTGGTTTCAATTACAAAACACTCCCAGATGCAAGTCATCCTTCATTATGTGAAACTTCAAGTAGTGATTTGTTTCCACATTACTTAAGTATCCCATACTGTCATGACTGTTGTAACTTAGGATTTTCATTTCCAGCAGGCTCTGTATTCATATTTCCTAGACCCATATGATAGGTCACCGAGTACATTTCCTATTTTCGTGCAGACAGGTTGCCATTTTCCATTTGCCCACATTGGAACTTTTAGACATATTAGAAGCACATGTAAGATAAACTAAACTGCACTTTTTAGCTGTTTTTTTATTCAAAAGTCTCCGAGTTAGATACAAGCTGATAAAAATGCTAGCAGACAAAAAAAAACAAGTGGTCAGCCACATGTCGCCTTTTTCTGCGATCGATCCCTACATGTTTTGTGTTCTTAAAAAAAGTCAAATTTTGTGCAATGACCTCAAATGACCCCAACATGACCTTTAATCTCAGTAATCCGATGAGGAATTGTGTCTTCCCACCCAAGGGTCACTGCATCCAAGTTTCATCAAAATCCATGAAAGCATGTAGAAGTTATACATTGTTTTCAAATCTCTAACATACATGCAGGGCTACGGGCAATCCAGCAGATGGAAGTTCTGGTACTCGTGCAAGGGAATGGTACCCAAGGGAAATCTTGAGAAAAAGGGATAAAAGGACAACAATGCTCCTACTCCAGAACTCCCATCCGCTGGAATGGACATCCAGAATTTAGGACTGGTGTCTCCCAAAACTTCATTTAGGCGGCACAAAAATGAATTTTACAGTTGTAATTGCTGCTAGCATTTTGATTAAATTAAATTAAATAAGCTTCCAAGTCTTGTTAAAAATATCGTCATTCTGTTGAGAAAGCATCACATGGTGCATCTGTATTGATCACTTAATTAACTGATGGCAAATATGTATAGTGTGCTGAGGTTATTTGGTGTGTTGCCGTGAGTTTATCATGAATAAACTTCGTTGAGTTAAATCCACCATGTGTACACTGTTATATAGTGCAGACATTATTTCCATTTTCTGAAAAGTACATGCATGTATCTGCAAGTTAAGTTTTTATTTATATTCTGTGGGAGGATCTAGACAGTGGCCCTAAAGGTCGATTTTTATCAAGATCCTCATTCTGGTCAAAAATAAGACTGAAAAAAAAAATACAGCACCCTAGTAGAAAGATTTTGGATGAATTTCTTATTTATTTGCTTTATAATGTCTGTGCACATATAATCCTTTAAGCCTTTACAGAAGTATCCAACAAAACTTTGAGGTATTTTCAATGCAGGCTGTTCAATGCAGGCTGTTCCAAACAGCACATATTTTTATCTGTGTGATGAACAGGATTTTGAATATTAAACGAATAAAAACAAATTGAAACAAGACAAAATAAAATTGCAACCTCTCTAAAGATTTATTTTGATGTCACTGTTGTTGTCTTTTCAGATTATCTTACAATCTACACACACAAGGGTATTTTAATTCAGGAATTTTATACATTTTTTTTGTCAAACTTGATGGCTGATAGCCTTGACAGGAACCGAGACTGATGCAAGTCTACCAGTGTAGACATCTATAAAACTCGCCCTGTATTGAGCCAAATACAGTTCATTGGTCAAATCTAAATATTGACTTTTTGGAGTTGTTTATTTATCTACAATACTTAAAGAGTAATACATTTACATACGTTTTAAGTAATTTAACGTCAGTTACACGGTTGTTACTTTTTTTTTTTATTATTGCAAGATTATATATATAAATACTTCCCTAAATATGTCATGTCTGTACAAAATTGTAACTTTACATAATACTCCGTCAACAAATTTTCAAGCACTGATCACAGGAACTGTCAAAAAGATTTTAAAGAAGAGAACATTTTAAATCATCGTAAAAATTTAAGATGTGCCCATGAAGAGGAGAGAAAACAAAAACACCACACAATCCCAACTTCATATAACCAACCCTAGCTGCAAGTAAATTGAGTGGTTCCTTAGAATAAACTAGAGTAATCCAACCACCATGAATTGAAAGTACTGGCATTATGGTTTACTACATGTGCAGTTTGTTAAAGCCAGAGTCCATCATTTGCAGCTTTCCAACAAGTAACTGGCGTAATTATTGTTGGAAAAACATACTTGGTTGAAAGATAGTATGGGGACTAAACTCCCTGTGAAATTATTCTTTCTGGCAAGCTGTCATTTTGAAAAAATCAACGAAAGAAGGCCTTTCCAATGGTGCGTCTTAAGAAGCACCGTAGGAAATTTAAATTAGTAGTTCGTTTTGTTTTTCGGTGAAGCGCGCACAAGCATTGGCATGACGCAAACGCACGTGCGGTTGCTATAATTCGTCAGATCAGTGCGCGACATCGCGTAGCTGCAATCGGCTCTGTGAGAACATGTCTCGGACGCTGGATTCAAGCCCAATTCAAAACATGATTCAGCAACTTTTGATTTGAAATCGAGATCCTACAATGTTGTTTTTCTTGAAAAATGCAGCTGAAGCTAAGTTGAAACGTCATCAGATTGGTTGTTCAGCATCCTTCTTCACATATTGAGCACTTTTGTTGCTTCAAGTGAACAAAATGCACAAATTACAAGTGATGGACTATACCTTTAACTTGCTTCAATCTAGAATAGACCATTTGCATTCAGCGGCCATGTTTGAGGTTTTTCTTTTATTTTGATTCCTTAACCCTCCCTCTCTGGCTGGCAATTTCAACAAGGCCAGCCCAGCTGTCAAAATAAATCAAGTGACTGTTTTTAACAGTTGAGTGCTCTCTGCCTTCATAAAGCTGGATTGACTGGCTGTGATTGTTATGAAGCCTGGTATAGCTAGGCTTTGACCGTAGATTGATTAGCCAGCTGTGACTACCATTTACTTGCTTTTGTCTGTTGATGGAATTTAACTAGTCATGGTGCCTTCTGAAATATGATCGGAGTGTTGGTGACTAGCTTGTGCAAAAGGCATGACAGGGCTCGGATTGAATTTTTGAGTGTCTCTGACTGATGAAACAAAAGGAGAGTTAACAATGAATGAACAAAGTCTACTTATGCATGTCCCTGTTGAACAAAGGCATGCACCTCCAAGACTGCTGTAATACAAATGATCCATATAACACAATCACTTGGAAACTTGGCAGCCAGACAAATACATATACTGAACAGCTTGACAGACCTCATTCATAACAGCATAGAAAACAAGATGGCAACGCTGCCATCTGCGTTGACACAACACAAGTTCAGAATGGATTCTCAAGATGAAGAATTCAGGAATGTTCACTTTGAGTAAAACAATTGCACACTAACACACATGCAACGAAAAGCCGTTTCCAAATTTCACAGTGAAATATATACACAGGGCAAAAGCAACATAGTCAATAAATTCCATGTGAACAGATATCAATTAAAAACAAACAAGTGATTTTCTCCTTTGACTTATAATCCGTATTAAAAAAAATGAAGACATCCACAAAAATCCAAAAATTCTAGAAGAGCAAGAGAACCTTTCAGAAGTTGTTAAAATTCAATAAGTCATGTGTGTAGCACGTATCTCTGGATGACTTCTCATAAAGAAGTCTTTTTCAAAACTTTATTATTGTGTCTTTTTGGAGCACCATTTGTTGTCATGGTTACGCATCCTGCATCATTTGCCTCCCTAGATACTCCCTGTGAGAAGCAAAACAAAGAGAACAAGAAAAGAAAATGATGTCAAAACAAATGCACACAATGCAACAGTACAATAAACATGCACTGGATGGAAGGACAGTGGGTGCAATAACAATACTCTGGCATAAGGGATTGTACAACTTGGAAGAAGACAGGGAACATGACCTGAAGAGGCTGACTAGTGAACTTGGAAGATAAATTGTAGAGATGGGAGACACTTTGAATGCACAAAAAGCATGGCAAACAATTGGGGTGGGTAATGCGCAAGACTATAAAAAGGAATACACAACTTCACATAAAAAGCGGGTTACACCAAATTTAGTTCTACATGAATGTTGCAATGAACTATCCAAAATGCTGCTTTGCAAGACAAGCAAAAGGAAATATGAAATGGAAGAAGGCAATTCTTCGGCTACCAACCTTACTTTATAGTAACTCAGTTCTCATTTTGTCTGCATTTCAGTACAGATGTCTCTTGTACTTACAATTTAAATCATAAGCTAGAGACAATTCTCAAAATTTAAATTGTGTTTTATGTATTTTTTTCTTTTATTGACTCCTGTCCACACACTTACAGCAAATACCACACAGCTGCAAAATGTACATGTACAATATGCAATTTTATGCACATTCACAATGCAAGAGACGCTCCATAATATTTGCATGTGAGGTATAAAAAGTGGCTATCAGGAGAAATTTCTCATGTTGAGCCGTAATGGCTTTGATATACTTAGAACTCAGTGTTCTAAATTTAAGCTTGAATCTCTGACAATGTAACTTCAATCATTGTCATTTTGTAATTCTTACGCTTTCATGTAGATAATTTTAAAATTGAAACTTGTAAACTTTTGTTTAACGTTTATTGTAAAAAACTGGAATCCACGGATACTGGAATTTGTATCCTTGTGGAGACATTTCTTTGTTCTCCTGTAGTAAAGTGTTCGAGTTTGAAAGTGTAGTTTCAAAATCCTCTTATTTTAACCAGAATTAATTTCCTTGGCTGAAATTCGGACTTAATATCCCTTTTCTGAAACTCTTCCGTTTGCGACAGATCAACATACCTTGGAAATTCCTAGGTTTTGAGTAAAGTCCATATCGGGATAACCTTGTGGAGACGTATTCATCTATAGAAATTGCCCTGTGGAGACGTATACAATCTTTTGTTCCCTATTGTTTGCATGTCTCCAGAGGGCATGGTGTATCGGATCAAATTTACATATACATTGTATTCATTTTGGGTATCAATAAATATTAATTATTCACAAGTCCATCAAGTAAATATATAAATTCCACCCTTATAAATATTCCAATTACTCAGAAGGAGCAATAACGGGCATGATTGGAGCGTACCAGTTGTGGACCATGAGTTTCTGTACAGCCAGCAATGCTTCGTAGCGTACATTGGGATCTTCATGAGTCATATACTGCATGACTAGATGCTTACAGCCCAGCTGCTCAACGATGCTACATCAAATCAAAACACAGAAAACATCACATCACCTTTATATACTTTTTAGGCCCCATAAATCAAATCTCACTCACATACGTATCATGCAGATTTGTCTTCAGATGATCAATATTCCAACATACATGTACAAAGTAACCTCTCGGTTGACTCTAAGAGCTCTACATGACCTTTAAGTTGGTGTTTAAATGTTTGGTTGTTACAGTTGACACAAACTGAATACAGAATGTAAAGAAAGGGTGTCTATTTCATGTAAAGTTTGCTCTTTAACATATTCAATGTTTCTTTAAAAGAATGTTCAATTTGTGGGTCCAATGCAAACAGAAAAAAAAATGTCTATGGACATTTACAACCTTCTGAAAATATGTTTCTATTTTGGGATGCTTTTGCGTCGATCACACACAAAAAGATATACCTGAACTACTGTTGGGCTGCCAATAATTCAAACTTTGTCAGTCAATTCATAACTAAACCTTAGCACTTTTTTTTAAATGTCTCACTCAAAGATGAATAACTTTTGAATTGCTAGAAAAATAACAATTGAAAACACCATCTATTTTTGAAGTATGAAACTCAAATAGCACAGGTAAAGCTACTTTCAATATTGTGACTTACTTTTTGCCTCTTGGGTAGTGCCGGACATATTCACCAATATCATGGGCACTGACACAAAGAACTAAAGGGTCTTTGGACGTCTCTAGAAGTCTCGTCAAAATCCTGAGAATGACAGAATATCAAATTATTTCAATTACGACAAGATTACCATTGAAATAGGCTTAGTTATTTCATTTCACTTCTCAAAATCATCTCCATATTAAAGTAAAAGAGGTTATCAGTTTTCAGCATTTTCAACGTATTTCAAAAATATTTCTGCTCCTGATAATCTTCTGTATCAATGGTTTAAACATCCTTGCAAAGTGTTACACTTCTCTCAGAATGAGCAATGTGACGAAAGTAGAGCATTTTTGTAAATGTTAAAGAACCAAAGATTCTTCATGAAGGAAGTTGTATACTTAACACTATTCTCCCTGCCTTGTCAACAACCATGTGAAACTGCCTATACCTTACAAATGGATCACAGGAAGTTTATTTTTTCATCCAAATGGACCATGCTCATGACGACTTTTTGTCAGGTTCTTGATGCATGTAAGTATTCAGTGCATAATTAACAAATGTTGACTGCTGTGATGTTGGATATGAGGGGCGCATTCACCAAGGGTGCACTGCGCCCCGAGGGTGCTCAAACCGTCTCATTGTCGCGTGCTCGAAACAGCTGATCGTCTGCTAGTTCGCTGCTCCCACTCGTGTGAAAACATGGTGAATATAGCGTGGGTACCAACGATACAAGCGTTTCACACCGTATGTACCCGTACATGTACAAAGTCATAGCAAACTCCCTGTGGGATATCACATACGTGATATCCCACAGGGAGTGTTGCTATGACTTTTTATAAATTTAACACGTGATCGTTCTAAGCCAATGAAAATACAGTATTCAAGACAGAGGTATAACAATGCTTGTTATACTAAGGTGGATAAGCATCCTCATTTGTGAAATAAGAGATTCCAACTATTTGTGAAGCAGATTGTGAGTACTTGGACTGACTTGAGTAATTCATAACTCTTCTCATTCAGCCTCATGGCATTCTCCCGCCAGAATTTCTCACTCCGGTGCACAGGACTCCACTCCAGTCGACCTGACTTGACCTCTGATGAATATTCATCAAAAGAGCTTGAAAACAGAAGCAAGAAGATATATTAATCAGTTGAATCAAAATCAAATACTCATTGTGATTTTCAGACAATATTGAGTCTGAGAAACAAATACTCTGTTGTATAAAACCACTTTAAAACAACCTAACCACTTGCGTTTCCTTGCAATATATTCACTCACATTTTTACAAAGTTATAGTGCCCTTTTAAAAGTCAAGTTATCTAACGTACACTTCAATAATTTGTAAAGATTAATCATTTGTAATCAATTTTTTTTTTTTTCCCTAAACTTTTTAAAAGTCTTACACTCTACTTTTTTCATAACAATTCTTATATTAAATATGTTGGTTGTACAAAATTAAATATTGGTGTTGCAAAAATGTTGCTCCTCCCTCCTCTCTGTCACAATCTATGCCCCTCCCCCTCCACCAACCTACCTGAGATCCACCATACTATTCTGTAGTTTCTCCATGAGATATTCCACATCCTCAGTGATATCAGGATCTTCAATCTTTTGGCCTTGTAGTACTTCCAACTGCTTCAAGACTTTGCATTGTATCATAGCCAGGGCGTTCTCTTGAACCACTTCCTTCTCTTCTGGCTTCTCAATCATATTCTGCAAAGAGTTGGTTCATTTAACTATTGATACATTTCTTTTACATGGCAGTTTTCTAATCCATACATGTATCTTGGTGTGTGTGCGTTTGTTTCTGCATTCAATAGGGGACATTGAACAATAGAGGACAATGGGATCCGTGCACAAGTACCCCATCAACGGCCAGAAAAGGAGAGTTGGGGGTGACCTAGACTGGTTCCCGATCCATCCACTGAATATTTCGCAAGTATCCAAAGTCATTTGAGGTGGGAATTAGTCTCGCAGACCATCGCAAGTTAATATCGAGTGTTTTTGTGGGCCGACAACACTGGACGTTCACATGAAGACACTGTGGCTATAGCTTTTGCACATTCAGGAAGTCGTGCGTAATTTGCGCACGAACCAGTACAGTAAGGAACGTGCACGCTGTGCCTCCCGTCCACGGCCCTCTCAAAAGAGGTAAAACGCGCCTTCTTTTGTTGGCACACGGAGCTCATAGGGTCCCCAATTCCCGAAAGGTCCCCAATTTCCACTTGTGTACAAAACATATGGGAGGTCTTCCTAAAAAGTTTAAGTACAAACAAAAAAGGTAGGGGGTCCCTGATTGCAGGCAAATACACACTTGTATGGGGTGGTAGGTGTAAGGGACCGGTTTTTGTTGAATGTGATATACTCTTTAGATTTAGGCTACTTCAAACATCATAGAATAAAATAGTAATTTCTTTGCTAACTTAGAAGAGCCCATCGTTTATTACAGAAGAAATATTGTCATGAGGGTCACCACTTGTTCTTGTGTTCAGTTCAACTAAAGATGGATTCATCCTTGCTGCACAGATAAACACAAACATGAACTTGTGATGTCACTACGAGTATGTGCGCTGCCAAATGCAAGTTGTATGCATTTCAACTCCAGCAAACTTTGCTGTGATTGTTTCATGATGTCAAAGTCGTTTCACATCTGCAATAGTGAGTGAGAAGTATAAACTAGTCTTCTCAAGTGAGTTTTCTTGACATGAACACTGGCAAAGGGGAATGTCTGAGCACCAGGATGGTGCAAAAAGAAGGAAGCCCACGTTTGACAGGGATTTTTACTTACTTGTTTATTTGAACTGTTTTTATAACATGTATAATATAGTGAAGTATAGCTCTTCAACCATACATGGTGAAAAAAATCTTTTCAAAAATCACAAAAACAGTGTTATTATGCTAATTTGAATACAAGTCACCAAAGTCACTGTTGTCCACGTGTAAGTCTGGTGTAGTGTTTTGTGTCTTCAAATCAAGCTACGGAGCTCAGTCAAGCAGATGGAATAAAGCCGTCCATGGACAAACAGGTTTGGCACATGACATTTTTTAACTACCATATCTCAGAGACAAACTATGCATTTGCAATCAATGTTTCGTCACTTATTTTTAAAGATCAATACTTCAATACCATTAAATTGAATTTTTAAAATATGCTTACCAAGTAGGAGAAAATTGCTGTCAAAAGTGGGTTTCCTTCTTTTTGCACCACCCTGTATTTCATACTTTAACAAGGACTAACAGTTGCTGAAATGTTCCCTGTTTTCCCTTGACTAGTATAAACCCATTGATCTCCATATACACAGACTGGATAGGACATCGCGTACGAACGTGCGTCCGCGCGCGCGTTTTTTGAAAAGGGTAAAGAACACAATTTCGCATTCGAGTTGTGTACACTTTCGAACGGAGGATTAAAAAATGAAATTGGGTTTTCTTCGGTTTCTTTGTCATTTTTTGAAAGAAAAAAGAAACAGAGATCTAAATTGATCAAAATCGACGAGGAGTATAGTCAAGGTGTGCGCAGCATTATATTGCTGGAGCCGGGAAGTAAGTAGCTTTGAAGAATAGGACAATTATTCGCAAGTAAATTGTTTTTTTAACGAGGCCTATACAACATGGCATGGAGGAATATGAACGTGGGAATGACAAAGCAAATTATGATGTCGAAATGTTGCCGCTCTGAGTTTGGGGGGATGGAGGCCTGTGTGGTAGCTAGCGAGATATTCTGTTCAAATTCCATGCGATCTATAAGCCTGTCATGCTGGTCGGCATCATCATTTTTTAAAGACCTAGGCCTATGTCTTTAAAAGAAAAAAAAATAAACTGCCTAAACGTGCATGACTGACCCGGCAATGGCAATGAACAAAAGTTGACTTGTTTAAAATAGTTTATTGAAGTAACTTTTATAATTTTTATATACAAAATCTGATTGAATTATGTCTGCCTTGGCTTAACGGCTACCGAAATGTTTCTATTCTTTTTCTTTATAAAGAGAAACCGAGGAGATGTCTTATGCTTAATTACTGCACACCCGGCCGATTGACCTTCATATCAAACAAACAACTTCAGCAAAGCCATAGCAAAAACCACCATGCAGCTGCAGGACGATATCCGAGACGGACGAAAATGGAGACTTCACGGAGGGATGGAATCGACTGTATCATCCACTGAATGGAACATGCGATGTGAATCAATTCTTAATCAATTCTTAGGATGTGGAACTGTTAACATTGATTGATTTTGTTTTTGGAAAGAAGCTGCTCCCCAGATGACTGTTACTTTTGACAGTTTGTATGGTGAAGAAAGCAATGAGTACTTTTACGGTTTGAACTTATGTTGTGTACGCCGTTATATAAGATTACTAGCTATAGACATTAATACACCGTCATATTCGCTCACAAAAACGACTCCCATTACACTTACAAGTAATTATATTTCTTTTCAGAAGTATAGCTAAACATTTAATTATAAACAAGACCGTGCATAGCTTGATATTCCTTGACAAAATTAGAATTTTGGTTTGTGATTCATCTCCTTTCACACAATATCACAAGAGGTGAACGATGTCATTCCTTGATCAATCTAGGGACGGGAAGAAGTTTTTATGATTACTTTGTAAAATTAAGGTTTTTCTTACCTTATACATTCTAATTGGTTTATGTTCGGGTTTTTTAATAAATATATCAATCATTTGAATGAATCTCCATACAATTTCTCGTGTGAGTGTTCAGCTCAGTTAAAAATATGATGTCATTTCAGCATATTATTGATACAATTATTCATTTCATTGATGGAGTAGTTCAGTGTGCTCTAATGACCGATGTGCCAAAAATGAAATGGCAATTTACTTACAATCATTTTTGGGAAGAGGAGGGGAAAAAAAACAAGGGGAAAGTAAAGGGGGGGGGGTTCTTGAATTTCGAAAATGCATAATAAGAAAGTGTATATCAAGAAAGTGTGGAAAAGCTGTTTGGAGGGATTGAGGGTAACTCTTCATCGTTCAGTTATTTTTTTTAAAGATTGTTTTGGAGGAACGCTGGAACTCCCTCCTGTAAGAAAAATTCCACACAATAGTCCATTTTCCAAAGTAAACAAAGTGAAAGCACAATGCGCGTTTACCCGTCTGACAGTAAACGCGCCGCCATTGTTCGGCTGCGCATTCGTGCACAAACACGGCGCGATGTCCTATCCAGTCTGTGTATATGGAGATCAATGTATAAACCCTAGGTAACAAAACCTCACCCTGAAGACCAGCAAGATAATCCTGGTGACTTTCTCCTTGACAGATTCACTCAGGATATCGGCAAGAACTGGAATGATGCTATACCTGATCAGAACACAGAATAATAAGCATACAATAAGGGTTATATCAGTTTGAGTATCTAGGTTTGTAATAAGATTGAATACAAATCAGAATTGTCTACATCTGAGTCCATATTCATCAAATCTGATTAAGTAAAATTCTGTTGCCAAAGTGTCAGGTATTACTCTACATCATAATGACATTTTTATTTCTCAATGCCAAACACGGCCCAATTTCATGGCGCTGCTTAACAGTCAGCAGAAAAGTTGTGCTTAGCATAGCAGATAAATTTGCTAACCTCAAGCACACGGAGTGGATGTGCTAACGGTCGTGCGTGCATGGAGATTTCTATTGTTACGTCACTAAGTTAAGCAACTTTTTCCTCTTGAAGTAAGCATGCCTTCTGCTGTGCTTATGCATACGGTCTCCATGAAATAGATGGAGGCTCTGTTAGCATTAAATCATTGCTTAGCAAATTGGGCCCAGGCCTGTGTACTTAGCAGACATTGGTCCCACATGGCATAAAACACACATGCTGCCGATCAGGTGACAGAATGGAATGATCAGGCAGCCAATAAACACCACACACCAGCTTGGTCCAGAAAAGAATGTTTATCTTGCTATTCTACTCACTTGTTGAGTTGAGCGCATAGTTGTGGATGGTAGGACAACATCCATACACAGAAGGCCAGCTGATACTGAATCTGGAAACTGACCTTACCAGCCAACACAGATAAAATACTGCAATACAATCATATAAAAAGGTCATTCAGTAAGAAAATTAGTAATCCTCAAACAAAAATGCTTAGAACAATGATTACCACGATTCTCTAGTCAACCACCTTCCCAGAAGCACGGTAGAACACAATGGGGTCCACAAGAGTCGTTTCTTTTAAGCAATGTTTGGCTGTCAATGCTTGGTATCATGTCAAAAAGAAAATGGAAGCCAAGGGAGGTGTTGCGTAGTGCGTACAGACCAATCCTGATATGGTGCCTGTCATTAAGCAGTTTTGTACAATAGCAGGCATGATGCTTCAACCACACCATTCTGAAATTTTCTAAAAATCAAAACTTCCCCGAGTTTCCCTGAGAAGTTTCCAAACTTCCATGAGAAATGGTTTCACTTTAACAATTGATGGAAAGTCTAGAGTTGCATGTAGCACAGCCTATTGTTATTATCTGGAGATGTGTGTAAATATTGACAGTGCATAAACACTAAAACGCCACATAACCAGTCAGTCAATGGCCGCAACTTGGACACATGGCACGAGATGCACATACGTCAAACTGGAGTTTCCCTGATTCGTGGTGTTTTCCTGAATTCCCAGAGTTTTCCTGAATTCCCAGAGTTTTCCTGACTGGAAAAGCGCAAACTAATTTTCAAGGTTTTCCCTGATTTGCAGAGTGGGTGGGAACCCGGCTGTGATTATACAGCAACTCCGTGCTGGAAATAGTCTATAGTCAAATGTTTGGTATAGGAGTGACTGTTACAGTAGCGTTCTACTGAGTAGTCTCCAATCTAGGGAAACTTCATGGAACATTATCACACATCTTTGGAAATGGTTCCACTTCTCACAACATGTTTCCACTTTTTGTCAGATGGGATTTTCATCGAGGAGAAGTAAATGTTCCCAATTTATCAACAATATCCTCATTCAAAGGACATAATGAATCTCACATGAAGGATGTAGTCTGACTTAGACAAGGTACATGTAAGACTACACTGCAACTTACGTGCTGACGCCTTCATTATCCATGAATGCCACTCGGTACACGTCCAGCCGGAGCATCTGCTGCAAACACTCAGCTACTGTCTGCACATACTCATTGAATGATGCAGACAACTGCTGCTTGATCCAATTGAAGAAGTATTTGAGATCATTGGCGTTCATCTTATCCTTGCTGTAACAAGCTAGCTTGGTGATGATACGGCAAGCCTGTCAGAACGCAAGCATTCAGTCAAATGACGGTCTACTGTCCAATTATGGTTTGATTTAGGATTGTGGTTTTTTTACATCACGTCACTTTTTCCCTTAGAAACCTAGCCCTAGAAACCTAGAAACCTTTCTCACTTAGGCAAATTCCAACACAATATGGCAAACCATACACAAAAACTGTTGGATTCTGTTTATGTGTGGTATGCCTGACCCCATGTAAAGCATAATCAGTTTACTAGTGCAGTACTCACTCCAACAGATTCCAACAAACCCTGGTGTTGGAGTTTGACTGGATGGTGATTGTTAGGGTTAGTAATATTAGGTCTGTACTATATATATACTGTTCTGGCACGATGCAGGCACTATTACTCACATTTGCGTATGTGTGCAACTTTCCTTCAACTTTCATAATAATTTGCTGTTTCTGACATGTACATACCCAAATGAAGTGTACAATTACACAAGTAGACAAGACAACAAGAGAAAAGTGTGACCCATATCAAAAAACTTTAAAGCACAAAATTCTATTTTCCAATGTTAGTCTCCAGAAAGTTTCTACAAAATTTGATATAATAATCATCATTATCAAGTTACCCGAATTCCTTTTTTTTAAATTAAATTATTTCCTAACAAATATGAAGACAGTCGGAGCATACTGACCGGAACGTCGAGTTAACACCTCTGGTTCTTTTCAGAACCATTCTCTTAGTTGAGAAATTATTCCCACATGGTGTTTAGCTGCAAACCTTTCATTGATTAGTATCTCCACCATGCAAAGCCTCAAATCTTACTTCAAATGAATGGCCTTCAATAGCTTGGAATCACCTACCTGGTTGGTGGTGAATGAATCTTCACGGTTCAGCATGTTCAGGAATGGAGTCCATGGAGCAGTCTTACTCTTCTTGCCATGTTCAACAAACACACTCACACGCTCAGGTTTCTCCTGAAAATAACATCACAAGTCACGATAAGGTATTTATCATATAGAGTCTTTACACTCTTAAATCTATTCTATCCATGATAGTCTCCTGTTTGGCACACACATGACTAAACGGTAAACTTTTCACCGCAATATGCTGGTGGATTTTCTGTCTCAAGCTATTGAAAAACACAGAGAATGCAGTGCCGATAAATAAATGTCAGCTACAGGCCTACAAAGTACAACCCAAGATTAACCCTAACTGCCCTGAATCCTTCAAAATCCTCTCTGCCAAAGTGGAGGAATCTGGAGGATTGAGGTTACATGGCAAAAGTGCGTTACTGATTTCGTAGGATGCACTTTGTCAAAGTCTTGGGCCGAACCTTGTGTTGTTTTTGCTCAGCCATGCATAAATATAGGACTGGATTATGCTTGAAATCCTCCCTACTGCTCCAGGATGTCACTGGCCAAGCCTCAACATATTGAGGTCACTGCTGCAGGATTTTGCAGGATTCAGGCAGTGGTCACCCCTCCACGGACCATATTAAGAAAAAATGGAGGAATTTGCAAGATTGAGGCTATATGCTATTTTTTCATGAGGCCAATTTGAGGATTTTGCAGGATTGAGGCTACATCCTAGCAAAAAGGCCTAGGGAGTTAGGGTTAATTAAAAAGTGGTAGTTCTTTCCAGGAATATTGTCAGTTATTCATCCTTGATGCACAATAATTGGCAAGCAATCACACACATCCAGATATTCAAATATTTGGGAAAAGGAGAAATAATATACACAATGAATGCCTTGGTAACACTTTCACGCCCCAACTATAGCAAGGGTCCCAATTTCGTTGGCACAATCCAAACTATTATTGGGACAGTCCCCACAATAGTTGGGGAATTCCTAACTATAGTGGGGATGATCCTATCTGTAGTTGGGATCGTCCCGATGCCCAAGTTGGGGCGTAACAATAGCTGCCCAAACATTCTCTTATGATAAGCTAGGGGTACATACCTTGAGCATACTGTCAATCATAGTCAGGATGTATCGCACTGTCTGTTCCTTGGCAATACGTCCCATCAGACGAATGAAGACTTTAGCGCACTGAGGTCCTAGATTCTGAATCAGCTGGTCTCGTCTCTCACTGCTGGCATTGTCATAGTCACGGATGAAAGTGAAGTCATCCTGTGAAATCATCTGACCCCTGCAGATTGTACATTGTATCAAAGCATTAAGTCACATATAAGTCACAAAAAAGTTACCGAAACAGCCCTGCGTTTGTCCACAAGCATTCATGTAAGTCTAGTTATTATTATTATTATTTCTGAAAAAAGAAATGAAAAGGAAAGAATGCAGCACACATACATGACATATGGCACTTCTTTGGGGAGTCCAGTGCATTTTCAAAGTAATTTCTAAAAATGGGAAATGCTTCTCAGTTGCAGATTCATTTCCTTACAACATTTTGGCAGTGACTGATCTTCATTGAGATAATACAATTACAATTTAAAATATAATTTCTATTAAAAACTATAATTTTGATTAAAAAATAATGGCCTGAGGAAGCAACCTTCTTTCCTACCATATTAAAAACAAGTTTAAACGCATTACATATTTTGGTATAATTTCTGTCAATTGCAAACATGCCCCTGCCAGTGTAGTCTATGCAATAGACCACGGCAAATGCCGTGGTCTATTATGCGCGAACAGATTTGCTGATTAATTAGGCAAGACCCTGCCTCTTGACTTCCTAGATTTTGACCAATCGGCAGGCACTTTCTATAGGTCTATCGGGTCTTCGGTCATTCACCCGTTGCGCGTCATAGACATGGATTTTTAAAAAAATGTCACAGCGCGCGGCGCTTGGTATCATGTTACGCAAATGCGCTCCCGGCCATGCCTGCTGTTGTTATATTACAAAACGCTGCATTCGAATCGACCAATCACAGCGTTTAGTCCTGATTTTCGAATGAAATGACGTCACGATTTAGTAAAGTCGACTCCGATTGGCTGGCGCGCGGCTTGCATAAATCTGCATGCTTTGACATATCAGCCGTTAGACAGGAGATGGCTCCGTGGATAACGGGTGATACTCAAACTACTGCCAGTGCAGAGTATGAAAAAAACATTTCACATGATGTAACCCCACCCACCCCACACACCCCAAAAAATGTAAGAAAAGAAATAATAAGGAAAATAACAACTCTCAACACAGCCATTTTTGATTGGACAAAAATATTTGGTTCTTTTAAATGGGTGAAGTTAGTTGGACTCTTATTTCACACTCTCTGAAGACATGTCTTATGCAATTGGGAAACACCCATGAGTATTGTTGCTGTTTTATTTGTCAGCCTTGAAAGCCAGAAACCAGAAAGCATACAGGATCATGAACAAATATCAATCAGAGCATGTTTCTTGATCTTTCTGCCAGCTATATCGTAGAGGGCCCAGTTTTCGACGGTACGCGTTTTCGAGGCTTGACCTTCTATGTCACAGGGCGTGATGTAAACAACTCCGTGTGACGTCTCAAACTTGGAATCTCCCGGTTCGTTTGCTGCTCTTGTCTGTCACCGAAAATGTGGAAAGTTAAGGCTCTTCCGGTAGGTTAAACTTGTACGACTCAAAAAGTTGTTCTTTTGGGGCGTATTTTACTAGATACAAAGTGGTGAGGCGTTTCATGGCTCTTGTTTTCTTATTGGTCCTAAAAAGTTTCTGTGTGTGCCATAACAAAGCCCAAGATATGCAGAATAAAAAAACGTCACGCAGTTGTAGCAAAGCGTTCTGGGTAAAAACTACGGAGTGTCCTATGGAGCGTCTCGCTTATATTTTATGATTTATTATTATTTAAAAGGCATAAAGTAAAATGATCAAATTGGCTTCATTTGGTTTAAATACAAAAATTAATACAATGATTTCATGTGAAATTTCATGACAACAGTGAACATATAGACGTCGAAAATGCAACTCGGCCCCTATGTATTATTTATTCTTTTGTAAAATTATTATGTATTATTGTTTCCTTTTTTTACAGAACATGTGCATGAGTCCGGTGAAACGACCCAGGCCAATCACCTACAGGAACTACTCTCCGTCAGCCTTAACCAAAGCATTCCATTTGGTTATTGACGAGAACAAGTCCGTTGAGGCTGCAGAAAAAAGATGTGGCGTTCCCGTGACAACATTGAAGGATCGAGTCAAAGGCCGAGTTGACCCAGAAACTACCAAGTCAGGACCAGCTCCCTTGTTTATCCTTGAAGAAGAGGCAAAATTTGTGGAACATCTCAAGAAGATGGCCGTAATGGGTTATGGGTACAGGAGGGCTGAAGCTGTCGACATAGCTACCTTGTATGCTGTCAGTCTCCACAAACGGCAAGCAGGACATCCATTAACCCTCAGATGGTTCAGAAATTTCATGGGAAGATGGCCGGAGCTTCATGTGAAAAAACCATGAAGGTTGGACATATACCGTACATGTACAGGGCAAAAGCTACATCTAAGGAAGTTGTCAAGGCATATTTCACTGAGCTTGACAGAATAATGACCATGTACAAGCTAAAAGATGCCCCTCAGAGAATCTACAATATTGATGAAAAGGGACTGAGGCAAAATCATTCTCCACCTCATATCGTCAGTGCGTCCAAGAGCACAGTTGCTGTCACCACAGGCAAGGGTTCTACTGTGACAATCATTGGTTGCGGGAATGACATTGGACAGCAACTTCCACCATATTGCATATTTCCAGGACAGAGGATAAGACAAGAGCTTCTTCAAGGCTGCACTCCGGGTGCGAGTGGAACTGTTAGTGACAGTGGCTGGTCCAACTCTGAAGTTTTCATGGACTACCTCTCATCGCATTTTTTAAAGTATGTCACAGACAGCAGAGATGATGAGCCCATCCTTGTCCTTTATGATGGACATTCTTCCCACATCTCCCTGCCATTGATTGACTGGGCAAGAAAACACAATATCTTGTTGTTTGTCTTACCAGCACACATGAGCCACGTCCTGCAGCCAATGGATGTTGGATGCTTCGGGCCATTTGAGAAAATCTACAATTCAATTTGCCACCAACACATGCATGCCCACTCTACAACAGGCATTGACAGATACTCCATCTGTGAACTTGCTTGCAGAGCATACTCCAAGGCCGTATCCCCTGACAACTTATGAAGCTCGTTCAAGAAAACTGGCATCTATCCTTGCAACTATGAAATAATCGATGTCAGCATTTTAAAACCAGCCAAAGCACTAAACAAGACAGCAAGTGAGCTGACAGATTTGTCTGAACCCCAACCAGTTGGTCCACAAGGTGACGGCAGTGGCAGCCTCCCTCACTCAGACTCCTGTGATCTCTTCAAAAAAAAGAGAAGAGATCATAGGCCAGCAAGAGAAAGTACCAAGAAAGAGGAGATGTGTCTCTTCGGTGACATCGGGAAAGGCCATAACTGAAGAAGCAGTAAGGAAGAAGATTGTGCAGTTTGTTGAAACGTCACAGAAGAAGACATCAACCAGAAAGAAGAAATATAACCCCACCAAAAGGGCAAAGAAAACCGAATCTGCTGCCATGGTTGCATCACAGAAGAAGACATCAACAAGAAAGAAGGAATATAACCCCACCAAAAGGGCAAAGAAAACAGAATCTGCTGCCATAGCTGCATCACAAGCCTGTGAGCCTGGACCAAGCCGAACAATCACATCCGGCCTTGATGTATCTTCTGATGAGGAAATGAACGAGGATGAGAAATGCTGTGTGTGTCACCGATACCGCCCTGTTGAACTTAAGGATTCACTCTATTTCACCTCATGGGCTCAGTGCATGTTCCAAAGCTGTTCACATTGGGTTCACCTCAAGTACTGTTGTAATGACACAAGACTACGACTGAAAGACATTTTTTTGCCCATGCCATGGTTTGCCATGCTTTCAGTCCACAACAGAAGAGTAATTTCAAGTTCTTTCCCAGTATGTGCTTGGTTTACTTGAAGATCCAAAACTCAAAAAAGTTTTAAAAGTGGCAAAGTTGTAAATGAACTTCATTTCGCATTCAAGAGGATTGTTCCCATTTTGCCAAAACTGAATTATTCATTACGATGATGAAATTAATTTTCTTGTTTATTATGAGGATGGTTTTGATGATTTGGAAAAGGAGGGGGGGGGGGGCGAAGGAGAGGATAGCAGGAACCATGAAGACCCAAGGAGAAGGAAAAGTCACTCCAACTTCCCCATCTCCAAAGTGGAGCAGATGGGCCCAGGCCAGGGGGTACGTATTATTGGATCATAACAACAATGCTGAAAATGCAAACCATTTTGCGTATGGCTTCACTGGGACACCTTACTCAACGCGACCGTCAAAAAGGTCACAATACTTACTGTGCCGTGCGCCACGGACAGCAACAAACCAGGTAATTTCGCAAAAGTGACAGGAGTGATCAACGTTCTCCAAGTTATTCTATAAGTCTGTGGTATGAAAAAAGTGACCAAGACCTCTTTTTTTGTGATACTTTCTTTCATGTTGGTCAGTTTGAAGAAAAGGCCTTATATCGTCAAAAACCTGTCACGCGGGGATAGTATTATAGATTTATAGTCATCGAATTTGTCAGAATAAAGATGGATGTGTGCAACCAGAAACATGTACTGGCAGTCCTCCCAACGGGATACAGCAAAAGTCTTACTGATATAGTTCCTCCACTACTCCAGGGTTCTAAGAAGTTGTCCCATGTCATCAGCCCCCTTGAGGCTTTAATGCGCAATCAAGTGAATGCATTAGCTCAGACGGAGATGCCTGCTGTTGCGGTTGTAAGCTGTAGCGAAATGACAGAGGAAGACAAGAATCGTATGTGATTTTATACTTTGTCACCACAACATCACAACATCCAAGGGTGGACAGTTACTGTGAGGGGGTGGGGGGTAGATGGCAGGCTGAGCTAGGGCTCTCAGAAGTGAAAAAAAATTCCTTATTTGGCATGTTTGAGGGACTGACAGAGACACCGACACCAATCAAGGGCAAAATTAAACTTTATACCTCACTGATTATGATAATAATTGGTAATAACAAATTGATACAGCAGTTGTCCAAGGTTGACTGCCTTCTTACAGCCTGATCCTGATACATGTATAATCTCATACACTGAAACTGTTTACTGTTTCACACATAATTTCATTCAATGCTGTACAAATTAATTGCATACAGTCCCTTGAAAACATCATATTTTCTGTAAACCATTTAACATTTGTAATTAACTTATAAAAAAACGTGTACATGTACTGCTATTAATTTAGTTTTACATGTGCTCTTCATATGTAACAAACAGGGATGTCAGGGCTGCGTTTGTCTCTCCAGAAGCGCTTCACGATAGAGCACATAAACTCCGACCTCTACCATGATGAACTGGCTGTGACTGCCATCGACAAGGTGCACACTCTGGCTACATGTACAAGCAATTATATACAGTTCATCTACACGGAACGAAACCTATAATGTGAATTCTTTTTAATTATATATGTATTTTCTTTCCTTGAAAGGGGCGACAGCTTTAGACCGTCCTTTAAGGCACTCCGCCGGCTTCAGAGTTTATTTGAGAATGTACCTGTGCTAATGCTTACAGCAACATTGACCGAAACTGCTCGAGTGAAGATTTTAGACACTCTACATCTACAGAGCAGTGACATTAAGGAAGTCTTCAGAATCCAGACAGGTAGGTCAAACGATAACGTTTACAAACACAATAATGTTCTGGCCTACTGAAATATAGGCTTTCATTCACTAAAAGATAGGTAACCTTCAAAGAAAAGGTACATTTTGTTTTCAGGACAACCAGAATAAAGACATCCAGCTATCAGAAATATTTACTTCTTCCCACAAACTATACAGTCCTAAATGATTAAAATAATTCTAAAGAGAAATTGTTGTTCTTGCTGCTTTTGCCATTGGTTCCGCAAGTGAAATCGTATAATACATGTGAAGTGAAAGATATATAGCCAAATATTTCTGACTATTCAACTGCTATTCATTACGCGCAGACCAAATATTCATCTTCATGTGAAGCATAAACGAGGCATGTCTCTCATTAAAGAATTAGAGTCCTGTTTCATATCTCTTCGCCAGAACAGAGGATCATCACCTAAAGTGTTTGATATACATGAATGGGTCAGTGCCAGTATACAATGTATAGTATACTCTCCTTCAAGAAATGGCATTTCTCTCTAACAACAAAATAAGAGGAGCATTTCGGCTTGAAATTCCTGAAAATGTTATGTTGCAGATTGCTTACTTATACTATTTTAAAGGTGCAGTAGAAAAGAAACCAACCTAATGTCTTTCTGTTCCCTATAAAAGAGGGGGGTAACCAGTGTTTACATCGGACACGACGGAGTACGAGTACACATTTAAGTTTGGGATACGTCATTTTCTACATTTATGATACTCAAAAAGAAATTATACAACACAGAAACCAAACCAGCACCGACAGGTTATGTAGTAAGTAATGTTAACTAGTGCATGTGGCATTATTGTTTTTATTTGTAAATGTATACAGGACTTTCAACGCCCTCGCGAAGGCATACACTGATGTCCGTGATGTTCTGCAACAAGATGCATTCGTCGAAGGCCAAAAAGACAGATCCCAGCTCAAGTTTAAGGTCTTTAATTCAAAACTGCCGGTCAGGAACGTATCTTGGATGAATGTTCAATGCCAAGTTCAGCCATACGGTGCCTTATGTGCACATCCGCTTTCAGAATGGGAATAGATATCCCAGATATTCGGCGTGTGGTTGTGTGGGGAGAGCGGGAAGGGAAGGCAACCCAGCAGAGGCAGTCATACTCTTGGCACCAATCACCTTTCGGCACGCCCATGAATCAATCAAGAAACCGTGTGATGCTTGCAATGTATTCAGGTATTAGAGAATACATTCTAAGAAACACATTCTACAAGAATATTGATCTGGAAGAACTCCAGAACTTTGTTGGAAATCCTGTTGGTCCCCCACCCTACATGTATGTAAGGAGATCTCTCTCCAGGTCAAGTCGTTGTCCATATTTCTTCAATTTTTCTGCTAGTTTCCCTTCTTCTTGAACTTTATGTGTGCATGAAGTTTGGCTACGTTGTGTGCGCCCTTCCCTGCTTCATGTGGAGGACTTGATCCTCTGTCAGCAGCTCCGCGACCTGTGTGATGTCATCAAGGTAGCTAGCTCTTGAAGACTATGACTTTCCTACGTACTTATCCATCAGCTGCTCTGTGAACATTCTACGGAGAGATGCCCCTAGACTACCAGTGATGCGGCTGACCCTAGTGATGTGTCGCTCTGAGTAATTACCCCTGGCATGCTTGAGTGTGCCTGTGGAAAGAATCAAATAGTAATTCTTTGTTTGTTAGTTTTGCTTTATTTTAGAAAAGTTTTACCCTTTTCCTGTTACCCCCTCAAAAACCTACAGTGCCAGCATAGCAGACTGGAATGATAAAGCCAGTGGACAATGTTATTACTTTTAAATTCGTTATTTTCAAATCTGTTTACCAGGTCCAGCACAATGCTTTTTCCCGGTCCGCCAGTGATGTTAGCAGTTCGATTCCATGTTGTATCATGGATTAGTGTCCCTGGCAGCCATCTACTCACACCTGTCATGGCAGAAAAAATATCACGGCCATGGAATTAGCAGCTTATCACCATGGCAATCAATACAACATTGCTGAGTTTGAATAGAGGCTCAACAAGACTGGGCAGCAAAATATCAGCTTCTTTCGCTTTTGCACTTGAAAATTAAGCTTTTGTGTAGCGAAACTTTGAAACTAATTTGGAAATGTTGCAAGGGAGTCAAGTTGACCTGTGTCCCCATACTCAAATCTTACCTAGTTCATGGAATGCTGTATGGCACAAATTCAACAAATCTGCAAATAATCGATGCACCAGAGTCAGGTATTTGTGGTGTTTCTTCTCCCAGAACTGTGGATGACACATTTCGCAAAATCGCAGCATTTGAGGCCCTCTCTGCATGGGTGTTGCACATAATATACAGGCGGCTGTATTCCTGGACGTGGTCTGCATGCCTCATAGCACTCGGAGGAGCAGTGCCAGTTGTTATCTAATAAGTATGGAAAAGGACCAAAGTTATTGTTAAGAGAGCGTGGAAGTCAAAAGTCTGAAAAAGTCAAAAATTTATAGAAAAGCAGACTATCTGGAAAAATGATACAGTTAAGAGCTAAATCTATTTCAGCCACTTATTTCTTGTAACATTTGTTCGCTGCTTACATGTAAGTGCTATCAATGTGCATTTTGTTCTTGGACAATATAGGAAATTAGCAAGAAAGTTTTCATCGTGTTGATAAAGTCAAGTGTACAGATTTTTCCCTTGTGAACTATACATTTCCCGATTTTAACAATAACTTGTTCTGCTGAAAACTGTCAAAACTTTTTATTTTTCTACTTCAAAAGGTTAACAAACCTGGAACAGAAGACAACCCAACACAATGTAAGTGGTACCACTGAGAGGCAGTGCAACATTCCCCCCTCAAACACTCAACGTAAGCCGCTCCTTCAACATTCTGCGACAACAGCAGAAGATGCTATAGCATCTGCATGGATCGCCACACCACCAATCGTCTTAGACATCGATGTCGTCTTCAGTGAGGCAAAGACAATCCAAGTGGTACCATTTTCTGCAACTGTAATGTCTTCTGGCGCTGCACTCGATCCAAACGCCGCCTACATGCACATAAGTTACATGGTGTAAGTTTCTTTTCTTAATAAGTTACATGTAGCTGGGCAAGCTGAACATTACATTCAGGTTTTACAGTGGATAGCATGATGTCATTTTCTGGTCAAATAAAAACGTCTCCCAAGCTACTGTAAATCAATTCAATTTAATTCAATTCAGTAGACATTTATTTTGAACTCTGTAGTGAAAAAATACAAACATAATTACTTTGGAATCCATCAACTGAATGACGTGATATTTAACGTGTGTGAACGTTTTCAGTCATGGGCATGATGGGTACATCTTTTGAGGGTTCTACCATAAACAGCAGCACAAAAAGAGTGTCAAGTATGATGAAAATACTGACCACCCAGTTATGATTAGACTCACTGTTAAATACTGTCAACCAACACTGCTTTCAGTTTGAAAGGGTGTCGAGATGGGCCCCCAAAAATGTTTCATGTTTCAATGCCGTACCCATGGTTGTACTAACCTTGATCTTCACCACAGTGGCAAAAGGAACGATCGTCTTTACGTTTGTCTTGCTTCTCATATCCATTGCAGGCCACTTGTAACTTCACCTGGTCAATCATGGGCCACATTTCATCAACGATTATCTCAGCAGTCTGGATGAACTCTGTACGTTCCTCTACAGACGCTGATAGTGAGGGACAATCCGCAGGAATACTGTGCCTGTCATCCATGTGGAGAACCTTCATCGCAAGGTTAGCCATGCTTTCAGTGGTGATTTTCAGTAAATCCACTGCATGGTTTATACAGGAAGACACCTTCGTCTTAACATTCTTGTGGCTGAATTTGTCCCTGATATTATACAAAGTTCCACGCTGGGCAGCACTTGACAGGTTGTATAGACGATCCATGTAATCCTGGTAAAGGGAAATCATCAAAAAAGTATTTGGAACCATGAAGCAAATATTTATAATGTAATTGCTCGTTTTCTTAGCACGACCAATTGTAAACTTTCTAACTGATACAGTGCACAAACAAATTCTGTCTGCGAACACATTCTCTTCGCCATGAACATTGATGAATACGTTATATGTTAAAATTATTTAATGTCCCGTTCTATATTTCCTCGAAATAAATATATGTTTTAATTGATATTTTCCTTTGCAGTACAAAAGTTGTTAACTTGTGAACCCGACATCTAACAAACAAATCATTTGCCGTTTAATTATAGTTTCTTGTTTTTTCTTTTTTGGAAATTCTAATTATTACCGGCCTGACAATAATTTGGTCAATGCTGGGCGGGTTCACTAATTTTTGCACAAAGGCGACGCAAAATAACAGTGCAAATTTTAATAAAAATTGTCAAAACAAAACATGCAAAGTAAAAATTCGCTTGGAGAAAAAAAATGGGAAGAACACAGGGTATGCCTCTTTGGTGGGCTAATCGGTTACATGGGCTATCGCAGTTTTCTGACCAAAGTACGGGCACAATAATTATAATCGATCAACTATGTACATGTACGTGTATGTTGTGTGAAGAAAAACATAATGGAATATATTACAACTTTACCTGCAGAAGAATGGGTCGAATATGGAACTGTTGGGCAGTAGGCTCTAGTCCAGCCATCCTGTCAATTGGGTTGAAGCAAGTCCCCATAACCAACCGGGCTTCTATCATCCTTGGTCCCCATTGGTCCCCATTGCAGCACACGGGAAGGATCTGTCTTCCACATCCAGGGACATACTGATTAAGGTGCTTTCATGATACATGTAGTCAGAACTCCTTTCACAGAGCAAGGAATACATGTAGCTTGTACGACGCTCGGGTTTATCTTAGTTGATTAAAAAATAAGATGGCATGATAAATACTTTATATAATCAATACCAGCAAATTCATAGTTGTAAATCACTCATTCTGTATATACATCTATAGGTGAAACAATCTCAGTCCATGAGTGTTTGAGTCAGATTGTCTAATATTTGCAGCCAAATTAATTTGTGTCCATTCCCTGCACATTCTTGTCTGTCGTCGTCGTCATCATCGTCCCTCTACTAATCGTCATCTCTGCATTCCGATGGTCATTATATTGTATGAAGTTACAGTCGAACCCTGATAAGAAGAGCACTGTTAATACAAGATCCTGCTTATAACAAGCAAAATTTTAGGTCCCAACTATTTGTTTTTCTTTGTTTTCTTATTACTGTTAATACAAGGTACCTGTTATAACAAGGTAATTTGTAAAGTCCAAGGACCTTGTTATAAAGGTGTTCGACTGTATTTTTATCCTTATAATTTAAATTGTTAGTTATTACCAAGTGGCTTTTTGTAGCTGACAAAGCACTGTACTCGTGGGTGGGTGCACCACAGCTCCTTCACTTGCAGCAGTCAGTGCAGGGAGGGTTCCTTTCACAATCAGACGGGAGACCATTACGGTCATGTGTTGCCTCAGGTGTGCCCAGTCCTCTTCTTGTGGTAGGATCTCACACAAGTCTATGTCTGCTACCTTCCGAAGATTTTCGTCATCACTGGCGAATGCAGCGATGCTGTCCTAGCAGCCGATGCGATTCACGGTTGCAAAGGCGAGCCCACATTGTAACATCTTGTTGGTGTTCTGGGTACCTTGGTGCCTGCATTCTGTAGATATTTGGACGTTGTCCCATGTGATGCTATATCGAGGGGGTATGTCGTCTTCTGAGGGAAATGAACACATTAAAATTCCTCAATTAATTAAATGTTGAAGTTTTATTAGCAACAGTCCATTCACTGCTTCTAAAAATGGATTAAATATATCATCTACAAGTAACGAATTTAGGAAAGAAAACCTTAATTTTGAATGAAGAAAAATTACTTACATTTACTTCCATATCTGTATAAAAAAGGCAGGACTAAATATAGGACCATACATGTTATTGGTTAGAATTTGTAGATATTGGCAAACAACATATAAGATAATGAAAATAATGTAATAATTAACTGTTCCATTACTCATGTCTGTATCTAACTATCATTAAAATTGCTCTCAAAAATTTGTCATCCTGACCTGAGATGCTTAACCGCTCCCATCGTTGATCTTCTTCATCTTACAAAGTTGTTCGCAGCTGGTTAATCTTGAGGATGCTGGTATGGCACTCACGGCACGCGAAGTACTTTGACACACTTGGACTATTAGCGGAAAAGAAAGTGCTAAAAAAGGTACCTATCGTACCCGATCCTGGTATGGGCGTACTCAATGTCGTCCTCGATTTTCCGTCTCGGACGAAGGGCACATTGCAAACCGTGCAATCGGCCATTTTGAAAAGGCTACGAAACGTATTCCGCACGTGTTTTTTTAATTGTTGCACCACAAAATCAGGTGCATTCACATTTCGAGTTTGAAATTGAAGTTTCAAAATGCTCTTATTTTAACCAGAATTAATTTCCTGGGCTAAAATTTGGACTAAATATCCCTTTTCTAAAACTCTTCCATTTGCGACAGATCAACTTACCTTGGAAATTCCTAGTTTTTGAGTAAAATCCATATATCTATTTCGTGAAATTCTTGTGGAGACGTATTCATCTATAGAAATGTTCTTCTGGAGACGTATACAATCTTTTGTTCCCTATTGTGTTCATGTCTCCGTAAGGTAGTAAATTCCAGCACACACACACACACACACTTTTGATTATACAAAATCCAAGTGCCCTGATAAACCAACCCAAGAAACTGTCTACATTTCAGCACTGAACTGCTGGTAAAAAAAACCTTAAAATTATTCAACTCCCCTGCCAACATTCCTGTTTCCGCCCCTGAATCCTCGTGCGATACTTTCACAAGTTTCACAAGAGAACATTGGTCATGAATGAATACATTAACCCTTACCCTACTAGACCCTCCAACGCATGCCAATATGTGCCTCAAGAAAATCTCCTATGTTTTTTGCATGGCCCTCCAATATCTGCCATGTCATTTCAAGGGTAACTGGACAGGCACTCCAATATATGCCACAGAGAACAATGAGAGTCCTCTGATAACAAAGTGAGTGCCCCCAGCTGGTCAGTATCAGGCACCCTCCAGGGCCTCCAACTCCTGCCAATTGGAGCCTTCACTGTTAAGACAAACTATCTGCCAATAAACTGCAGCTGGAGGGCATTGGCATAACCAACTGACATGCAGTAAACTACCCTCAGAGAGTAAGGGTTAATGTTGCCGACAAACACGATGAAGTTGGGGTTGCACGTCACTTAATCCACCCAGTTTCCCCCCCCCCCCCACCGCGCCCTGCCCCTGCTCACCATCATGCTATCATGATGATATTCCAACCTGAAGGGCGGCTGGAGTAGTCCATCTCCCCAGCCCTTGAGGGTTTTTCTGTATTAAATATTTGACACAGTGATAATTTTGTTATATTGTGTGGTTGGGTTCTTTTCAATTGTTTGTGTTGATCTCATGCATTTTGAAGGTGCAACAATCATGCACGCAGGGAAATGGAGTATATACTTTAACGGCTGTTGAAGTTGTAGGGTCGTGGTCGTGATGACCTGCAGGTCACAGGTCACGCAAAATTTATCCAATCAGAGCGTAAACTCATCAGCCCTTCCCAGCGTCCTGTTTGCAGGGCGGGGGGTACCAGCGAACTTCACACTGCAGAATGTTTCATTTTTTAACCGAGGGCGCTATATTCTTCTTCATGTTCTTTTGGCCATCGATTAAAACAACAAGTAAGCTGCAAGGCACTTCCTACATCTTACCCAGAATACTTTGTGAATCACACGAACGTTTCTAGAGCATGGAGAATGAGGTGGATGGTTTTTGAACTGCCATTAATTTGCCTTAAAATTGGATTTAAGGTCTCAAAATTCGCAGGTGACATGCTTGCAACTATAGCATTTTGATGTATAAGTGTGGGCGTTAATTAGCCGAATGGTGAGTAAAAAATGTCAGCAGTAATTTTGTACATTTTCATACACTCACAGTCCCAGTCTGGTTAGGGCCTACCCTAACTTGAGTAACTCTAGACCCGTGAACATGGCTTGTAAACTACGCCACGCTCTTGTACATGTTCGAACCAAGCGAAATCGTCCTTCCGTGACAAAGACTGAACATTGCCTTACCGTGTGATAAGTATTCACATATCAAGCTTTCTTGAACATGTTGAAATCTGCTTTTACGCCAAATCTGGCATTTGAACGATATTTGAGGTAAAATCTGGCAAGATCTCGACGTCCTGCAACCTCCTCCGAGTCCGATCATGCATGTGATTTCCAATGTGATAAATGCTGCAGATAATTTGGTATCGCACTGACACTCCGGGCACTCCTGATGTCCGGATCATAAGTGCGATTCCAAATTATTAGCTGCGTTTATCACGTGGTCTCGTTATTGGCCAATCAGACGTCGCCTAGTATCATATCATACGCCACATGAAGCAGACGGGTAGCTCGGAGGGCTCCGATAATTTTGCACGCAAATGACCCTGGGTACTCGTCCAGGGTCATTTGTCAGGGTCACTTGTCAGGTTAAAATCTAATTTCTACACGTTCGTATGCATGGGTCTTCATCGATGGCAAATTTCGTTGAAATGACACATCCTGAACTCGCGGACAGGCAAATTTAGATTTCTAGGTGAGTACTCAACATCTATACGAAATTATGTATGGCGGATCGATTTCGCTAGGTTCCAAAATACACAACAGCGTGGCGTTGTATACAACGCCACGTTCACGGGTCTATCTACTCGGGGGTCAGACAAGTCGACCGTTGAGACAACTCGACTCGGGACAAGTCGACCGTTGAGACAACTCGAACGTTGAGACAACTCGACCGTATGTGCGATAAATGGAAAGACAAGTCGATCGTTGAGACAAGTCGCCTCGCATATTTTGGGCCTAGTTTCGGGGATAGTACCAGGGATTTTGATGGCGGCTGATCGCCGTTTGGGAGTGATGACACATGAGGGTTTTTTTTTGCATATAACAGAGCCGATATAGCGCAGCGTGATTGTCGATCCGTGCACATCAAGGCCACGTGCGCGCATCCCCGGTCAACGTGGCCGTACCGTGCACAGCCGGGCCTGTGCGCCCACTTATCTCATCCCCGGTCGGTCAACGTGGTCGTACCGTGCCGTGCACGGTGACATCGTTTGTGCCGGGCCTGTGCGCCCATTTGCCGCGCCGGTCGACGTGCCCGCGTGCCGGGCCCGGTCCTCGCGGGTGGGCGGGGCGCACCGGCCCGACGCGACGCCCTCTGTACATCGAGTATGCCCACGCCGCACCCGTGATGGGTCTTGCCACAGATTTGTGCAACTTTTTCTGCTCCACGTGTAGCTGGAGTTACCCAGCCCTGAGTTTTATCATTGGGTTGTCTATTAGGGCTGGAGCGCATTTTTCTCAAAACTTGTAGTATTTGCAAAAAAAATTTGGAAAATGTTCAATTTTGTCCCCGTTACACACTAATTGCAACTGCAACTCACCCCAAACTTGCCTGGAATAACCATTACACAGGTCCTTGAAGTAAAAAACGATCCACGATGAAGATTCAGCCTACAATTGCAGTGAAAACAGGAGGAATAACCGCTAACTTGACAACCTTGCTGGATTGGCCAGGACCGCTATTGGTTTGTGCACAAAAAAAATTGTGTACAATGAATGGCGGTCGATTAACAGGCACAGAGAGCGATCGCTGTCAACTACTCGTTTTGCCGGCTGTGCTGGCTGTTGGCGCATGACGTCACGCGGAAGCGTAACACCCGATGACTGTTTCATGCACTATTGGTTGCGGTTCCAGTACCAAAGCTGTGATGCGAGTGGTAAACCTTATACTAGTGCATGAAACAGTCATCGGGTGTTACGCTTCCGCGTGACGTCATGCGGCAAAAACGAGTAGTTGACAGCGATCGCTCTCTGTGCCTGTTAATCGACCGCCATTCATTATACACAATTTTTTTTGTGCACAAACCAATAGCGGTCCTGGCCAATCCAGCAAGGTTGTCAAGTTAGCGGTTATTCCTCCTGTTTTCACTGCAATTGTAGGCTGAATCTTCATTGTGGATCGTTTTTTACTTCAAGGACCTGTGTAATGGTTATTCCAGGCAAGTTTGGGGTGAGTTGCAGTTGCAATTAGTGTGTAACGGGGACAAAATTGAACATTTTCCAAATTTTTTTTGCAAATACTACAAGTTTTGAGAAAAATGCGCTCCAGCCCTAATAGACGATTTTGGGTCAACTCGTACCCGAGTTAGCTCGTACCCGAGTCAACTCGTACTCGAGTCAACTCGTACCCGAGTCAACTCGTACCCAAGTTAACTCGTACCCGAGTTAACTCGTACCCAGGTTAACTCGTACCCGAGTCAACTCGTACCCGGGTCAACTCGCACCCAGGTCAACTCGTACTCCCCTCCTTTTTTAGTTTGGAAGTACGGATGGATGGTTAACAAAACTTCCGATTTTACCCTCAAAAACGGCGACTGAGATATAGTAGTTACGCCGCCAGAAATACAAATAAAGTTCAAGGATTAGTTGAAGGCGGTGGTATCAAATGTTGCTCACAATCTGGATGAAATGGGAAAATGTACCGTTCATCGGCAAGGGCTTCATCGCGAACGGACGGGTACCGCGCGAAGAACATTTTCAAAACGGCATCAGTGTGGTACTCGCGAGTCGACGGAGCCCTCGCTGATGAACGGTAAATTTCACTTTTCATCCAGATCATCAGATGTGTTATTTTAAAATTTGTGTAGTATTTTCTCTTAGTAATGATGTTTTTCTTTCTTTTTTCAGAGACCCTGGATCACTGAGATTGCGGAGTGACTGTGCGAACTGCTACGTCTTTTTTTTGTTCGGTCGAACGTGTTTTAAGGGCATGGTTTTCATTTTTACGAATTTAATAGAAAGCTGCTATTAAAAAATGAATTTTGTAATGTAAAAGTAATATTTTTCAACGTTCACTCACTCCATTTTTGGCATCATTTATTGAATAATAACTGCACATGGCACAAATCTCTTTGGGAAGATTGGGGGCCCTGAAAGTACAAATCTGAAGAGAAAATTATATTACAGGAAACTTAAAAGAGTCACACGGACATCGTTATTTAATTTATAATGATTTTTAAATATGTTGGTCATTTTTTGTACAATTAGTTCGGTAAATGTAGTAAAAAAAATCTTGTGCAGCTCAAATAAAGTTTCTGCGATAAGTTCAACTAGAATATTATTTTGGTAACGGATATGTAGGATTTTTAATTATTTGTTTACATTTGAGGCATCAAGGAAGTAAAAACGATAAAGGAAAATGGTGGCTCGTTTCATTCAGAGATGCTCTTTCTATAAGTTTTAGGGGACCAATTTGTTAGTTGATCCTTGGGTGTGAAAGATTGTTTGACATTAGGAAATTGTAATTCAAGTGCAAGAGAAAGTTTTATCTTAAACAAAACTGAGCTAATCGGGTTTCGTCCTCAAAACTTGACATCCGATTCGATTCATCATGAACTACGCGACGGCAAGAACACCGTGCACGCACAACCACTTTGACCGGCGAGTGTGCGCACATGCTCGGCAAAAACGATGTCACCGTGCACGGACGACCACGTGGACCGGCGAGTGCGCGCACAGACCCGGCAAAAACGATGTCACCGTGCACGGACGACCACGTGGACCGGCGAGTGCGCGCACAGACCCGGCAAAAACGATGTCACCGTGCACGGACGACCACGTGGACCGGCGAGTGCGTGCACAGACCCAGCAAAAACGATGTCACCGTGCACGGACGACCACGTGGACCGGCGAGTGCGCGCACAGACCCGGCAAAAACGATGTCACCGTGCACGGACGACCACGTGGACCGGCGAGTGCGCGCACAGACCCGGCAAAAACGTTGCACCGTGCACGGTACGACCACGTTGGCTGATGAGTGCGCGCACAGGCCCGGCAAAAACGATGTCACCGTGCACGGACGACCACGTGGACCGGCGAGTGCGCGCACAGACCCGGCAAAAACGATGTCACCGTGCACGGTACGACCACGTTGGCCGATGAGTGCGCGCACAGGCCCGGCAAAAACGATGTCACCGTGCACGGACGACCACGTGGACCGGCGAGTGCGCGCACAGACCCGGCAAAAACGATGTCACTGTGCACGGTACGACCACGTTGACCGGCGAGTGCGCGCACAGGCTTGGCACAAACGATGTCACCGTGCGCTGCACGGACAACCGGCCTATCCCTCCGATCTTCCGTTCGTTTCACTGATTTTCTCTTCGAAACTATGCAACTATTTTGAGCTGCGGGTACGAGTTGACTCGGGTACGAGTCAACTAGGGTACGACTTGACTCGGTACGAGTTGACTCGGGTACGACTTGACTCGGGTACGACCTAACTCGGGTACGACTTGACTTGGGTGTCAATTTTGGGGTACGAGTTGACTCGGGTACGAGTTAACTCGGGTACGAGTTGACCCATTTCCTAATAGACAACCCAATGATAAAACTCAGGGCTGGGTAACTCCAGCTACTCCACGTGTATTCATTTCCATTAAGTCGAGCAGTCTCAACGGTCGAGTTGTCCCGAGTCGAGTTGTCTCAACGGTCGACCTGTCTCAACGGTCGAGTTGTCTCAACGGTCGACTTGTCCCGAGTCGAGTTGTCTCAACGGTCGACTTGTCTGACATCTAGGCCTAGATCATTGTAGATGCAAATGCATTAACTTACTGCACGTAAGACTGCCAGTTTACGCGATGATTCCTCACATCGTTCGCTTCTTTTTCAAACAGGTTGAGAGGCGGTAAATCGGTTTCTTTTCCTGTGACGACTCCTTGACTGTTGCTCTCCATTCTCTCCGCAATAATGGACATTTCAAAACTTGCCAGAGCTTCCGATAAAACTTGGAAAAAAGGGGAATTTACTGAAACATACTTCACCTCAGCATCACCGAAAAGAAATCATGTGATAATGTGGAAAGGGCGCCCTCTAGTACACATATGACAAATTTCCTTTTTAAACTTGTTTCAGTCGTTTATTACCGAATTGCGGAGAAGCCCCCTTATCCTTCTTGAATTATTGAATAATATTTAACAAAAATGTTGATAACATTGTTTGTATGTGTTTTATTGCAAAACATGATAATATGTTTGGTGAATTATCACAGTAAAACAGTAATCGAATCCTTGAACAAATGAGTAGCTTTGGAAGCTTGTGGTAAAGTTTAAAGTCAGAAGTCAGTCTGGCGCTTTCATATAATGTACACAATAACCGGTTAGAAGTCTGGGTTGTAAACAAACGAAATTGAATGTAAAAAAACACACGGTGCAGAAAACCTGCGATCAACAACGTCGTTCATGTGTCGTTAGCTCGAAAGTAAAATTAAGTAAATTCTAACTTTTTTGTTTACTTCGAATCGTACTTTTGTAGCTAGAAAGGCCAATGTGCAAAGATGTCGCAAGGGGTCCGAACTGACGACTTTGCGGCCACCGAACCTCTTGCACACTCATTCTTTTCTCCCTTTACTATCGTATCGTTTTTCATTGAGTTGTTGGTCTTATTCCACCGGGTGACACTCGCCGTGTTACGGGCGTGCTTTCGCTTCGTCTTCCCCCGTGCACCGAAGAACATCGTGGGGCGAAATGTCCTTGTCACAGGTTGGACGATTTTATCATTAATTTCCTTCCTACTACTCCATGGTTCATTTGAAAGTCCACTTACCTTCTTGTAAATTTGACGCACTATGGTTTTGTACTAACTTTACACATGGTGACGTGTACATTTCCCCTCTGAACTTGAGATTGGTTTGTTTGCTTTGGCCACTGCCGGCCACTGACTGCTGTGCGCCAACTCAGCATGCCAAATGAATGACCCTCTCTTTAAAACTACAGAACAGCAATTGTTTTGCCACGGACCTGGTGTCATTTGTTCAAAGTTCAAATAGATTACAATATATGCCATGTTAGCTCTACTGAGTGGAGCGTTGAACTACGGTACAACGCTCCACTCACATGACTCAGTAGAGCTAATGCCATGTATGCCTTGTTGTTGAAATCAAAGTAAATATTTGAATTCCTGGTATAGAATTTAAACTAGCTCTAGATATTTTTAAACATCACAGGAAGAAATCGTAAACAACTTTTCCAGTGTGTGGCTCACTAGTATTAAATAATACTGCATGGGGCTAGATTTGGTGTAGCTTGAGAAACTCTAGTCCGAAAATTTAGGACTCTCAATACCCCAGCTCTAAATGCTATGTTTGAAATGAATTTGAATGATCACTTGAAAGGGGTTCCCAAAGCGAGATCCACTGAGAGTTAAATTGGAGATAAGAAAGTTTTGTCACTGGGATTTACCAGATTACATTGCAATGAACTTCAATATTTTGATTTGTCATAGTGGCAGCTTCAAGGGTGACAGTTTTTACGGCTTACATTGTTAATGTGCCTGAAATAATTGTTATTTTATTGACTAAACCAAATTTGTTTTTGCTGTAGACAAATGGTAGAGGAAACTTTCAGAATCCCACAAATCCAACACTGTGTACTGTAAATCAATGGCACAGTCTTTCTTCTTAACGAATACTAATCCCATATTTGCAAAGATGATCAATAATTCTTGGTCCATCATATTTCTGCCTAACCTATGGATGGATATCGATAGATTCAGGATGTCTTTAGGCATTTCATCATTAAACTTGGCAAAAGTTATTTGATCCTTTTAGAAAAAATATATATGTATACAGGAAGTAGCAAACCACTTGACATGCTTGAGGGAGTTTTCTCAATTGTACATGTAGTAAGGCAAAGGGGCAATCATTTGCTCCTCACATTTTTTTTCTATCTTTTCATTAGTCAAATTGCTTAATTAGTAATTGCAAAAGGGCCTATACATGTACATGTTTGACATTCACAACGTAACAGTGTTTACCATTCGAAAAATCAATACAGATAATACTTACATGTAGATTTGTATTTTTGTTTGGGGTTTTGAAGCATTGGATTACATTGTTGGTTTAACATTATGGCTCAGTCAAACTAACACAAGATTCTGTTGGGGTGTTTGTTTGTTTGTTTGTTCGTTTGTTTTGTGTGTGTTTTTTGTTGGATGTATTTTTAAAATACATGTAAGTGTTAAAGGGAATGTATATCATTGGCTTTTGCTGTAATTTTCAGAAATGAAGTTTTTGTGGGGTTAGTATGGTAGATCAAATATTGTTACACTGACATGTTTGAAGTTTTGTGGTGGAAAATGCTGGACAAACCCCCAAAACCAAAAATGTTCAAGTAGTCCAGTTCCCTGACTCCGCTAAAGATGAAATGGATCAATTTATAGATGCTGGAAAGTTGTAAGATAAGGGAACCAGTCTAGCTGGCCTGCCCCTGTTTATGAACATGTATCCAATAGCAAACTAAATTTGGACTGAAAAAATTGGAGCAGAAGTTGAAAAATTGTTAGGTTTTTCCAACGGTGGTCTGCCGACTACCGTTGGAAATTTATACAAAAATACCACTTTTCTTGAAAATGACTTCACACAAGGTGCCATAATTTTACAGGATGCTTCAGACTGTCATTTACCAACATCCTAGAAAGGTATTTTGTAAAAATTTGGTAGTTTTGTTTTTCGATGTTTGCAAATGTTGTATATTCCCTTTAAGAAAGGTCAACAGCACAAAGTACGGTAATACACATACATGACATGCATGACATAGTTTGTATTATTGGGTTGATGCCAGCATAACTAGTTGTAGTAAACTATTTACTTTTTGTCACTGTGCCAAAACTTTTTAAGAGGGTTATCCAAAGCTATCTGACAGCAAGGAAGAGGATGATAGTAAAGTACATAATTTCTATTGTTAACCCAATTCCTTCATTTCACATGCAAAACAAAATATGACCATATAGTTTTATTGCACTTCACCATCTACAGGTGCTGCCAACAACATTGGCTGTATGTTAGCCTGGGAATTTGCTGTACGAGGTGCCAACTTGATACTAGTGGATTTAGATGCTGAAGGCTGCATCAACCTTGCCAATGACATCCAAGATATTGGCCAGGCTGTCAAGGTCTACAAGTGTGATTTGACAAAAAGAGAAGAGATAAATAGGTAAGAAGTAGAAAAGTCTCTTAAACTGTTGCTTACATTTGGCAGTAGTTTGTCACAAGAAAATAACCATTTTATGATTTTTTATGTGTATTCCAATCTTGATAGGATGCACAAACTGCATGCAGTGTCCGAACTTTGTTGATTTATAGTTTTTTTTGTTTTTTTTGTTGATGATTCAATAGTAAGGAAAGACCTACCACATTTGTTTTCAGCTTCATCCTTTTAAGGGAGGGGAGCACTTGGCTCAATGAAATAAGATAATCAAAAACCCAGGACTTCTTTCAAAACTTTGTCCAAAGTGTAACAAACATGACAAATGGCCGCTCCAATATTTTGTATCTTCTAGATTTCATTACATATCTGTAGTACATGTATGTATTCATACCACAACTTGTAGAAAACAACTAAACAAGGGAGGAAACTCAAATGTAGACACTAAACTCAGTGCCTTGTTACAATCATCCAGGACTTTTCAATGGAGGGAAAAAGCTTTTTAAGCAATGAATTGAGATTTTCAACATTCAAGAGAAGAATTTACTGTTTTTCCTCAAGTAATATATAAAACAAAAATAAGTAAACTATTTGTCATTAAGTTCCTCCTCCTCCCTCTCTGGCCCCCAAATTCAGCTTTGCCATCACAGCAGTCAAAATCAATCAAGTGACTGTTTTTGAAAGTTATGAATACCCTTGAAGTTGTTCATTTGATATACACTGTACCCACACTTCGACTGGAGGTGATTGACTTATGTCAGCTGTATACTAGTTACTGTACCTCTTTTATTTGTTGATGGAATTTGACAAGTCACAGTGTTTACATGAATGAGATTTGACTGTTTTTTGTTTAAATAGTCTGTACACAAATGCATGGCAGAGAAACCTTGTGGATCATAACCATTCTTTGTGCACCTGTTATTGATTCAGTGATCTGTCAATTAAAGCCCCGCCCCCCCCCCCCCCCCCCCCTTCAAGGGCATGCGCTTAATTAAGTGCATTCATTGTGTCATTCAGGAAACAGCCGTTGGCTTCTAAAAAAAAATGCATGAGCCAGGTGCCTTGATAGACTCGATCATGTGTGCTGTATACCAGTATACAGTGTACAGTATGTAGTCTAACACTAACAGTACATGTACATGTACGTAGTAACAGAACACTGCAGAATGAAGAAGTGCAACTGGACTGCAGCTACATGGTGTTAAACGGGAAAATTACTCTTCATCCGAATCGTAAGTTGATTTTTGTACCACGTTAATCTTTGCACACTAATATAGATATACAGTATGTATGTTGTTTATGATGGCAAATCAGGTAGTTTCATAGCAGTATTGGGGTTAATATGGTAATTTGGGTCAGTTTTTCGGCCTTTCACATCTGTTTACAAATGAAATATATTTACATGATGCTGACTTTCAGAAAACTGTTCTGAAATGTGGATTGTTTAACAATTTGACATTTTCTTTGATGAGTGAGATGGTGCGTTTGTTTTGCCTGATTAAATGGTTGTGGGTGATAAATAAAGGGCAAAGCAGGAGAAGATTTAATAGGCCAAGAAAAAAATAATGGTATATTTATGTTAAACACACAACCATCCATTCATGTTCAGAATTACATGTACATGTGTAACCCGTGGTTCACATTTCAAAATAACAGGAACCAAATTTTGTATTAATTCAACTCCCTTTTGAAAAAGAACTCTTGACTTCACACAATTCAGGATTTACGTACACAATGAAATATGTTTTATTGCCAGAAATAAAAGTAGTCTCAAGCAATGGCAATACAAATTAAGAATGCAGTGAGGTTAAATATAATTCACAGAAAACACAGGATCCTGTAAAATTTAAAATACAAAGCTAGAGCTCAGAAAAAGGGCGCCAAAAACTATAAAATGATTAAACTCGCGACTTCGTCTATCCGCGGTAGTTCGGGAGTCCATACATGGCGTAGAAGAGCTTGAAGACGATGGAAGTACGATGTGACAAAGTAGACTAGTTGATGAAAGGCTCAGTTGAAGATGAAGTAGAAATGACGACTCTCGTCATTTGTCGGTACCAGTAAAAACAAAGGGATACTTGCGAGGTCTTGAAAGATGACGTGGCTTTGTCTAGGGCAATGCTGGTGGCTGTGTCTAGCGTAGGGCTGATGGCTGCGTCTAGGGTCACTCCAATGTCTTGGATGCCGAAGGTAATGATGGTTCTCCGACGTGCTGGACAGCTGTTGGTCTCGGACGTCGGGGATACCGATGGATCTCGGAAGTGCTGGAGCAGGCAATATGGTGTCTTGAGGGCAGATCGGGGAACGCGCAGAGGGCTCCGCCTAGCTCTCCCTTGAAGTGACACGGTCCAGTCTTTTTAGCCTAAAACAGAGAGTTACATGGTGGTCCATGCCACATTACTAATATTATCTATCACTACGAAGTCGGACCAAAATGGCTGACTTTTCTACATGTAAACAACACACTTCCATAATCACACATCATGTGCGAAACTTTAAATTGAATGTTAACTTACATGTTAATTAACATGCACAGAAAAACTCTTCATTATAGAAAAATATCAAAGAAATCAACTTGTCGCCTAGTACTTCTTAGACAATAATCTAACCTATTGACTTTGAACGACTTCAAAAGCCAGGAACGATCAAAGGACCAAATTTTCTCAGTCTCGTACATGAGACACAAATAAAATAAAGGAACTCCAACTCCTAATCGAACTGTTATGTACGGGAAAACTAACTTCCAAAACTTGATCATGAGATAACCTCAAATGTAGATCTCTAAGTTTCGGTCCATAAAAAATAATATGCAAACACCAATTCTAAGAACCTACAATTTATATTACACAAGTGTGCAGCTTTTCTTGTGTAACCCAAAACTCTATCACAAGACATCAGTTTGTGTCTTTGAGTTTGGGTAGATCAAATCACAAGAAAATAGTCAAATATTCGTAAAGTACTTAAACAAGTACCGTAAGTTGCAACCGTGGAATAGAACTTCAACAAAAACAGCTAATCAGTCCAGACTGTAGGACTATAGTCAGTTTACCACAGAAACATCATGGATATGATGGGTGGTAAATCCTGACTTTATAAAAATACAAAAATCTGTACACAATGCTGAATAAAATCTGGAGCAATACTCATTCTTGGTTTGACCTCAAACCACTACATGTACTTCAAAGATAAACTAAAAAATACACAGATCCAATTTACTACGCAATTTGCTAAAACACTTGTCTAAAGGTAGCAATAAAAGATGCAAAACTCTCCAATTGAATATCCTTTTAGAATCTCTCAGAACATCATTAACCTTGGTAATAATATACAAAATGGTAAGTCTCTCTCTCATGAATTTGTCTAGCCTTACTAAAATTCGTGAAGTCCAGACTTCATAGAAAATCAATTTAAGCGATTCTCTTCACAACTTACAAAAGTCACAGTGAAAAGGTAATGACTACGATAATCTAAACATGATAAAAATTTACTCAACTTACCTAAAACAGAGAGCCAACATTCGTGCAAAAAGGAGGGAACTTGGGATCAGGATCCTCCAATCGAACAACAAAATGATGCAAAATGGCTGGTGAAAATGGCAGGCATGCAGTCAGCACGGTGGCAGAATCAGGAATGCCAAGCTCTGCTAAAATTTTGGGGCAGCTAGCACCAAGACCATGCCCTGATCACATGACTAGCCAGGCTCTCATTGGTCAAACTTCAAATTGTCACACAAGACTCTAATACTGATTGGTCAGTTAGTAACCAGGCAGATGAACACTCAGCAGAGTTTGTGGTTTTCACAGCTTCTGCAAGGTGTGATCAACAACCAGGGATTAAGTGTCCCTACATCCTGCTTAGCTCCTGGAGGAGTACACAACTGGGGCACCAGTCAGTAATAAAAGGCAGAGGACACAAAAGACATCCTCTATTCTTCCAGGAAGTGGGCAAGATCAAAGACAGGCTTTAACAAAAGTAGGAAAAAGATCAAAGGTCTACTGGAACACAAGTCACCAGTAGAAAAGATGAAACATCATAAAAGATTAGAAAAGGGAAATCATGCAAATAGTAAACACAGTCATATAAAATAATACTATAACCCAAGACCTCTTTTTGGGTCAGGGTTACACATGTACATATTTGTTACATAAAATATTGGAAAGACTATCTAGAGATTGTGGGGTGGGTGAAGTCTACATGTACATGTAGTGTGAAAGTATTCATGCAAGTGAGCCTTCAAAAAAATAAGCGGAGTATTTTAGTTGAAAATTTTGACTGTGTTTTTCAGTTCCCAATTCTTTTTGAAATGTTTTGCAATTACTGAACATCATGGAGGATGATGTCTTGCATTCTGACAGATTTCAACTTAAAAGAAATGATATCTTGGCTAAGTGAAATTGTATTATTTTTCCCCCAGATGTCCAAGATGTCTGTTTCCAAACCTCTCGTCTTGGCCACCATCTTACTGAATGGCAACGAAATCCTGAAGAAACCAGTCCGTGCAAACACAATGGAGGAACTTCAAAGGGCGGCCAGAAGTGTCTGCCCAAGTCTTGGCACTTCAAAATTACAACGCATTCTGCTGTTTGACAAGACGTTTGATGAATACATTGATGTTGAAGACCATGTTACATCAAGTCATGAGAAGTTTCTCCTTCATTTCTCAACGTGCAACCCCTCATCTCAAGCTCAGTCCAGTTCCAGCACAGCTGGTACCCAAAAAGACAAACCTAATAATAAGACGCTTAAGCAAGTGACTCCAAAAGTCACTAAGCGCAAACGTAAGGTACGAAGTAAACCACCCATACAGAGCTTTGTGGATGACACATCAGTTGATGAGGAGGAGTTAAAACACAAGTCCCAGATATTTGGGAAAAGTGGTGGGAAGCTGAACAGATACCAGCAACACATCAACAAGGAAGCTTTCTTACTGGTGAAAGCTAACCCTGCTCTCCTTGAAAACAGAGGTCATCTTCTGACAGCGGCAAGGAAAGCCTTGCATGACTGTGGGTATGACTACGCACACGGAAACAAAACTAGGAGCAAGGTACTGGGGAAACAAGTCAGCGGAACATATACCAAGACTTATTCAAGAGCCAAGGCAAGGAACGAGAGGTTGGAAGAGATTGCTGACCAAACCAGAAGCCTGGAGACTCAATTGGAATACTTTCAAAAGGGAAAGGAGATAGCATCTGCTTCCCAAATGTATGAGGAGGCAGCTGCATTTGAACAACAAGCAGAGGAACTAAGATCCAGGTTGCGCCAGCTAGGTGAAGAGCAATTCGAGATAAACAGGAAAACAACTTTTCTTCTCAAAAAGAAAAATCAAAGGAAGTCCAAGGCACGAAGGCAAGGCACAAGCAAGCAACAACCACCAAGTGATGATGTACAGATGGATGAAGATGATCAACCAACAACCACCAGTTGAAACAGCCATACTGTACACGCATGTACATGTACACCGTACCCGGTACATTAATGTATCTATAGGGTGTAGGACAGAAAACCTCTCCTGAGCAGCAGCAATAGGGCCTTGAACATTGTCATGCATGCTCAAGGATGCTGTATTCATTGAATAGGCTCTGACAGAACTGGTTATTTTGTAGCTTAGTGGTTTTTACTGCACAGGTCTTTAAGAAAAAGATACATGTAACCTAAAGAAGGATTGCAGGTGCAATTTTAGTGCATGTGTAGGCCTATGTATTTAATTTGGGGTTTTTACGGTATGCTAGTCAGTCCTTCTGATTTGAAAATCACAGGCGTGTGGAAAAGGCACAGCTGGATTTTTCTAGGTGTGTGTTTTTTCTAGGTGCGTTATTTTCTAGGTGTGTGTTTATGTGGTTCAGGGAAATTCAGGCGTGCAATTATTCACACTTCTCGGGAAGCTTTTAGGCGTGCAATGGCGTGGGGGTGTGATCGCACCCCTCAAATCAGAAGGACTGGTTAGTGTTTCTTGCTGCCCTGTTAAAACCGTAAATAATCTTTAAAAAAATGTTTTGCTGCTCATCTTTTCCTACGGTAGGAAAAATGAGCAATATGGCTATGCCAATTTCATGTGAAGATCTAAACTTCAGAACAGTTGTTACATTTGTATAATTGATTGGCTAGAAGTGCACGCATTATCGTACAGCTTAACCTTGCTGAATGTTGCATACATTTACCTACATGTATATATGTACATGTTGTATGTAAGGTACATTCCGTAATTCTTATTCATCAATACCTGAGACAGTTTACCCATTTCTATTGGTCCAAAGCCTGTAACCTGGGTGGGTTTAAGTAGCCGGTAAAACATTGCTGTGTTTGCGCCACATCACGCAGTACGCACCTGGCGCACGCCAATTTCAAAATAGGAGATTTTTTAGCACTGCGCACTCAAGGTACACACCATAGATATGACCAGGGGTGTTTCCCAAAACCTGAAGTAAAATTGTTGAAAAAAATATTGTTGGAAATCTGTGAATTTCTGACTTGTTTTGAATTTTTGACTGAACATGCTGAAAGGCATTAATGAATGGGAATAATACGTGCTTGGCCTTTAAATATTAAACAAGTACATGTTTAAATCCAGCTAGGGGCCTGGTCAGGGACAATGACCCTCGCCTTCGGCTCGGGCCATTATCCGTGTCCAGGCCACTAGCTGGTTTTAAACATACTTGTTTAAAACCGGCCAAACACATAGTCCTATTTATGCCGTAATTTAAAATAACATCTCAGATGTGAATGGCTTGATTTACTTACCACCAAATACACGTACAAGAATCAAACACTACTGGACGGGAAATATTGTGTTGTGAGGTTTTTTTCAAGCTAAACAATATTTTTATTGTTTTTAATTAAGTCTGTGAAAAACATTTTATACATGTAATATTTTGTCTCTGAAATTATACTAGTTGTTAAATTATGGTCTTTAGCATAATCTTTTCAAAAAAGGATCACAACTGAGATCTGCATGCCTGGTCTTCGATTAAATGAAAGGGATCGAGGAGGAAAACTTAATTCAATGACCATAACCTTTTCAAAAATTAAAAATCAACTTCTTACAAACATTTGTTTACCCGTATATCACATATTCTATTGGGACTGCCATAAATATTACTCAGGTAGATAGCCTTAGGATGCAGCTTGGGAGTTAATGCCCCTGAGACAATTGATCGATCGCCGTTTACGAGTTAGCCACGCCCCTTCGACAACCCTATGTAATTGTGTACATTAAGTTTTGTTTGTCTCAGATTTGGCGTGTTCATGTCCATTTGTATATCCAATTGGACATATTTCACAAGCTGTGTTGATGCAATTCTACCGATAAGCACAATTAACCTTTGCTTGTCATTTTTACAAGTTTGATTTGAATGGTGATTGTTTCATTCCTCTGTGTAGTGTGCATGCTACCGGTAGCACTGTTATACAGGTATTAGGCATAAAGATGTGGAAATGTAGCATTGCCTCCATGCATGTTCATATGTAACTTAAACTTTCATTTCATATGAGAATAAAAGAAAAGCAGTGAAAACCAATTGACTACTGAAAGTAAGATCTACTTTATGTTTTCTTACATTTGTAATTGGGGCAACCACTAATCTCTAGTTTTTTGCTTTGAATATTTTTTTTGGGGGGGGGGGGAGGTTAAGATGCATGCATTTCAGAAATCATAACTGTAACAGATCATAGAGCAAGGGTTAGATTCATGAAAGGCTAAAACCACATTGATATCCCCCCCCCCATGCTGTGGATGTGATGTGACTAACCCAGGCTGGAGATGACTATGGATATGACATATATTTTTTGTTTTACATTGTGCAGTACCTTGGTACATCATGTATTACATGCGTACATACAGGCTGTGGGGGTTATGCCACTACAGCCACATACACTGTACAAACGTACTTTATGCGTTTGCTTTTTGCCTGGTATCCACCATTCATCACCCCCTGTGCATTTATAAATAACTGTCATACATTATTTATTGTGATGTATGGAAATTAAACAATATGAGTACATGCAGTAGACCAGAGCAAGCAATTTTAGCAGCCATCTTGGAGGGCAATGCCTTTGTTTTGCTGTGATATTCATGAGTGCACATTGTGTGCATTCATTGTCACTATATCCAGTCTATTCCTACCTCCATGCATGTATGCACGCTGCCTTGGTTAGTGTGGTGTGAAAACTTACCAAGGATACCCTGTGTAGAAAATGGAATGTGAGTTAATGTGACAGGAGTCATTTATTGTTAACAATGGCTTAACTGGGGGGGGGGGGCACAGTGGGGTCAAGGCCTGTGCCCTCCCCTTTTTTTTTTCTTTCCCACTCAGGATATAGGGAAGACAAATATTTATTTATTACTCCTGGTACTGAAACCAAGGATTCCCTAAATAGCGCCCTAGCCCTAAGCTCGAAAGCCTGAAGAAATCTGTAGAGAGAAGTGAATGAGAAGAAATGACAGTTTTAGAGGTGGGAGGAAAAGCCTAGAAGAATATTCTGGGAAAAACCCATGGAATCAGGCAGGGACTGAAAACCCAATCCATATTGGCCCAGCCAGGATTCGAACCCAGGTCACAGTGGTGGAAGGCGAGGAAAGGACCGCTACGCCAACCTGACTCCCCAAACAATACAAAAATATGAGCTTTTTATATTGTTACAAAAACCATTGAGTGCCCCCTCCAGAAAATGAGGCCCCTTGAGTGTCCATGCCCTGCAAATTCGGCCACCATTATGCCACTGATTGTCAATGTGTGGTTGGATCATGCAGAGTTATGAGTGATATCTTCCGAGATACCGGTAAGGTGGACATCTTGGTGAATAACGCTGGTATCGTCAGTGCACGGAGATTACTAGACTGTCCTGACGCAATCATACAGAGAGTTATGGATCTCAACATCATGGCTTCATTTTGGGTAAGAAATATTTATACCTCATATTATAAACATGTTTGTTCAGATGGTAAAATTTGCGAAACCCTCCGAACCAAAAATTCCAACATTTGCGTGGTTTTATAACAGCTGTTAAAAATATGGTTACTTGCAAGCTATGAAAAAACTAATTAAAGTCAGAGTCAAAATGTACATGTAATTACAGGTACTTTAGAAACTTGATCATTGCAGAACATGCTGCACCAGGAGTGTCACTGTGACAGACATGGCGCATTACAAGTCTCCATTATTTTATTATTATGCTAGCGCTTGTTTGCTGAGACAGTCTAGTTTTACTACTGTGATAGCATTCTCCATGTCTCTCCACATTTAAAGAACTTGATTATTCTCAAAACATTTGCTCAACAAAATGTTCACTACAGTTTTAAAAATTTGACTTCAACACAGGATGGTAACTTGGTTTAACCCTTGTACAAGTTTAAGGTATTTTAAGAACAAGAATATAAATGGCCAAAATGTACTGGACAAAATGACTGTGGTAAGGTGGTGAACATTGCCTTTAAACTTGTTAATCATTGAATAAGTACATGTATTTAGAAGACACTGCATCATTTGTTTTTCTTGTTGAACAGATGACAAAAGCTGTCTTGCCAGGCATGATAGAGAGGAACTACGGTCACATCGTTAACATTGCCTCCCTATCTGGGTTCATTGGTATTGGCGGTCTAGTGGATCTGAGTACCAGCAAGTTTGCCAGTGTGGGATTCTCTGAGGCTTTGGACCTAGAGCTGAAACAGATGAATAAAGACGTCAAAGTGTCTGTGGTTTGCCCTTCACTGCTGGATAGAGGGATGTTTGAAGGAGCCAGATCAAGGTTGGTAGGCCGTCTGGTGAAGTATTCTTGTAGTTTTATAGCTGTGTCAGTTCAGCTCACTCTTTTAGCTTTGTCCTCTAAAATACATTCGCTGACACTTTTGTTGGGGGCCGCCATCTTGAAATCACGTGAACAAAGTGTGTGATTTCATTTGCTAGTAACATTTTTTGGCTCAGCACGTAGCTCAGGTTGCCCACACACAGGCCAGATTTGCCTCACGGCCTCGCGAGGCAGAAAACTGTGTAATGTGCTAGATCCACCTTAATGAGATGCTCAAGGCGCAGAGAAACAATAAACAAATACAACAAAAACAGAAAGGAACAGTATGGGCTCAGATGTTGCCACAAGTAAGATTTCGGACATCCTTTTACTTGTTCCCTCTCATTTGCCTCAGGCTTCTTTCCTGTTTTCCACCCTCATATTTTGTTTTCTAATTCAGATTTCCATCGCCCCTGAAGCCCCAGTATGCAGTCAGTCAGATCATGCGAGGTGTCTTGGCAGATCAGGAAGTTATATTCATTCCGTGGTACATGCGGTTTACACCAATCTTCAAAGCGTAAGTAACATGTTGAATTCCACCAATTCACTACTTGTTCAGTTTAATAGTGGTTTGTAGATTGTGGAATCCCTCATCCAAATGGCTGTGTTTTATCAAAACTTTTTGCACGGTAAAACAAAAGAAATAAATTACTTCATGACTTTTAATTAGCTGCCTGGTTTGTACATCTGAGGTTGTCAACCTGCTCAGCAGTGTCTCCTACTCAAATGACACACAGGGTTAGGGTAAAAAAAAAACCTGAAAACCAAATGTCGGGACCATTGTTTTAGTGAAGTTCTGTATGTAGCCCTTTAAAATCTAGGATATGAAAGCTCAATTCATGAGCTTTCTTTTAGTACAAGAATCATTCAAATCAGTCATGTAATTTTCAAGTTACGGAATTTTAAACACAACCACAGTTTTAAAGTTCTGTCCACGGATCACAAAAAGGTAAGTGTTGTTTCAGCAAAACGAAAACAAATCACATAGGGATGTGTGTGAATTGTTTTCGTTTTGCTGAAAGAACGCACATCTTTTTTGTGATCCGTGGACAGAACTTTAAAACGGTGGTTGTGTTTAAAATTCTGTAACTTGAAAAGTACATGATTGATTTGAATGATTCTTGTACTAAAAGAAAGCTTATGAATTGGGCTTTCAAATTCTAGATTTTGAAAGTGCTACATGCAGAACTTCACTCGAACAATAGTCCCGACATTTGGGTTTCGTTTTTTTACTCACCTTGTATCACTCGTCTCATTAGTTGCCTATGATTCATACAGTCTAGCCTGGTTTGCTCAAAGGCTGTCTCTCATTTATCTTAAATTAATTTTATCTGTTTGGATTTTCACTGATTTCTTATCTCAACATATGACATGAATATTGTTTTTATTTTTTTCAGGATTCTACCAGTTGGAGCATTCAGTGCATTACTAGATTTCTCTACAGGCATGGACATCATGAAGAACATTAAAGGCTCACGGAAAACCAGCCTATTGTAGCATTTCATCAGGTTGTGGCCTTTCATCAAGGCGTGGTCATTCATCTGGGTGTGGTCCTTCATTGGTGTGTGGATGCCCCTCTGCCCCCTCAGGGTCAATCATCAGGGCGTGGACCTTCCTTTGGGGCGTGATCATTCATTTGGTTATGGACCGTTGGGAACACACCTGCCCAACAAGTGCAGCTGAACATCAGGGTGTGTGGTCATCCAAAAAGTTCTTAAATGATCAATGCAAAAATCAATGCTATCATGAATATCAGTACATTATACATTTACAAAGCGTCGGTCGCACCATGAAGTGACGCATTGTGTGCACAAAGTGCGTAGATGATACATCACTTCGTGGTGCACCCCACGAAAGGTGTGGTTTGTATCAATTATCATGCTTTAAGGCTAGGTTTACACTATGTTCCAGGCGGCCACGGCAATCACGTTTCTGGCCACCGTGGACAAAACGGTATGGACGTGAGACAACGCCGGGGGACGGAATGGGCAAACGTGACAGTCCGTGATTGCCGTAGATGCCGGGCCAGATTTTTAAACTGTCAAAAAATTTGCCACGGCAGTCACACTGCGGATGAGAAACCTAGTAGGCCGTAGTAAAATGGGGTGAACGTAACAAAACGTGACAGTACGTGATAGGCCGTAATAAAACTTGGAGACGGTCCGTAGTGGGACGGGAAGCATGTTCATTCCCCGGCATCTTACCGGTCCTTTCAAGTTATGTCACGTTCTGCCGCGTTTAGCAGGCGTTTTGTCACGGCTGCTGCGCGTTTTGTCGCGTTTTGCTTCGTTTCTCACGGCAAGCTAGGGTGTACGGTAGCCGTTTCGTCGCGTTCAATCACGGCGCGTCCAGATGTGTGACGGTTTACAGGCCCGGTGTGATGCGGTGCGATGCGGCGAGTTGCGTTTTACTACGGTCTGATACGGCGAGCGCGGTCTGGGAGGGAGTATAAAAGCATACAATGATTGCTATTGCTCGGTAGGCTTTCTTTTCATACCGTGGGCATAAACTTGCTTCGAAGCTGCCCGGCATACACATTTCATCTGTAGAAAGCCTTGACAGAACGCGAAAAACGTGTCAGACTTTGATTAGAACGTGAGGGACCCCAGAGGGACCCATCAGAACGTGATAGGCCGGGAGGGTAGACCGCGGGCCGAACCGTAGTGCGCCTTTGAGCCTCCGGGACTCAGCAGCCCCTTTCCCCCCACGGCCCATCACAGATAACGTGATAGACCATGAGAAAACTTAGCAGGACCTAAAAAAAACTTGACTACGGAGAAAAAATAATTGCCAAAATCCCACGGCGCACTACGTTTCGGGCAAACGGGGCTGCCGTGACCGCCGGGAACATAGTGTAAACCTAGTCTTAGGCATTAATTTATGTTCGTAAATACCTAAGACAGTCTTAAACGACCGGTCTTAAAGGATGATAAAGACATGGCTAGCTGGTCTCAAACACTTTTCCAGTGTTACATGAAATTTGGACTCCCATGAAATCCGGTGCCTTTTAACGTTTCATTGGTTGAACATTCACATTCCTCACGTATGCATGTGCAAATGTACCAGTGAATCAGTATTTAATTGTGCGAAATTCACACACTACACTAGCCCAGCTATGTATTGCGCTACATTGCGCAGTACGTGCGACGTGCACGCCAATCTCCTTATAAGGTAAGAGTTATAGAGGGACATTCCATATTAAAGTCAGAGGGGTGTTTCATAAAACAAAGTAAAATTGTTGAACAAAATGGTTGGCAACGTCTAGTTTTTGACTTGTTTTGATTTTTGGACTGAAAAGATTAAGAGATTAAACTAGCCCCTTTCCCTTCAATCCCTCTCTACAAATTTCTCTTCTCAGATTTGAAGAAACATTGATTACAACAGCATTTCTGTTGATTTCTTGTTTATTTACCATACATATTGGTCATGTGGGTTTATAAATACTACATATATAGAGTATTACCAAAGAGACCTTTAAAATTATCAGTTATTAGCAGGTACTTTTCAGTCACTTGCCTGCCCTAAACAAACACACTCGCTGCACTGCCTGAAACTGCTGACTAAATGTTGAACAGTAATATGCAGTATTTATTTAGTGGTCAAGTGACATGTGAATCAATGTAAAAGTTAAAAAAAAAACATTGCTCAATAACCAGTTAATATCGGAGGCTGTGTAAACACGATCTGGCAATGTACATTTGCAGGGGCAGATGTAGCCTTGGTCAAGGTGCTAGTTGTTATTCATCCCGGCCGTAGCGGGGTAAACGATATCCTCGCTAGTGCTATGCATGTGGTGCATTAAAAATACAGCGCGAACAGCGACCTCACGCGGCCAACATTTATATGCAAATCGGTTGGACCCAATCTAGCGCCTTGGTTCAATCGTCGGCAAAAGCTTATGTTTTTCTTTATTTTGCGCTGGATTTCTAGCGCACGACTTCGTATGCGAATACAGATAAGTGTAGGCGGGGTTAATATGTGGAGTGTCCAATCACACCTTGGTAAATCCGGACGTCATCAAATTATTTGCAGCTATTCGCCTTTTGCGGACGTGACAGGAACCACAGTTTTTGTGCATTGGTGCCGTGTGCAGAGACACACAACGTGTACGTGCATGGTTTCCATGCAACGATCGACCAATAAGAAAACGACATTTAAGGTCAGCTAAGGCTATTAACATAATGAGCACCACCCCCAAAACCTCACATGGACGATTGAACCAAGGCGCTAGATTGGGTCCAACTGATTTGCATAAAAATAGTGGCCGCGTGAAGTCGCTGTGCGCGCTGTATTTTTAATGCACTGCATGCATAGACATATGACTGCATGCATAGCACTAGCGAAGATATCGTTTACCGCGTTACGGCCGGATGAATAACAACTAGCGCCTTGACCAAGGCTAGGGCAGATGACAGGTTACGTGTGGTGGACATGCATACACATCAGTGGTTCCCATTGGTTTTATACACACTGTGTTTTGAACTTGACCTTGGCCATTGTACACGGCCTGTTGTAGCAAATATGGCTAGGGGGTTCAGAGTATTGTAAAATGTGAAGTTATGGTGAGAAGTACCATACAAATGATTCTCAAGAGTCAGTACTTGTGGTGTTTGACTTAATTTAAAATTTTACCGATCTATCTTGTTTTTGTTTTTGTTAATAGTGTTTTTCGGCCAAAAATCATCCCAGCAAGCAAGTGGTTATTAAAGGTGATACAATGTTGTATTGTCTTCAGTGCACAATCACTGCCATTTTCGTACCCTGAGAACTGTCCCCATACATGTTGATTTACTGTTCTCTCTACTAATAAAACCATTGTCTTATGCAGAGAGTGTGTGAGTAAGAGTGCCATATTTGTATATTATATCTTTTTAGATAAAAAATCTTTAACTTCAGTAGCACATAAATATTTAAAGATACGACATTGCAAGAAGTTTTGGGATAAGTATGCAAAGTCGTATAAATTCTTCAGTATTTAAAATATAGACATACATACATGAGAACCATGTTTTATAATTAAGAGCAAGTTTGTATGATGTAAAGTTGTCCTAAAAAAACTATTTACACAAAATAAAGTTTTTAAAAAAAATTCTGAAGTCCCAAGTCTCTCTCTTATATTATCACGCTTATATTATCACGCTTCATTTTTAAAGCTGTCACATTTTGTTTATGTACTGAAGTTGGATGTACATTATGTAACTGATTTAGTAAACATACAAGCCTTTGGAAATACTCAATCCGAAATTATTTTATTGCAGTTATAGTTTTACATGTCAAACATTATGTGTTTGGGGACAAAATAACAATTTATGAACAAGCAAAATAGTTAAGTGCTCAAGTCCTTAAAGCAACCAATACTTGCTGAAAGAATTCTCAGCTCATATCAAAAGCATGAAAACTTATTTAACAAAAAAAACCTGCTGAATATCCATTTTGAAAAGGAAAAAAATCCCTAATTTCTTATTTTGCTAATAGTTCCTGCATGATTTCATTAAAAACAAATTTGTAAATAAGAACCTCGTAGTACTGACACGAGGCAGCTACATTAGCTGAGATACATGTACATGTAGTACATGCATAAAAATGATATTACAGGTTTAAATTACAGTACTTTGTTATTTGTGAAAATATAAAAACTTTGCAGTCGATTCACAGTGTTGTAGTTCTCGAACTCGTACTCGATTGTCAAAGTACTCGTACTTGAAATGACAGTACTCACACTCGGGCAGCAAAGTACTCGTACTCGACATGTCGAAATTGTACTCGATCATCAAAGTACTCGTACCCGAATAGCAGTACTTGAAAAAAAATGGTATAGCTTGACTTGCCACGGCCTTATTCTATTATCGATACTTTCAGTTGGAAATGGTTGATTGGCTTGCAGAGAAATCAAAGATTCGTGATTTTTCTCTTTGTGTACATCTGGACAAAGACAAACAGCTAGCCGTGAGTGGGTCGGTATATCTGTCTGACTGGGCCAGCTGGGCCAATTGCGCACAATGAACCATTTGCGGTATGGCTGTATTCGGAAATAGAAGTACTCGTACATGTATTCGGAATACAAGTACTTGTACTTGGTAACCTAAGTACTCGGCTCTTGGACAAAAGTACTCGACTACAACACTGTTGATTCATCATGACATTTGTGATTCTTAAAGGTATCGGGCACTGATTCATTTCTCATTTCAGAGTTTTGCATATAATCATTAATGGCCAGACCAAGAACCAGTTTATACACATGCCCAAATGAAAATGGATGGACAACACAATTATGGGGATAGACTTGATGACAAGTTGTTAGATAGTCGTATTTTGTCTGTGAACTTCAGTCGAACTCCATCGGCGCGGCTGGTATAAGACTAGTACTAATTGGCCGGGTTGCGACATATCTAACATCAATAGTCAGCATCATTTGGTCTGGGAACCAGGCTTTGCGCGTTGCAGTGATATTTTGCGTGCGTTGAACCGGTACTGTACGTACGTGAACAATAGCCGACTTGGCACCAAGTCTATAATATGGACAGCATCTAACAAGTAACATTGTGCTGTGCACAGAAACCAGCACCATGTAACTGTATACATGTACATGTACTACCTTGTTGATTTGATAAAAGAAGATTGTCTAAGAAAGCATGGCAGATGAAATGGCCACTCCCTATATGGGAACAAGTGTAAACTTCACAAAACTAGCACTCCCAGCTGCGGGTCCACCAGCCAAGAAATAAGAAGCAGACTAAATCGGCTCTGTGGGAGAGGCATCTGTCGAGATTGATAAGGCAGTCAGCTATTGGCTTCAACAGTCATGGTGAGAAACTGGCTGGTGTTGTGAAATATGCAACATATTAAAGACAACCGACAAAAACAAAATTAGCAGCATCCTGAACAAGGAGTACCCTTTCTACATCCACTGCTGGAATGTATCCGGGTAAATCCTGAGATGTGCGAATTGCTGAAGTCCAAGACCTGATCAGTGGACATGGCATTTAAGAAACAGCATGCAACTTTTCTTCGGATCAGCTGATTTCCTCTTTTTTCACTTCCAATGTGTGCCATTGAAAATTGAAAAACACTGTACAAAGTCTTGGAAAGATTTGAATTTCCTCTTTTTTGTGATTTCCCAGTTGCATGCCTGAAGAAAGTGGGATTAATTTTCATAAACCAAGGCTGATATTGTCTCAAAGAAGTTAGCTCAAAAAGGCATCTATTGTCAAAACATGCTGCATAGATGGTGAATTATTTCAACACTTTTATCAGACTCCAAAAGATTGGTCTTTCGGGCCCATAATCAACCTACATTTTTGTAAAAGACCTGAAAGTGTTTGTTAAATATGCACATTTTAAGATGGATATCATTCGCTTAGGATTTTGATTAATCTGTCCAAACTGCTTCAAGCAATCAATTGATCATCAACTTCCAGACATACTTTAATATATATATATGAACAGGGCCACTTTCCCAAGTTAAAGAAGTCTAAAAAGTAGCTTTAGACAAGACTGAGAAACAGACCAAAGGGCATTCTACATTGTGAGGTTTCTAAGATCTGGCATGTCTGGAGAAACAGACTTTGCAATCTCTGAAGCTTCCAATGTTCACACAGGACTTCAACTCGATATTGCAGACAAGGACAAAGTATCTCAAAAGAAATCCATCTGAGACTTTTTAGCACTGATACTGTCCATAATAACAATCAGGATAGTATCAGCTCATCTGCTAGTCTACATGTATGTTCATGTAATGTAATAGACCCTTGCACTATGACTGCGTCTTGACCTCGAGATTCTGACCTTTCAGCAGGCGCTTACTATATCGGGTCTTCAGTTATACACCCGTTGTTGCATCATAGACATCTATAATTAAAACCTAGACACGACATCTATTATGCTGTTACGTTGTGAATTGAGCAATAAAAAGCTGCATCACGTGGCCTGTAGCAATAATGTTATGTGATGCGCCAAGCTTAGGCATAGAATGATCAACACATCATAATTTAAATAATGCGCGTAATGCGAATGCCCTCTTGCGCGTCATGCGCAGCATTTTGCTAACAATTTTGAGAGCCAATGTCGTGTCTAGCTTTTATAGATCTCTGTCTGTTGTTTTACAAAAACACGGCATCCAAATTGATCAATCAATGACTTTGTCCGGATTTTTGTAAAGTCGACTCCGATTGGCTGGCCCGCGGGGTTGCATAAATTTGCATGCTTAGATATATCAGACGTTGGACCGGAATAGAGAGAGCTCCGTGGACAACAGGTGATACTCGGACTACCCATCTGCATGGTTCAACACAATAAAGTCACATTCACCAATTTTTGTATCACTCCCACAATAAAGTGAATAAGAGTATTCCTTAGAGTTGGTATTATTGAGTATCACAATTCACATGTGTACACATCTTTTTGAAAAACAGTACATTTTGAACAGAAAATTAAAGGAACCGAGAGCAGAATAAAGTAACAAAGGCATTTCATTTCCAACTTTTCAAAGGACACAATTTTTTCAATTGTTGGACAAACAGACCAACATGGCCAAAAAGTATCGAGCAGAATTATATCTCATTACCAGTCATTCAATGATCAGAAACTTAAGAGTTTTAATATTTGGGATCCAAATTTTGATACACATGCTATAAGTACTGAGTCAATATATTGATATCCACATCATTTTATGATCTTTTGTCATGGAATTACATGTATTATATTTCTTAAAATTTGTAAAAAGTAAAAAAAAATTCCATTCAAGTGCCATGATAAAATTTTGAAAATTCTTTGAGAAATTCATAGAGTCCTACAGTTTCTTACATCGTGTGACAATGAATATATACAGTCTGTCCTACACGACTAAGACTATCGTTTGTCACCTACACAGCTCCATAGGTGGTGGCCTTGATGGCACCTTCCCTAAGGTGAAGGATGTAGCTTCAAATTGCTCCTTCTCTTCAGGTGTGAGTTCACTGAGAGGAGTATAGGTGCTTCCTTGGGATCTAGAAGAGGCTCCTGCACCCCCACTCGAACTGCTTCCAAAATCACCCTGGGTCATTCCAAAGGAACTTGATTGAGAGCTCCCAAATGCTGCTGGCTTTCCAAACAGGCCTGTTTGACCGGTGCTTCCACCACTTCCAAACATCCCACTGCTGCCACCACTGTCATTTATACCAACTGCAACCGGCTTGCCAAAGAGTCCGGTTCCCGTTGTGCCATCAGAGGCTGGTTTACCAAAGAGTCCGGTTCCTGTTGTTCCAGTTGAGGCTGGTTTACCAAAGAGTCCGGTTCCAGTAGCCCCAGTTGAAGCTGGTTTGCCAAACAGTCCGGCACTTGCACCACCTCCACTCTGTCCTTGAGTCCCAAAAGTACCCCCTAAATTCCCAGGTTGGGTGTTCCCGAAGGTACCGCCTCCAAATCCTGAAGAGTTGGATGATGACTTGGATCCAAAGCCAGTTGAAGTGCTTCCAAAGGTACTTGCTCCTAACGCTTGACTACTTCCACCTGGTAAGGTACTAATTAGGGAAAAGCAAAGATTGATGATGTATAACGGGTTCAAACACCTGAGTTAACTTCATTTCTATGAGCAAGTATGCAGACTATGAAGAGACAAATTAAAGTTTGTACTGTAGATAGCCACTGTAAATGATGGTCTTATATATTTTGTGAACTTCTCAAAGAAATTCTTACATAAGAAAAGTCAGGAAAATAGTCAAAGTGCACCATGTAAGTGGACTCCACTATATCTGCAAAGTTCTACCAAGTTATCACACAATTTTGTTGGATTGCACAAGCTGTTCTTGGGTGTTGGGTGATGTGTCCCATGACTTACCTATACAGAATCTGTACAGTAGACTCAGTGTTGCCAAAGATAGACCCCGACGTCTGACCACCTCTGAAAACATTTATCTATGAGGAAATTGAAAAATATAAATACATGCATAATTTATACATGTGCAGATAGCTCAGTTGGTAGAGCACTGGAACAGTCAATTTATTTTTATGTTCAACCTTAAAATAATTATAATAAACCTAGCCACTTTCCCTATGTGGTTTCTTTGAAACTTTGTAATAAAAAGCTGTATCCTCTCAGAGTGATCCCCGTTTGCTATCTCCCAGGTTTGCAGCATTGCTAATGTTGCAAGCATCATGACTTTGGGCGTGATCCCTGGCTACATGGCATATATGGGTTTATGGCTTCTGACTAGCGCCCCTTGAACATTGACAAATTGGGGAACTGCCAACATAGGGCTGGATAGCTCAGTTGGTAGAGCACTGGAACAGCAATTTGGAGGTCGCAGGTTCAAACCTCACTCAAGTCAATTTCTTTGATCAACGTTAAAATAAATTAATTAAATTTAAGCAATAAGTAAGTCATTATTAAGCTTACCAATACACTGTGGAAAAGGAACAAATGTTACCCACATCGCAACAAGTGCGTCAATTTCTTGTCATGTCTTGAGTTGATTGGAAAAGGGAACCAGGGATCAGGAAAACCCAATCAATCTTTGTTACCAATAGACAAACTAGGTATGTTAACTTACCAGTTGTGCTTTCATATCTGTAGATGGCTTCCTCAACATGTCTCGTTGTCTCTTGTAAATGCCTAGGACTGATGCAAAGGATGCTTTCTGAATACAAAAATACCAGAGAGAATATTCTCTTTAAGCTCTGAAATTGAAAGCAACTTGTTTTAGGCAATGTCCCAAGCTGTGGACCAGGGATGTAGTCAAGTCCATCAAATGTCCATCACAAGTCTAGTCACAAAACACAGTGGATGAACAATAACAAAGGAATGCCTTTGTCAAAGCTCATGTGAACAGCTTGTGAGTTGAATTGGGACTGGAGGACTTGTGATGGACTGGACTACATCCCTGCTGTGGACTGATGCAGTGTTACGTTATTAAACAGCCTACAAACTGGGCCGCAGCTTGGCAGTGGTTCCCAATAAAAATGATTGCAGTCTAGCTAGAACCATCACAAATATCTTGATGGACATAAGTACACATCAAAAAATGCACTTATATTTCTACTTGAATACCCCTCTTTGTGTAGCCCTCGCCCTGTGGCCCTGGAATGGGGCCTTGTGATGGGCGATTCTCATAAAACAACCTAGATAACATATACAGCCAGTTATTTATGGCAGGAGATATGACACTACATTTCCAGACATGCACTTTAAAGTCAATCACAATTCAATCACAGGTCAAACCATAAGTAAGGTTATGAGGAGGTAGGAATTAGCAATCACAAATGAAGGCCTTTCTCACAGCTCCTTTGAATAGCTTGCGACTTCACACAGATGACTTGTGACTGACTTAAAGTGTTCCAGTTGAATCCATCATTATTGTCATCAAAGGAAACAACAAGTCTTTCCACAAGTCTGGTCACAATGCAACAAGGGATAACAGTAACACGAGACTGTCCTCATCACAGTTGATTTGATTAGCTTGTGACTTGACTTAAGACAAGAGGGCTTGTGCTGGACTTGTGCTAGACTTTTAATTGAGTTGACCGTGACACTGACCTGTGATGACTAGACTACAACTCTGTACAATCACCAATGACTAAATAAAGTCTTACGTGTTGATCAAACTTATTCTCCTTCTCAGCAGTGTAGGCCAGGAACCTGACTTCATCGGGTGAGATGTCTTCAAACCCTGGCACACATCCACACCGTGACTTGTTGGGTCTGTAGCTGGATAATGGCCAGATCTTACTGCCTTCCCATTCATCAATATCATGCTTAATGGCGTCCCTGTACAGTGTCAAATCACAAAGATATCATCTAGGTCAATTTTTCCACATTATTTCATTAACCCCAACTCCCCAGCCTAATTCACTAGGAACCATACCCATTCTGGCAAATTCCAACAGCCACATGGGAAATTGTACACACACACTGTTGGACTTAGTTTCTGGAGGTATGCCAACCCCAGTGTAAAAGACCATCAGTTTAGGGGTACTGTACCTATCCCAACAGATTTAAACACAAACCTGCTGTTGAACTTTGATGGGTTGAGTTCGGTTAGGGTTAATTCTCATTTAACTAAGTAATGAATACCGGTACTTAAGACCTGAGAAATGCCATAATTCTTTCATTTACCCTATTTTGATGATTGAGGTCACTGAAACCAAGATAACATATTCCACGCAAGGAAAACATTCAAATCAGAAAAAATGTAAACATCTTATGCAACAGATACCAAGTACATGTACATGTACGTTAAAACCTTGGACATGTAACTGTAAGCCATGGGGGCCAAGGGTGAGATTGGGGGAAATGAACAATCCACGATATAATCAACGGAGGGTTTGAGGGTCACCAGGGGCCTTGTAGCAACGTAGGGTCTGTAATGTTTGCACATGATTAAAGGCACTCTTAAGAATACTCATTAATCAACTGTGTATCTAGGTAACAACACTTTTACGGTAAAAACTCAGGAATTCAAGATTTCAAAATGGATTCTTAACAAATCCTAAAATCAGGACAACTCCTGAACAATTTCACCCCTGAAACTAAAGCCTGTTCCTCAAGTAACCTATCATATGTCTCTTAAAGGTGTGTCAAGATAGTCAATCTGGACTTGGGCCTAACCTTCCAAAGTCCTCCAAAATCCTCTTTGCAAAATGGAGGACTTTGCAGGATTGAGGCTATCTGGCAAAAATATGTGGCTGATCAGTGATCACCCCTCCAAGGACCACATTTAAGAAATAACGGAGGATTTTGGAGGATTAAGGCTGTATGCAATTTTTACATGGATGCAGTTGGAGGATTTTGCATGATTGAGGTTGCATCCTAACAAGAGGTTAACCCTTAGGGGTTAAGCCCAAACTCCCCAGAGTATTTTGGCTACAAACCCTACCAGACCCAGCAACATGCAACACTTCTCTAAATGACAAGCCTGCCCAGTGTAGCAAGATCCATCAGGCAAAAAGTCTATCTCAAGGCCAAACTGCCTCACATTCTGTGGTCACTGAATGCAGCAGGATACAACTGTGGCATTGTTCAATGGGACTACATGTACAATGTAGCTCTCATTGTCTCAGAAGCAGATAATTATGCACCGTCGTTGGTAGCTTAATTTATCAAAGTGCACACATTTCCACCTGATTGCACTGTGTTGCGTCTAGCAGGGTTAGGGTTAAGGTAGTAAGGCAAATAAACACTGTTGAAATGTGAAACGAATCATGTAGCATTTCCTCACAATATATCCTGCTCTTTGATGTCATCATTAGGCGTCTGGTCACTGAGGTTGCTCAAGGCACCAAATTGATTCTGATTTCCTCCAAAACTGCCAAATGAATCTCTGAACACCACTTTCTTTGTTCCTCCTCCTCCTCCGCCTCCACCACCACCTTGGCCACGCCCATCATAGTTGCGCCCTCCACTTGTGTCTTTATGATACACATAGGGGTTCTTATAGTTGGATTGTTGCTGGCCATTGTTACCATAGTTACCACTGCCCCTGGAACCATAGCTCCCACCACCTCCATAACTCTGGTAACCTCCGCCTCCGTAACCAGAGTAACCTCCTCCTCCTGATACCAAAAAAATATATAAGTCTTGAAAACTTGCATCGAATGACAAAATTCTTAATATTGGGAGACCAAAAATGAAAACAAATTGCTAACTTCGATGGGATGAGAATTTTCAACATGTTATTATAGGTTGTTACTGTACTTGTTATTAGATTGACTGTGTATGTGCTGTAGCGGCATGTCATAGCTGGCCAAGGGCCAATTGCACAAGTATACGTGCACACATATGTACACAAATAGACCATTTACGTGGGATGGGACTACATTGGCCATGCCATGCATAAGTGTGTATTAATTAATGGCAGTGGATATTTTGCCGGAGACGGCAAACCTTTAGTAAACGTTAGTTTGCCAGATATGCACTGAACATGCGCAGTTACTGTTTTTTTTTTACTTAAACATTTTCCGGTGACAAATTTCAGTCTGGCTCCATGCCAATATTATCGTTGCAACTTCGTATTCACAAGATGGGAATCAGACCATTTTATAATTTCGGACTTTAACCCTATTTCCCTTTAAAATAAAATCCTCCAGAGCCACAAATCTGAAAAAGAAAATGTAATACTCAACAATAAAATGTTTGAGACATGTTAAAATAATAAAAGAAGAATATTCTTATTTATTTGGGGATGCCCTCTGTTGATATGGATTGTTGCCGGCAAACCTTTACTAGTAAACATTAGTTTGCCGGCATTACCTCCGGCAAAATATCCACTATCTAATAAAATACGGTGCAGTACTATTACCATTAGTATTAGAGGAATAAATAATTCTCATTTTTAAAATGTTGTTTCTAAAGTTAGCAAGTTCAGAGTTGGTGGGTTCATAATCCAACAACTAAGTTATGGCCTCAAGCATGTCAAGTCTCGAACCGTTTGGCTGAGCATGCTGAGTGGTCGTTTCCAACAGCATCATGATGAACATGATTAATATCATGAACTGCATGCTAAAGATCAGGGAAACAGATGATTCATTGACTGCCGTCAATAGACCATAGATCATGTTGCGGCCATCTTGATTTTTTCCCATTCAAATCAACATAACCAAAGCGAGGCTGGAACTAAGGAAAAAATAGCCTGGTTCCTTTTTGCACAAAAAACTTATCATTAGGCCTAGGCCTACACTGACTACAAAAGTACTGTATCAATCATCATGATCATTGGTAGCCCCATAAATGTGGCCTATTTACTGGACTGCCTCCGTAAACATAGGCCACACATCCACATGTACAAAAACGTGTCGACTTTGCCAAATTTTGATTTTCACATTTAGGCTTACTTTGGAGGTTTTTTTTGCTTTAGAAGCATTCTCACCCTCTATATAGGCTAATCAGAAAGTGCTGCCTTTTCCAGATGTCCACTTTTCGTGAAATTTCCAGATACATTTGCACACGTTTGCGTATCAAAATTTCAACATGAAATTTCAAAAAAATTAGACATCTGAAAAAGGCAGCACTTTCTGATTAGCCTATATTAGAGGGTGAGAATGCTTCTAAAGCAAAAAAAAAACTCCAAAGTAAGCCTAAATGTGAAAATCAAAATTTGGCAAAGTCGACACGTTTTTGTACATGTGGATGTGTGGCCTATGTTTACGGAGGCATTCCAGTAAATAGGCCACATTTATGGGGCTAGATCATTGGATGCGGGGAACGTGACTGAAATGGTGGCACTGCATAATATTAAATGGGGTTGAGGCTTACCTGAACCTCCCCTCGGGTGTTCAAAGCGGCATTGATTACCAAACTTACAATCTCCTTTCATATAATATTTGCAAACAACCATTTTCAGCGCGTTTCAATTCAAGTTCAACAAGTCAAGCATGTCAAGTGTGCCACTTTCATTACACACGTCTACCGACCTCTCGTGGTAAAGGGAAAAAGTGAGACTAAGGCTGCATCCGAATCAACTGCCTAGAGCTAGGTCTAAGGTCTGTGCCCTTTGAAAATACGCGGAGACGCGCTGACAATAGACGTAGCCGTAGCTCTGGAAGCCCGTTTCGGACACGGCCTTAGACTGGTTTCTGGTCCGCTGGTCACCCGTTGCACGATTTTGTGTACAGCGAGTTAGTTACTAGACTGCTAAAGCAGTCGGGTGCCAACCGGTCACGGTCGTTTCATAACATGAAAGACGTCTAGGATCATGCGATTCATGCGATCCATGCGGGTGTCGGACGCTTCGCCCCATTTCCACGTCGCCCCATGTCACTTCGCCCCTAACCACTTCGCCCCCATCTCCACTTCGCCCCATCCCCACATCGCCCCATCTACGCTTCGCCCCATCCCCACTTCGCCCCATCCCCGCTTCGCCCCATCCCCACTTCGCCCCATCCCCACTTCGCCCCATGTAGTATGAAAAAGGTGAAGGCTAGGGGTGCAGACCAAATAAACTGCCAAAGACCCTAGATAATAAATGCTCCCAATTCTAAAAACTTAGGAAAAATACAAACTCTCTGATGAGGTGCTCGAGACACAGATGAGAGAAATGATGGCTCTATCCCATTCAGAGACGCCTCTCCTATTGGCTTGTGAATAAAATCATCATAGCCGCTGGATTCAAAAGAATCCGTAGATGGGTCAGTGAGTTAAAAGGAACTCACTGCCTTGAGGAAAATGTTCCGTCAAAATTTGTCTGATATGTGACGTGGCTTACAACTTAATTCATTTAGATGAGATTGGTTCCTCCAAGAGTGAAATTAGGATGTCAAAGGTATTGTCGTTCTCAGATAAGTGGGAGACGGGTTGGTATAGCCGGGTTGGGAACAAAGTTGGATCTTTTACTTCAAGCTTTTTTCTCGGTAGTGGAGAGCCTAGCTTGAGAGGTTGGTTATGAATTGTTCATTTTAGTGATGGGCTAATTCTTTCCGTTGGTTAGCAATTAGTGAATCTGTTGAAATTGTTTTTTTAAGCCAATAAAATAGATGAGATTTTTTTTTACATGTAACGGCTGGGGCGAAGTGGGGATGGGGCGAAGTGGGGATGGGGCGAAGTGGGAATGGGGCGAAGTGGGAATGGGGCGAAGCGGAGATGGGGGCGATGTGGGAATGGGGCGAAGTGGGGATGGGGCGAAGTGGTTAGGGGCGAAGTGACATGGGGCGACGTGGAAATGGGGCGAAGTGTCCGACATTCATCCATGCGATATCCACATGCGCACAGTGTGAAATGTAAATGAATTTGTTTAGCGCAAACGTTGGCGTAGTTTAAGTTGTTTGTGGTGCGTCATAGCTCGAACCAGCTTACCCAGCAGTGAGGAATTGCCCAAAAATCAGCATGAGCAGCCGAAGTTCTTACAATCAAAAAAAGGTAAACATATAGGGCCTACACATAGCCTAGGCTAATCTGGTTTTGGTTATGCTTTTCTTGCATTTGACAATTTTAATTTTCACATTAGAAAATGTGTGAGTAGAGGGCGCTGTTCATTATGATTTGGTGACTCCTTTTTCCATTGTTTTCTGAATAGAATATTGTGATTAAAATTTGATTCAACTGCGTAGCCAGAGATTTGGCACAACTAGTAACTATAGAATACAGGGCCACTCCATAATATCCGCGCATTCATGGGCATGGCTGCATGGATGCGCAGTCGGTTTTCTATAGCGCCCTCTATTGATTAAAATTTACTTCATGCCCACTCCGCATCCGCACATCCAGGCATCCAATAAAGCGCCCTCTGTTGAATAAAATTAACATGATTAACTTCATGCCATCTGCGCGTTTCTAAAGCGCCCTCTATTGATTAAAATTTACTTCATGCCCACTCCGCATCTGCGCATCACTTCACTTCACTTTATTTTCCATGTCAATGTCAATACATAGGTAAGCATGGTATACATATATAAGGTGATGGAAGGGGCCGCGCCCCCAAGAAGCACTACTTGTCTTGTCTTGCAACTGCACACTTTTAAGACACATTGACAACATGGACGTTGGCTTTTAATGCAAATGGAACCAAGGGCGAGTCCAGAACCAAATTTTCAGGGGGCCAAGAGGGCTAGAGTATTTTTTTATTTCAAATCGGGGAAGGGGATTAAGTAAATAGTATCGTGCACTATTTCAACATTGTAATATTAAAACTAAAAGGTATGTGTAGCTGAAGGCTTGCAAGGGAGATACATGATGTTTTAAGTTATTTCCTAAAAATTAAAAAAAATTATAAAAATGTTTGGGGGGGGGGGGGGCATGGCCCCCATTGCCTCTTCAGGGTCCGCCAATGAATGGGACCTTCAGTTATTTAGAACTTTGAGCAGATTTGTAAAGCAGATTGCTTTCATCGTATTACTTTTCAGAAGAAGGAAGCCCTTCGACGGCTCTCATCCCAGGGTGGTCCTCGAGGAATAAGAACACCCAGAGCAACCCCTGATGAGTTACAAACGCAGGGAAGAAGTTCAAGTAAGTACAAGTGTAATAAGGATAAACAAAGTCACGGACTGCATAAAGATACAAATATGTATGGCACATAAAGGTGTGCTTTTATGATTATTTTGGGGGGTACTGGGTACCCCATGTAGGTACCTGTAGAACTGTAAATATTACACACAAAAAATAAACATACTTCACTTGCAGTGCAGGCCTGCTGTATCACTTGCACACTTTGGACCCCTGCATACTGTAGAAGCGTATTGAACGTAAACATGTAAGCGCTCCATCAGAAGTTGTCAGCAAATTAATTCCATAACAAGTCACGTAAAGACATCTGTAACAAAACTCTTGCCACTTGAAAAAGTTGATGCATTGTCAAAGTCCATGTTCAGTGTCCGAATTTGTCTAAAGAACTCAAAGTCATGTCTGTAAGTAGGCCTGTCTTATCCATCAACTTCAATCTGATCTGCCTCAAAACAAAGTATTACTTGGATGAACAAGTAATTTATTTAAATTGTCTTATTTGTAACTGAGAATGGTGTTGGAATCTGCAAAGAAAATTTGAGTAATAACCCCATACAAAACATAGAGCCTTGTAACATTGTTAGTTGATATCTAATTAGTCTCAGACAAAAGTTTAAAAATCTGAAAAGACGGCCCTACCAGTAGTTTACTTAAGTGGACTGCACATATTGTGATATCACCAGCAATAGATACGGTTTGCTGGAATCATATATCCATGCTGGTTTGCATTTCATAACGTGGCTCTATTTGTACTACAGGATCAGTAAGACGTCAGAGAGACTTGATGGAGGCTGAGGAACATCATTCAGGACGTGGGCTCTTCAGCGGACGTAGAGTCATTGCCACTGATTCCCCTTCATCAGGCACCCACCTAGTCATCCAAGCAAATTTAGGAGCTCAGTCATCGGGTACCGATACCCCTGATACAGACCCAGATACACCCAGGAGGGTAGTCACATCCCAGACAACCTTACAGCCTAATGTAAAAGGTCCATTACTATTTAGTAAGACTTCTGAATTGTCCTCAAGTTCAGCATCTGATGGGACATTGGCTGGAGCTGGTGTCAGCGGTGGGATGTTTGGGTCCCCACAAAAATCTTCCAATGAATCAGGGGTACATGTATCTGAGGCTAGAAATCAGTTCCAAAGCTCACCTGCCAGAAAGAGTCTATTTCAGACCGAGTCCAGCAACCTATTTCCCTTCAGACCCGCGTTTGGGAGTGCTTCCACCCGTGTCCTCCAAACCTCAAACAAAGGAACTGACTCAGCTGGGAGTAGGTTTGGACAGGCCTTTACAAAAGACTCTGTGGCAGAAGGCCCCAGTGAGGTATCTTCTCCGAATTCCTCACCAGCTGAGGTTCCTGGATCCCTTGTTAAAAGCCAAGAAGCTGCACCAGGATTGGATTCAGTGACCAGAAACCTCTTTGGCAAAGCATCTGCTAAGACCACAGATCCATATCCTCCCCTCTTTGGCAAATCATCAATAAAATCTGAACAGATGTCCACATCCCCAACCAAAGTTCATTTTCGAAGAGAAGTGCCCATAGAAGGAGAAACCAAACCTCACAGCAAGGTGCTGTTTGGCAAAGTCAAAGAGCCATCAAGTCATCATGAGCGTAGTGATGTTTCATCAAAGAGGCAGCTTTCCCCAGGTCGATCAGAGGCTGCCTCTAAACGAACTCTTACATCCTTTGACGACCCTTTTTCATCTGCCTCAAGCGATATAACAGATCTGGAGACATTTGGAGCCGACACAATCAAGAGAGATTCCAAACAAAAGAAACCAGTCATAAAGAGATCAGGTCTGTTTGGGAAAGCCATAGCAGAAGCCAGTGGGAAAAGTCTTGACTCACTCCGAGAGGCTGATCAAAGGGGTAGCCATGCATCGAGCAGGGAGTCTCATCAAAGTCATAGCCACAGCCCAGAGAGAAAACGAAGAAGTCCAGACAGGCCTCAGGAAGATGAAAGGAAGAGATCAAGAGATGAAAGCAAGCCAGGTCAGTTATTGCATGGCTCTTCCATTATATGTATTAAACAAAAGCATAAAAAAGAATCCGTACACTGTGCATAAAAAGTGTAACCCTAACTCCCTAGGCATTTTTGCTAGGATGTAACCTCAATCCTACAAAATCCTGCCTCAATCCTGCAAATTCCTCCATTATTCTCCATTATTTCTTGAATATGGTACCTGGAGGGGTGACCACTGCCTGAATCCTGCAAAATCCAGCAGCAGTGACTGTCAATATGTTGAGGCTTGGCCAGTGACATTCTTGAGCAATACGGAGGATTTCAAGCATAATCCAGGCCTATATTTATTCATGGTTGAGCAAAAACAACACAAGGTCCGGCCCAAGACCTTGACAAAATGCATCCTACGAAATCAGTAACGCACTTTTGCCATGTAACCTTAATCTTCCAAATTCCTCCACTTTTGCAATGAGGATTTGAAGGATTCAGGGCGGTTAGGGTTAATAGTCGTTAAGCAGCCATATTGAGATCCAGTCACATTGTTGGTATCATTACTAGTGGTATACATTTACGGGAAGTGGGGGATCCAGGTACCGTATTGAAGTTTAAAAAAAACAGGTGTCTGGGTACCCGTAAAAGAAACCTAACCCCAAAATTCATATTTCAGAAGTTGTCTGAAGGGCTTTATAGCTTTACAATGTAGAACTGCAACTTTTGTGAGCATTATCTGTTGCTCAATAAAATGCAGAAAATGTGAAATCTGTTTTATTATCTGAACAGTGACAAATTTTGCCATTGTAAAAACAGCTCGTCAGCCAAAATAATTATGATATTTTTAATTTTTTCAATTCTCATTCAGTTTTATCAGAATATTTTATTGAACACAACTTATGTCGTGAAATAAAGTTAATGGCATTGTCATAAAATTTCCTTCTTGGTATTGATGCCATTGAGCATGGAAGTGCACTTACTTTTCCTCACTACTCTCTACAAAGCCCGACGGTCATCATCTTCTAGTTCAGCTTCCCGACGCTTGGCTAGCCCAGATGAGATCAAGCACCTACAGGCTATCATCATCAAGGGGGTTCCACCAATGGTCAATAACCGAGTCTATATCAAGGAGTTCTTCTCTGAATATGGCCCCGTTACCCGTGTCTACACCAATCCTGCTAAGCACTCAGCCACTGTTTATTTTGCGAATCATGTGAGTTCACGTGTATCGGTACATGTATCTTTCGGTTGAGTAAATCTCTCAAAATGTAAGAAACTTTTAGTGAACTTTAGGGCTTTGAACAGGTAAGTTGAAGCGTTCATTAGTAATCACACAATGTTCAGATTATGATCTAAATACTGATGGACTTTGTATACAAGACCACCCTCAATAGTGATGGAGAGATCTAAATGGACTGCATTGCCTCTGTAAGCCTGGCACCCATATAAAGACGCTGTGATTTGTTCACATTTTGGGGAAAATTGGTCTTGCTTACTTTTGAGTCGTGCGCATGAACAAGAATGCACATGTACATGTAGTGTGTCCCTCATGTGGAGCTTTAGTGCAATAGACCATTATCATGTTGCGGCCATCATGATTTGTCCCATTCAAATTAACGTAATCAAAGCGAGGCTGAAAGGAAAAATAGTCTGGTTACTTTTTGCACAAAAAAACATTATCATATACTGTTACTGGATACAGGGAACATGACTGGTATGGTGGAGGCATGATAAAGGTCTATCCTCATTCATGCGCATGGTCCATAGAAAGAAATAATATGCAATGCTCTGACCAATTTCTTGACTTGTGAAGATGACAACATTGATTTGGTGTTGCATTGTTGCATCTTGTCAGGTTTTGAATTGTTAGCGATAATTCTTTTGATAAAGTGGTGGTTAGAATTACTGGGACATTATTGATCAATAGGCTGTTAATTACCCAGCCTTGCCAGAAGCAGGAAAGTTCAACAAACAAATCTGTGAGACCTTGTTGCTCCGAGCCGTACAATAATGTCATTTCATTTGTGCACTGCTGTTCAGGTAGGATTCCATTTTACACATAGTTTGAAATGAAGTATCATTCTTTTGACTTCGTTTTTTGCCAGGATTCAGCAGCCTATGCTAAGAAGAAGGTGAGAGTCTTAAAACGAGGCACTAAGCCGGTCACTATCTTCTGGAGGCAAGGCGATCAAGGGTCTAAGTCTGAGAACAGGCAGTCTCAGGATGGTAGGTAAAAGTGAAATGACTAAATGCAATTTTGTGAGGGTACTAAGGATGTGACTTTACGTTTAAATTTGTAAACTTTTAACAAATATTTTAAGAACCGTTTAAACGTTTAAACGTTTAGCCATTCACAAAGGCTGAAGCAAGCTCATTGTGTCTGCAGACCGGTGTGATTGACATGATAAACCAACAATGGCAGTCATTGAAAAAGTACCAAATTACCTACGTAAGCCCTGAATGTAATCAAGTATTGAAGTGCTTCAAAGGCTTTGTAAATTAAATAGGTTTGAAAACATTGTTAATTATTTGTGCTATGTAGGTTTAACTCGAGGGAAGATTGGGTGAACGGTGAACGTTGGTCCCTGTTGCCGCAGAGTCTCAAATTTACGTTCACTTTCCCACGTAGTATGAATCAGCCCAAAAGGGTTTATTCTGTGATAAAATGTGAGTTTTGTTAATTTTGACTGACGTATCGTCCCACTCTCGAGACATTTACATCATGATGGTAGATTTTCCAACAATTTTTGACAACTCTCTTTCTAACATGTTTCCTCTCTGTATTTGTACCCTTAGACCAAAAGGTACCCTCAACAAGACGTGATGTGATCAAGCAGACCAATGTGAGGCAGTCCCTAGCTCCATTCAACCGTAAGATAGAGACCAAAGTCAACCCTGAAGACGGTAGTAGCATTGTCACACAAGGTAGTAGTACTATCTCGTCAGCTGGCCGTCCAAAAATGACAAGTGAGTGACTAACATGCCTCAATAGAAATGGGTCCAAAGTCATGGCACTACTAAGCACACAATTTCCTGCAAACAGAGCCTCTGTCTTTTGTTGTGGAGACCATAAGCAGTAAATACAGCAAAAGGCACATTTACCTCAGAGGATTGAGTTACTTAAATGAATGATGTAACAATAGAAATCTCCAAGAACGCTTAACCATCAGCACATCCATGCATATAATAGTGCTTAAGGTTAGCAGAATTTTCTGCAGAGTTGTAATGACTCGAGTCAGTGACTCGACTCGAGTCCGACTCAAGTCAAAATTTTTGGTGACTCGACTCGAGTCGAGTCCCTATGGGTAAATGACTCGACTCGAGTCACTGCAAGCAAATGACTCGACTCGAGTCCCTCATCAAAAGACTCGACTCGACTCGAGCGAAGGCTAATAAGACTCGAGTCCCAAAAATAAAAGCAAAATTTTATGAAGAGTATTTGCAATGACTTACGGTGCGAATGTTATGTTCATTTACAAACATACAACATGTCACAGACTCCCACCTTGTGGTTCTGGAATGCACAAAATACTATTCAGGAACCGGATTTATTTTCCAATTCGTTGTTTCATCATTGGCTTTGGGCGATTTCTTATAAAGCCTCTTGGATTCGAACGTCGACTAAATTTATGCCCCCCTTTTATACATTTTGGTAAATAGTGTTGAAATATTCGTGGCTCGAATTGACTCGAGCTAAATATTTGACTCGACTCGACTCGACCTTCTTGACCTAATGACTCGACTCAACTTGAGTCACTTCTTTAAAATGACTTGACTCGACTTGAGTCACGTCTTTAAAATGACTCGACTCGACTCGAGTCACAAAAATCAGTGACTCGTTACAACTCTGATTTTCTGCTGTAGTAAGCACAACTGTTCTGCTAACTGTTAAGCAGATCCATCATGCAGCTACTGAGCAGAAAGAAGCTGAGAACCAGGGCCCAATTTCATAGTCACTGCTGAACAATTTGCAGAAAAGTTGTGCCAAACTGTAGCCAACAATTGTGCTAACCTTAAGCACTACATGGCGTGGATGTGCTAACAGTTGGGTGTGCATGGAGACTTCTGTTGCTACGTCAATGATTTCAGCAAATTTTTTCTGTGAGATAAGTATGCCTTTTAATTGCTTACTGCTTACTGTCTCCATGAAACAACAGAGGCTCTGTTAGCAGAAAAACATGCGCTTAAATTGGGCCCGTCTTATGTAGTATACAACTATGCATTGCATAGCACTCTAGCTGGTAATGTGGTTTTGTTTGCTAAGCGAGCATGTTCTGTACTAAGAAAGTTTCTGTGTGCTAAGCTTCTCCGTGACAATCAGTCCTCGGTCTACCAGGTGTCCTTCACTGTCAATGATTACATTACCTGATAAGCTGCTTTCATGAGGTTGACCACCTAGTACCCCCCTGTACAAGGCATGGCACTTGGCATAACCTCATGATGTAAATCATTATGCACCTATTTGCACAATGTGTAGTACCTTGCACCACCAGCTATTGGATTGCACAGTGCAAAATCTTTTACCTGACTTGTGGCACGAAAAACACTATATAAGGCCAAAAAAAAATCTCCGGTTTCTGGTATGCGCGCGCGTCGCCGTAGCCATGCGCGTCGGCAAATGAAAAAGTTTTTTTTTTTCAATACAAGATGATGTCTCAAAACCGCCAAACTCACTGGTTTGACTGGAATCCTGCTGCTGCACAATTTTAACGTGTTTTTAGATGGGGTTATGATCGAGAATAAGCTTTATGTGGCCTCTCTGGACTCCCATATATTTGCACTAAGTTTAGTCGGGCACCATTTGCAGTCATCAGCCGACATTTGAAGCCAAAAAAAAAAAAAAAAGCCGCGTCGCCGCGCCACTTTTGGGACAAGCTCCATACCAGAAACCGGAGACTTTTTTTTTTGGCCTAACGGTTTGCTTATTAATTTGTTACCAACAGTTCATTTTTGTCTTTATTTACATAAGATCTGTCAGTTCCTGGCCATTTACTGAGCAAGCAGGTTGGATTGACTGCACAGGAGAGATATGATATTCTAGAAGACAGAGATAAGATCATCAGACAAGGCAAGTAGCAACTAGTGTATTGTCGAGTCCATCACATATCACATCGTCATTACATCACAAATCACTTCACAAGTCCTGTCATAGTAATAGGGGATGAATATTACCAAATGTGTGCTTGTTATTGACTTGAGAGGAATTTTGACAAGGACTAGTCATGCACCTTCAACACTTGTTGGAATTCTTTTCTGAGTGGCATTGATCCTAAGTCAAGTGATCATCTGTGGCACGATATGTGACAGGGGGAACCCCCTCCCCTCTTTTGTGTTGGTCATTGTGTTTAATACCAGAATCTCAGGAATTCTTTTAAGATATCTAGGGGGATGTGTTAGGTAACAATAGTCTAGGGTGTGTATAGGGTAAGAAGATCGGTGTGGTGCCCCTCTGTCACATATCCTGCTGGTATACTATAAGTTATCCCGCGAGCGCGAGTGGAACACGGAATAATGTAGTGCGTCTGTGTCCCAAATACCATGAGGCCGAAGGCCTTCGGCCTCGTGGTATGTGGGACACACACACACTACATTTTCCGTGTTCCACGAGCTAGAGTGTGATAACGAATTTATCTTCAAGCAAACTTGACGCAGAGTTAAGATGGAACACGCACACATCGCATCTTAGAAAAGCTACATGGTTATATGTAGCACGGCTTGTTGCCATGGATCCACCAATCAGGATCGAGGATTCAAGTTTACTTGAAGATAAAAGTGATTGGCCCTTTGCTCAAGATTTGTCCTGTTTTGGAATATGTTGGGAAAGACAAATTCTTGTTTCAAGACATATTCAACACACAAAATCCAACAGTAAAAATAATGTTTCAGTCTTGACTCAAATGATTAAAGTCTCCTTTGTATTTGAATGGTTGCGTGTAATCTGTAATTTTCACTCAGCTCCATAGCTTCTGTGGCAGGGCACATGGTCTTGGGACAGGGGGAACCAATGGCATGGGAGCAATTTACATACAATGTGGACTTGTTACTGGGGTAAGCTAATCAGGGGGAAACACTACTATGAAAGGGTTGGGGACATCTAATAAAAACACTGGATTTCCTCAGGGGGGCTACTCCTGTACTAAAGCACTACAAAAATACATTGAAAAAATTTAATTTAAATTTGGCCCTGCCACACTTCCAATGGCTTTCCATGGACAGTTATAAAAAAAATTCTTTTAGTAAAACGTGCACATCTTCTGTTAGCATGGATCAATTTCAGTAATTCTTTTCTTTTTTTCAGGTGAGTGGAAGAACATACTCTTTAATCAGGGGTGTGAAATCTCCGCTATTTAGCCGATTTCCGCTTTTTTGTTCAGCGTGCCACATTTTGTTTTCCGCTTTTTTTCTTCCGATGGTCCAGATTTCCCCCCGCTTTTTCCCCCGCGCGTAAGCTTTGATTTTATTTCCGTTTATTTTATTTTCCGCTGAACGCACGCGATCCGCTCTCTACAACATACATGTACACGTAGCTCAGGGGTGCGTGCAAGCGAGTATTCAATGTACATGTACATATTGTACATACGTACGTGTGTACTATACGATGCCATTTTTTAGCTCGAGGCCGCATGTGTTCAATGTATTGTACACAACATGTAAACAGCATCCGGGGAACCAACAGTCATTGCGCTGTGATTGGCTGCAGATAAATATGAATATTCACACATGCGCCATGAAGCACGTCGGGACTCTTTGTGGCCGTTCCTGTGTCTATGCATGTAGTGACATGATCTCCACAATAACTCGCTGTAAACATCGTCTTGTTGCAAATATAAAGCCTTGAAATAAGACTAGTAAATTGTCGCCGTGCCGCGCCAGAGAGGGCATCATGCGGGGCAAAGTTCATGTGTGCATTTCATTGCATGCACGCATCCTGCTATGCTGAATGTATTCCGCTGCATGCTGATACGTGTGTCGTTTCAAACGTATTTTGACATTATTAATTCCGCAAGATGTCAGTGTAACACAATTGTGTTATTATCCAAAGAGGTTCGGAGTTTGATACGGACATTGACAAGACCGATCCTCAGGTTACGAATCCGTGGAAATGGATTTGGATGGAACACATGGTTAATGGGCAGAAATTAGGCGACTCGATCAGAAGCCGGGACACGCGATGACGATGTGTATCATCTGCAGTAAGGAGTTAAAATATGGAAAACGTGGTCGAATTTCCCAGTTTTCATATACAAGGAGGCCATTTAGGCAGTTTCAAGCCAATATGAAGGAAAAGTTAACTTAAAAACATGCATAAATTGCAAAACATTTTCGACCAATAGTTAGCCCAGGCATGCCAGGAGGCTTTAAAATGCACCACAGAGCATCTAGGGCCTACATTTCAAAATGTTTCCGGGGCCCTTGGGCCCCCGGACCCCACGCAGTAAGGGCTTCGCGCTCGCAGGTTCGGCTATTTACAGGTTCAGCTATTTTTTTTGGACTCCACTCACACCCCTGTTTTATGAAGCCCGGGAAGGGACAGGGTGGAATTTTGTTTTGGTAATTTGCTAATTCGTTCCCACGAATTGCTAACTCGTTCCCACGAATTACTAATTCGTTCGCACGAATTGCTAACTCGTTCGCACAAATTGCTATTTCGTTCGCAAGAATTGCTACTTCGTTCGCAAGAATTGCTATTTCGTTCGCACGAATTGCTAATTCGTTCGCACGAATTGCTATTTCGTTCGCACGAATTGCTAATTCATTCGCACGAATTGTTAATTCGTTCCCACGAATTGCTATTTCGTTTGCACGATTTCCTAATTCGTGGGAGCGAATTGCTAACTCGTGCATCTAGGAACGCGTTAGTAATTCGTGGGAATGAGTTGGTAATTTGTGGGAACGAATTAGCAATTCATGGGAACGAATTAGCAATTCGTGGGAATGAGTTGGTAATTCGTGGGAACGAATTAGCAATTCATGGGAACGAATTAGCAATTCGTGGGAACGAAATAGCAATTCGTGCGAACGAATTAGTAATTCGTGGAAACGAATTAGCAAATTACAACAAAAAATTCACCCTGTCCCTTCCTCGGGCTTCATACTCTTTTAAGACATACTTCATTGGTGTATCAAATTTCATTACTTTTTAAGAAAAAAATCATTAATCCAGGTCACTTTCCTTTGCCTCACCCTGTATGCAGCATTTCTTGTAACCTTCTTAGATGATTGGTTTTTCTCATCAACTTTTTGACATTGTGTATTCAGTACTGACATCATGTCAAGTAGGAGCAATTCTCACCTACTTGTCTTGACTGATTCAGGTCTGAAGAAGAAGTCCAACTTGGCATTCCTAGCAGCCATTAAGGGAACGTGTCCAGATATGTGTCCAGAGAAGGAACGCTATATGAGGGTTGTCCAACGCAGACTACATCCTTATGAAGTCTTGCAAGGAACATCAGACAAGGTAGGCTCAAGGGTTGCAGATTGTTGATTTCAGGGCCTAATTTCATAGCGCTGCTTAACAGTTAGCAGAAAAGTTGTGCTTACTTAAAGCAGAAAATCCTGCTGTGCTTAAGCACTATTTCACTTGACCTTTTCGACATATTTTGACTTTTTGAACGAAAATGTATTTATGAATGGGAATAAGTAAGTGCTTGGCCGGTATCAATCAAGTACACGTACGTTTAAGACTTGCTTGTGGCCTGGTTGCCGATAATGGCCTGAGCCGAACATCAGCGTCCAGGCCCCAAGCAGGTCTTAAACGTACTTGTCTAAAACCGCCCAAGCACATATCTATTCCTTAAAGAATTCCCATGTTAATTCAATATACCCATACTTTGATTGGAGGTGATTGATATGCCAGCTGTGCCTACCAGTTAGCTTTGTATTTGATGGAATTTGATGATAGTCACAGTGTTTACATGATTGTGATCTGTTTTCTGTCTGCATACAAAATCATGGCAGGCAAAGTGGAAGAAATGTTTGACTGTCTGTGACTGATCAAACAGTATGAAGGTTTGACATGGTACCACACAGGTCGTGTGCACGCCCTCATTGTCCTTTGATCAATAGGATTGGCAAAAACATGCACGCTTTCACTTTAAGAACAATTCTGACGTGCGTGTGTTACTCTTCCTCAGTCATCGCTTCTTCTTGCTATCATAACAGTGCACTTCACTTTCATTGTTTGTAAACCATTTCACAAGTTACCATTATTGATTTGATTCACCATCCTTCTAAAAGATTTCGTTTTCCCTTTCAGGTTAATCATGAAACTGCCGTTAAAGAGTACAGCAGGTCATCTGCCGATCAGGTGAATTTCATTTTCAGTTTCTCTTTTGATTTTGCTAATTTTATTCAATTTTATTTATTTTATTTTGTGCCAAATTCAGTTCCTAGTTTCACAAAGTATTTATTCAATGATAATTTTTTCTTCTACAAAACAAAACATCATGTTCTGTAACTGTTTCGTCTTTAAAATTAGAACATTGAAAATATTGCAATAAAAAAATGTCTCTTTACTCACATTAAAGGTACATCTTAATATTAACATATAAATCACTGCAATACAAAAACGGCCATTAAATGTCATGGATTATGATATCCATTGCTATATAAGATTTGAATAGAATTATTATATTAACACTGACACAAGCAACAAAATGGTTTAAAAGTTTGTTTCAAGAAGTTGTAGGCTTAATTTTCACCTGAGTTAGCTCATGTAGGGTTTTCTAACAAGCGCATCACAAATAATGTACTCAGAAACTAACATTGATTAAACATGTCACATACTTTGCCTATACTTACCTGTTCATATGCCATGGATAGTAAAAATCAGGAAGAGAGCTCAGCTGTTCTATCAGTTCCCTGGAAATTATATTTATTGCAATTAGGACCTCTTCCCACAAAATATAATAATTTGAGATTCATTAAATATCCCAATCCTGTATAAATTACTAACTAATTGAAATTGCAGCGCTGTCTTTAACCTACTGCTTTAATCGCTAGTTGTTGGTCAAGATTTATGGTTGGGGTTGGGGAGGGGGGTGAGCTATGCCACCTTGATTTTTGTGCTTTTTAACACGGAGCCTTGGAACTTTCCCTGTTCTCAGGAGGAGCCATTACCCCATGAGATGAGGCCAGCCCCTGTCCTGACTTTGACAATGAACTATCTAATGCGTCACGTTATGAACATGGGGCGTGATGGCCATTGGGAGGGATGGTTTGACTTTCTTTGGAGTCGTACCCGTGGGATTCGTAAGGACATTACGCAGCAGGATCTATATGATCTGACGGCCATTGATCTGATGGAGAAATGTGCAAGGTATGCAATCCTTCCTCAAAACAAGTAATACGCCTGGTTTGGTACTTCAACTGCGCACGCGCACAATGATATGGGTCACTGGTCATTTGGGATAATCAAACACGCAACGAAGGCACATGAACGTGCAGGGAGACGGCTGCCTGATGCTCACTATGAGCAGAATAGGCGTTCATGTAACAATGCGTGACATTACGTCAGTGATTTTGACCCAAATGACCTTTGACCTGAACTACTGCATCGAGATACCAAACTGGCTTATTGTAAACACTCTGCTGCCATCATTTTCCTTTGAAATAACTATAGTTAGTTTGAAGTTCATTTGCAGTTTAAAACCGTAAGTTTGAAAGTAAAGTTTTTGAGCATAACCTAATAGGGTACAGTTTGCAATTGCACCATGTGAAACAGAAATGCATTTTTGTGAGTTTGTGTGGTGCTATAGAAGAATCGGTGAAAACTCAACAATTTTGGGTATTGTGCTGTGCCTGTTGTCTTGTAAACAGAGCATACTGTCCAAAACAGAGTTCCCCCGGTTTTTAGCTGTGGGATATTAGCTCAACAAATCATCATGTCTCTCCGTTAGTCTGTTAGTTATGCACATATCAAATGTCAACCCCCCCCCCCAACAATTGATAGGCGCATTAGTTAGTAACAAACATGGACATTGTCTATTGCTCCTACACATTTTGACTGATTTCAACCAAATTTTGTCAAAAGTATCAGTAGCCCAGCCCCAATATGTTACATGACCAAGCTGGGGTCAAAGGTCATCATGGGGTCACTGGGATAAAAAAACCTGAATTTTTTTTTTTTTAAACTGAAGAGACTACTCCTTCCAGAAATTACATGGCACAATTACGTGACTCATGAATGAATACGAATTTGTTGGCCCGCAGCTTCCGAGATCCGATCAAGCTTGTTCTCCGAGCCACACAAACTTGCAAAGAGATTTCTTATTGCATGGTGCAACTGCTTTCTTACTTCACCATGCAAACTTTCAAATTATAATTATCTGAGCAGAGTCTGTTGTCCAAACTTTTGGAAAGTGTGTGGAAAGAAGAATCATGAGATTGTGCAGTTTACAATTCAGTAAATTATTTTCAAGGGATGGGGAGCAGGTCCTTTGGATGAGCTCACTGTGCCCCTATGCCTCTAGGCTCCTTGTCTTTGTCCTTATGTTGATGCCAAATGTGCCACGGTCATTGCCTACACACATCAGCAATCCCATTCACAATGCATTGACATCCCACATCCATGCTTTCAGGTTAAAGTCAAAGCAGAAAAATGTTTCTGTTAAAGGGAAGATACAACATTTGCAAACATCAAAAAACGAAATGATCAAATTATCACGAAATACCTTACTGGATTGTTAGGGAATGACAGTCTAAAGCATCCTGTAAAATCGTGGCTCCTGATGTGCTGACATTTTCAAGAAAGACTGTATTTTTCCAATGCTGGTCGACTGACCAGCGTTGGAAAAAACTGGCTTTTTTTTCAAAAACTGCTCCTAGTTTTTTATATTTAACTATTCCGCATTTTCTTTGCAATTGATTACACACCTGTGAAGGGGTACAAGCCTGCTAGACTGATTCTTTGACCTTACAATTCCCCAAATTGCCCTGTTTCATCTTAAGTGGGGTCAGGGAACCAGACTACAAGAACAATATTGTTTTTTTTATGTTTTTTCCAGCATCTACAAGCCCAAAACGTGAAACAAGTCCGTTTAACAATAATTGCTATAACATATTTGCAGCAAAAGCAAATGTTGTACATTCCCTTTAATATGTGTCAAAAATTCAAAGTGTCCAAGATTGACTTGGGGAGTGTGTCACCAGCGGGCGACTTTGGAGACACTCGGTGGCAGCAAACATATCGGTCCTTTTCAGTTGTTTACATCATGTTTACTCCAAGTTATGTCTGTGCAAAATGACGCAAACAATAGAAAAAGGACGGATGTGTTTTTTGCAACCAAGTATTCCAAATGTCTCCCATTATGTTTTATTGTATTAACAAAATACTGGGATATTCAATTACAAAGACACCATAATCATCCAAGCACTTCACATCTCTTCATTGCTCCAGGTTTCACATATTCTGCTCTCATCGGTTATGTGAGGAGGACCGAAGCACCATAGATCCCAAGATCAACAACGAGAACCTGACTAAATGCATGCAATCACTCAAGCAGTTCTACCATGACTTGGCTAGTGAGGGGGTTGTGTGTCCCAATGAAGCTGAGTTCAGGGCTTATGATGTGCTGCTTAATCTCAATGATAGGGACATCCTCAGGTAAGTGGCTTCACATTTGTATCCTGCTTTTTATTTTTTTAAAGACTTTTTTTTAGTGTACAGTTCCAACCAGTGCTGCAAAACAACCCCCAGGTTAGTCCGAGTATCACCCTTAGTCCAATGGAGCCCTCTCCGTAAGGCCAAAAAAAAAGTCTCTGGTTTCTGGTATGGAGCTTGCCCCAAAAGTGGTGCGGCGACGCGGCTTTTTTTTAATTTATTTTTTTACCGTTTTTTTTTCTTCAAATATCGGCTGATGACTGCAAATGGTGCCCGACTAAATTTAGTGCAAATATGTGGGAGTCCAGAGAGGCCACATAAAGCTTATACTCGATCGTAACCCCATCTAAAAACATGTTAAATTTGTGCAGCAGCAGGATTCCAGTCAAACCAGTGAGTTTGGTGGTTTTGAGACATCATCTTACATTGAAAAAAACGTTTTCATTTTGCCGACGCGCATGGCTACGGCGACGCGTGCGCATACCAGAAACCGAAGACTTTTTTTTTTTGGCCTAACTAACGTCTGATATATCTGAGCAATGCAAATTTTATGTAACTCCGTGCACGATCCAATCAGACTTTACTTAAGAAATTGTGACGATCAGAAATATGGAGTGAGCTGTTGATTGGTCAATTTGGCTGCCATGTTTTTGTAGTACAACAATGGGTTGCTGAAGACCCGATAGAAGGCGCACGTTGAATGGTCAGAATCTGGAGGTCAAGACGCAGTCTTGTTTTGCATAATTAATCGCTGAATCTGCTCGCATATCATAGACCTTTGCTGTGCAAGAGGATATTCCATAGACTAGCCTCAGGTTTGGTTACGGATCAATTCGGCTTCAGATTCGGTTTGGGAAATATGCAAATGATCATAACTGCACTGACAAGGTGTAGTTTGGCAATAACAAGATTATTCACAATATTCTTGTACATGTTCGACATCATGTGGATGTCCTGTGACACAGGCCAACATTTGAAATATAATCAACCAAAAATAAACACTCTTTTTTTGAAATCCCAAGACGAGGATGTGCGTTACGTTTAAGTAAATTTTTTTATTAAATCTCAATGTACACCCAAAAAACCAGGAAAAGTTGAAAAATCACTGCTACATTTCTACAGTAAGTTAAAAAAATCCTCTTAACCATTTGTTTTTACAAGCACATGTCTAATGCTACATTCATACTTTTAAGAGTACTGAGACTGTACATAGCTGTTAGAAAGACTATTTAAAAATCATGTCAGTATGGATCATATGCTATAGACTGTAGAGGGCAATATGTAGCATGGCAACAATTACAAACAATTAATGATTTAGGGCACATGTCACTGGTCTTCTCCATGGGCCTTATTCGTGAGTTGGCCATATTGAATTGAAAGTTAGGTAAAATCTTAAATTTTGGAACTTACAAAGAGAAATGAAAGCAAGTTAATTTATGATGAATTCCAGTCTGCTTCAATAATTATTTAGAATTTGTAATTAAACATTCCCTAACGTTTAAAGCCATATTTAAAAAAAAAAGTGACAGTAAAATAAGGCTGCATTGTGCCTGCATAAAGAGTCTGGCGCCATCCCATTCAACAGTGAACAATTAAGGAAATACATTCAGGGAACTCGACAAAAATGGCCAACTCGTGAATAAGGCCCATGCACATTGTTCAATCACGTTTAGAAATCAGTGGGCGTAAGTGGAATGAAACCCCATTCTCAAGTGATCCGAGAACTGCGTTCTTAGATTGCCAACAACAAGTGCAAAAAGTGAGTGTGGAGTGCAGTTGGCCAATTCATTTCAAAATGGTGGCTGCCATGTACAGTCGAGTCTCGTTAATACAATCTCGTTCGGACCTAGCCAAATTGTTTGGAACATCAGTCCCATTCATTGTGCACATAAATGCACAGTCGGGACCAAGGCTTTATGTTTGTTATAACCAGAATTTTGTATTAACAGAGTTTGTACTACCGAGAGTCGACTGTACACAAATGCCAATGAATTTGTTGGAATGTACTGCATAGTAAAACAGACTCAAATGTAAAGCCTCCAAAAACACACACATCCCTTCAAAAAGCAAACAAACAAACAAATAACACCAACCAACAAACAACAGACAAACAAACAAACTCGATTTATGATATGTGCAAAATAAATGGAGTGCAGTAATTATTCAGTTTACGAGTGCATTAAGTAGAAACTGCATGTATGCATATTGCTTTTAAAAACTTATAATTCATCTGTGAATCTCAAAGGTCCTGAGAAATAAAATGAATATTCCAAACATAAAAGGGGTAGCCAGAGTAGGAATGTTAAGTACCAGCAGTATATTAATCTATAGTGTTGGATAAAAAAGGAACATGCAACCTTACAAGAACATTTCATTAATATTAAAGGTATCATGGTGAATCAGTAATCAGAAAATATAAAGCATACTATTGTAAAAGGCAAGGTATTGTCAGTTATACATCTCTTATAATTCTGCAAACCACACAAGAAGATTTTTATTAAAAGTATCATTGTAAATCAGAAATAAAAAAATATAAATCATCATGTTTTAAAAGGCAAGGTATTTTCAGTTATTTGTTATACAGTTATTTTCAGTTATTTGTCATTATAAAATTGAAGCAAGGAATTGACTGGAGCAGGGGTTGATCCTGCAACCTCTGGATTGCCGTACCATTCTGTTTATTTGGCAAAAAGATCAGGAGAGATATGATATACCGGTACAGTACCAGTTTATAAATATACAATTGCAGATAAAGTTTGATATAAAATACTACAAAATTTTATTTACAGAAGGCATATATACTGCTTTTATTGAATACAATGACAAAGTTGTCACATGATCACTTTGTACAGGTACAGTCTACGTATATCATGGCAGTGTTATTAAAAACAGGAATGTCACTACACTTGTGTGTCCTTACATAATGAAAGTCTCATTTTTACATTGAAGTACAATGTGTATCAAATCTGTCATAACTCAGTCACAAGTCCTCCAAGTCACTCACTACTCATATGAACAACTTTCCTTGCCGGTCATTATTGTTCATCTGCTGTTGTGGCTGGATGATGTACTGATTTGTGTTTTACTTGGGACTCAATTTTTACGGACTCAACTTTGTACACTGTACACTAGATTTTTGAAGGGTGTCTTTGATTTCCTTAGAAAATTAATAAATGTACACGTATCCCAAAATCAAAGTGTTTTTACATTCATGTATCTAAATTATATGGAAAGAAACACGCATATGTACAAAGTTGTTTACATTTGTTAAAAAAAAAAATTTAATAAAAAAGACCCTCCTATTGTTTGATCAGTCACAGACAGTCATAATATTCTTCCACTTACCTTGCAATACATTTGTACACAGACTAGCGAAAAACAGTCGGCTTACATTCTGGTAAATGCTGTGACTAGACAAATTGCATCAACAGATGGAAGAAGTAACTGATACGTGTAGGTACCATGTACATGTACAGCTGGTATATATCAATCACCGTCAAGGTTCAAGGTTCATTTAGTTACCTTCAGTAAAAGCATGACTGTATCAAAGTAACAAGGGTATTCTTAACTGTTAGTCACTTGATTGAATTTGATTGCTGTGATGGCACAACTGAATTTGCCAGCCAGAGACCAACTTCAATTAGTGCTGAACAGATACTGAACAACAGATATGCATTAGCTGGAATCTTACCAGACTGATCTTGATACATACATTGTAAATATAAGTGTGTGAACAAAATCATGGAATCGTGAGTAAAGTTCATTGTACATGTACAATGTATATTTTTATTTTGTGTTTTATTGTACTTAAGCACAATTTATGAATGGATTTGTATTTGCATTATTTTGAAAAGGATTTTGACTTGAGCATCTCAGCATTTTTGATGCATTAAAAATGACATGATCCTCTGGCATGTCGTTTATGAAGGGATTAGTGTTTGGTTGTTGTGGGGGAGGTTCTTCAATAGAAGTGAAGCTTTCATCAATGAGTGGTGTTGGGTGGAGTGCGTTCAAATGCTCCATGGTCATGTACGGAGGATAAGAATGCTGAACCTCCTGTGGGTCATCTGAACCATAAGGTGCAACCCGATAGGTAGGGTCAATCCAAGACTGTGCATCTCTCTCCTGAGCTGCAAGGACATCATCTTGAGACCCAAAGGCTGAGTCACTTGGTGAATGAGGTCTGATACGGACTGGTTCATAAGCTCCATCATCATCTTGAACCAGTCTGTTAGGGATAATACGCACCAGGGGCACGCTCTGCTGCTGCTGCTGCTGCTGTTGCTGTGTTGGTCGCTGTTGTTTGGTGGCCTGCTGTTGCTGCTGAGTCCTGTGTGTACGCCAATCCAAATACTTAATCAAGACGATAAGAACAACAACAACACTGATAAAAGTGGCCACCCCGACCACAATGTAGATGATGACAGGATCCAGCTGAGAGTTCTGTTTCATGTTTTGCTTGACTGCCTGGAGGTTATAGTCAGTGGTCACAATGCTCTTGACTGAAGTGATCTGGGTAGATGGTACCACTGAAGCAGCTGGAACAAAACCAAAAATCTGTGGCCCTGGACAAATTGTGACACGGTTAAGTGGGTAACCTCTCAATTCCTGAGGCCAGCCACATGTTACATTAGCTCTGAGGGTCTCAACGTCTTCATTCTTCATGTGATCTATCACCCACTTCTTGATGGGATCTACTGAGCATGTGCAGGTCAGGTTGTTATTCTCAGCCAAGTACAGCTCATCTAGTCCATTGATCTTGTCTGCCAAAACACTGATGTCTCGTAAGTTATTGTCAAAGAGATCTAGTATCGTGAGATTGGGCAATATTGGGAAACCAGTGATTGAGAGGATCAAGTTGTGAGACAAGTTCAGTTCCTCCAAATTAACCAAGTTTTTAAGAAGTGACCCATCCAGAAATTTGAGGTTATTATTTTCTGCATTGATGTAAACGAGTTCAGTCAACGTGTCAAAGATGCCAGTAGGGAATTCTGTGAGGCCGTTGTTACCCATGTGCAGATACTGTAGGTGTGGTGTATGTTGAAACACTGAAGCATGCAACCTAGTGATTTCATTATGGCCAATGTATAACCCAGTGAGTCCATCCAAGCCACAGAAGGCATCAGGGTGTATGTATGTTATGCTATTCTGGTTGAGGAAAAGCTTCTTCAGATCAGACGCCCCTTCAAATGCCCTTTCCCCTACCTCAATGAGAGAGTTGAATTGCAGGTAGATGTTTTTCAGTGAGATGCACTCGTCAAAGGCTCCTCTTGTAATGTTACTGATGAAGTTGAACTCGAGGTCGAGGTACTGCAGCAGTTGGTACCCTGCAAAGCTACCGGCCCCGAGGTATGTAAGTTCATTGTTGCGTAGGTCAACCATCTCTGATGTGCTGCATTCATGGGGAACTTGAGTTAGACCACGATCCCTGCAGTTGGCATCCAATGCCCATGCTGTGTACTCACAGGTGACATTACAACCGACATCGTGGGATGCATCTACCCCGCTGATAGTGCAGACAAGGAGAACTATGCTGACAACCTGCGAAGCCGTGGTAATGATGATGAGACAATGGAATGCCATGGTGTTCCTTGATTGGCTACGTGAAGAAAGTCATAGTATGCTGAAAATATAACAGAAAGAGAACTTTGTTTTTGTGTAGAGATATTCACCCTTTAATCGCATAGTAAGTCAGGTTGTGCGTCTATCAAGTAGACATAATAAACAAAAAATTCTTTTACTTAGATTTAAGACAGCTCGAAAATGAACTGCAGTGTTCCAAGGGAATAGTTAAAGGGAAAATACAACATTTGCAAACATCAAAAAATAAAACTACCAAATCCTTTTGAAATACCTTGCTGGACTGTTAGTGAATGACAGTGAAAAGCATCCTGTAAAATCATGGCACCTGGTATACTGTCATTTTCAAGAAAAGTGGTATTTTTGTATCAATTTCCAACGCTGATCGGCCGATCAGCGTTGGAAAAAACTGGCTTTTTTTTCAAATACTGGCCCCAATTGACCATCGCACTTGTTTGCAATCGATTACAAACCTATGAACGGGTACGACTGGTTCCCTGACCTTACAATTCCCCAATGTATGTAAACTGCTCTGTTTCTTCTTATATGGAGTCAGGGAACCAGACTACAGGAAAATGATTGTTTTTCTTGGTTTTTATAGCATTTTCGAACCCAAAACCTCAAAAAAGTCAGTGTAACTATATTTGCTATATATTTCCAACCCCCCAATTCCATCCATTTCTGAAAATTACAGCAAAAGCAAATGATGTATATTCCCTTTAAATTATGCACATATTGACTGGCAATGAGAACTCTAGTTCACGACTATGCACCCGATAGATAGTTACCACAAGAGGGTGGGGAAGAAGTGTCATCTTGTGATCACTCACAGACCTGTTCTTGTAACCAGATACTGGCCATTGTTCATGTTATGATGAGCTTTGATAACCTCGGGGGGAGGGGGGGGGTGGACTGTACTGGTAATTGTTGGATATGGTAATGTAACTGGGTACAGTAAACTACATGTACCATAGCATGTGTATCGATGCTGAATGGATTGTTTTTCCATGCCCAGTATGACTATTTACATGTATGAGAGGTATGGTAATAAGTTAAAGGGAATATACAACATTTGCAAACATCGAAAAATAAAACTACCAAGTTTTTGCGAAATACCTTAATAGGATGTTGGTAAATGACAGTCTAAAGCATCCTGTAAAATTATGGCACCTGGTATACTGTCATTTTCAAGAAAAGTGGTATTTTTGTATCAATTTCCAACGCTGATCGGCCGATCAGCGTTGGAAACAACTGGCTTTTTTTTCAAATACTGGCCCCAATTGACCATTGCACTTGTTTGCAATCGATTACAAACCTATGAACGGGTACGAGCCAGCTAGACTGGTTCCCTGACCTTACAATTCCCCAATGTATGTAAACTGCTCTGTTTCTTCTTATATGGAGTCAGGGAACCAGACTACAGGAAAATGATCGTTTTTCTTGGTTTTTATAGCATTTTCGAACCCAAAACCTCCAAAAAAGTCAGTGTAACTATATTTGCTTTATATTTCCAACCCCCCAATTCCATCCATTTCTGAAAATTACAGCAAAAGCAAATGATGTATATTCCCTTTAATTACGTGTAACTTACCTGTGATTTAGTGGCACTGTGCAAGCCTGTTTCACAACTCTTTTCGCAACACTCACAAACCAACTGCATGGATGGCACAAAATGAAGATCACTTTGTCCTTCATGCATGTATTGCCTCTTGGCTACTTGAGTCTGAGAGCGGAACACTTCTGGCAGCCTGCTTCAGATGTCCAGGTGTTAAACACTGGATTCGAAAGGAGGAAATGGTGGGATACATGTATGTCAATGATTGTTATAATAAAATTATTTGCCAAGTTTTAAAACAAAAACTACTTTCATTTTCACTTTTGTATGGAATCTGTTTATCTGATGATAGTAATAATAATAATAGACAGGTTAAAATATCTTTGCCCTCGGTCTCAGTTCTTATGAGTCGTCACCCTGTTTCCATGTTGCATGCATAATAATGAAAATGAAATTAGACATCTCGGTCAGGGTTGAGATTTGTCAGGAGTTTTCCAGATTTCAGGTTTTTTAAGAATCTGTTCTGATATCTGGAATTTGTGAGGTTATATCGTAAATGTGTTTTTACATATAAAATATTAGTGTATGGAACAAAAAATGGTTATTACAGTAATGGTATAGGCCTATAAAGCCTTTTTAAAGTTTGTTCTATGTGTACTTATGTACATGTACATATATGTACTACACTTTAGGCACAAACATACAGGTACCATACATGCCATGGCCTAGGCCCAGGTTGCTTTGGTTTGGGGCTCTCAGTGACCCTCAAACCCTCAGCCAATTGTTTCATGGATTGTTCCTTTCCCCCAATGACTTACAAATGGAAGGGAAAAATGCAGTTTTAAAAAACAAATGATAGATCCAATGACGTGAGAGATCCTATTCGCTTGGCTAGATGCAGTCAACATGTGTATTTCTCTAAGCATTGAATGTAAAGTGGCATGTAAGCTCTAAAGGTGTTATCTTCAGAGAAATTTGACTTACAGTTACACTTTGCACGTTATTTTTTTTATTTATAAGAAACCTGATTTATGGAACTGTTGGACAAACTTTATAAGCTTGTCAGAGATTAAACAAGTAATGTACATTGTATGTGTGTGGTCCTCATTCTCAAACTTTACAATTGAAGTACCGTACTAACCTGAACAGTTTGGGTTTGTTCCACTCACGTGCTTTTAATTTGTAATGAAATTAGTGTCTGTTCCGAATATTCCTCCCTTCCACATCAATAGATAAACCACAATTATAGAAACTCTCTGTGACTACTGGTACAAAAAGGAAGTATAGTCACTTTTCGCCACGTAATCCCTTTTTATGTCAAGCTTGGGGAAATCCTTGGGATTTTCCTGTTCTTTATAAACCTCTTGAATGCTTTTATACTATGGACTTCGTATAACATAAATTGAGTAAACCTCAACTGTTCATGTACAGTATTTTTCACAAGCTGCAATTGGTTACAACAACAGTAATTAAATTGTACTCAACTGCATGTACATGTGCATAAATATGTATTGCAAATATATACACACATGTTCTTGATATTCTTTTATTCACATCATTCATGTTTGGATATGATTTATTGCAGAAAAAGTAGTGGGTTCAGATCACTTTTTTTAATTTCTACTTTTAAGTATACCTGATATTTTAAAATATTGGTACACGAACTTTACCCAGTAGCCTTTATCTTAAAGGTTTTTTTTTCTCAAATGCTTTGTGCATTATACGCCATATCATATCATGAAGGTTTTATACTAGCTCCTTGATCATATCACTAGACATCCGTTAGTAGTACACTACAAAATAAACATCCGCTCCTTTATTATTTGTGACTGATATCAGTTAAACTCACTGAGTGCCAGACGGTATAAATTTGGCGGGAGATATAAGTCAGATGACTGAACCACTGATAACTGATCAATATTTATCAACACAAACAGCCGTTGACCATAACCGAATTTCCCGCCTTTCTGCTTAAGAGTAGCACTCCTATTCTGAAAGTGGACTCTTCCATACATTGTTCAACATTGTACATGCACGTCAATGGGTCCAATGATCACAGTCTGTAGGTCGTCTTTTATATTTGTACAGTCTAGGGGATTTCCCCTAGTCCTGTTTCCTCATTGGTGCATGGCAAGCAGGGTCACTCGTTGCTGGGCAGAAATTGCCATAAATAATTTACCAAGCTCTAAGAATTTCTCATCACTGTATTTGGTTTCATAATTTCTCATCACTGTATTTTTATGATGAAACCCAAACTGTTACATGCTACAATACTTTTCAGATACTGAAACATTTTGAATTTCCAGGTACATGTACATGTACATGCATTATGTACATGTAGCTACTTAATTGATACCTCTAGTATGTCTGGCTTCAACCCTGCATGATAAATATTTTTTATTTTTTTTTATTTTACCTTTTAAGCATACTAAATACATGTATGTGGGGTTGGGTTGTTATTTGTTTTGGTGCATTCCTGTTATAAAAACAGTTTTTTTTCTCTGAACGTTTGCACTGGCAATCTGTGGCATCAATCTCTGCTTGTGACCTATACTAGTTTAACAAGACCTCAATGGGGTTGCTGTCTGGGAACTAGGTACATGTAGACAACGACTTAAAAAAAATCCCTAGCTTCCTTGTTGTCATGACCCTGGGGTTATCTCACTTGATTGCATGTTGGAAACCTGTAAACAACTTCACCCTCTATCCAGCGTGCATGACAAATTTCTTTTTTAAGGGAACTAAATTTGAACTCTTTGTGAAAGCTTGGTGGGGGGGAGAGAAAATGAAAGCAGCGTGATAAAATGACTGATCACATCCCATGCAATTTGTTTGCCTAGTGAGTGTTTTCTTTCATTCAACATCATGTTTAACTTTGGTAAAAACCAAGATTAAAGAGGTTGTGGAATGCTCGAAGACATTTCCGTCATTTTTCGGGTATATGTAGCCTAAGGTGTGATGAAATAAAAACGACTATTGTTTCTGTCATGAAATGAGTACAAAAGGTACTTTTGAGAGCTGTTTTTCAGGTCCAGTTTCGACCCGAACGTGCAACTGTGTAAAAGTCGTCGTTGCGGGCAGCATACAAAACACAGTAAATCGTGACGTAATAAACAGGACTTCCGATGCACAGTAGCATACACGAGTAGCATACACAGTAGCATAACAGGAATGCACCAAAAATTACGGAAATGTCTTCGAGCATTCCACAACCTCTTTAACTAACCACAAATCTTGTCATGGTGATGGCGCCCTTAGACTTTAGAGACTTTGTTATTCAGCCTTTTTGTATTTTGACATTACAATGCTGTCTGCAGCCTTCACCAATTGACCTAAGTTTGACTTGGGCAAAGCTCAGTGCTATTGTACTCATATCTAGGCTTTATATTTATTTAACCATAGGCATCCTGGCTCTTTGCCAAACATGCGTATTTGTTCTTCTAGGTCTACTTACTGATCCCCTGGAGCTCCAGGTACTAGAGTGGAATATGATTGGTCAGAAGTTTCATAAAGTGGTGTTTGCGCATAAACAACAATAGTTCCCACATTCAACTTTGTGTATCTCATGCCCCATTGGCCCATTATACGTGTAACACTGCATGCATTTTAAACTTAAAAACTTGATAAAACTTAAATCTTGATACATTTCAAAGTCCTGTTTTCATTTCAAGGCTAATTTTGACACTCATGTTTATTCAAATTTTAACCACCAAAAAGTATGCATAAATTTGATAAATTATTTTAATTTCTTTTTTACCTCATAACTATCTTTTTATGTAAATGCAGCCATCACCATGCTGTGAAATATGATGAAAATATTGCAAAGTAAATCCAAGAATGGATTAATACACTACAGACATATATATAGAATGGTAACTCTTTATATTTGGTAAGAACAACTATGTAAAAGAACTTTAAATTCAACTGAAACATTTATTTATTAGTGTTCACACATACACAAATTGTGCAATTATGCATGATTGCATAATTTAATTTGTACAAGTGAAAGTCTTTTATAGTGAGGGGAATTTTGTTATTGCATCACTCCACAAAATGACAATATTGATTGATGCAGTACCGGTATACGTGTACATTTGAAATGTGGCAAGTGGTAACATATGGTTGAACTACATTACTACAAAATGATGGCATATGGTTTAGGTGTTAGAGCTCACACCATTATATTTCTCTAAGCCGTTGCACTGCACATTTTAGAGTTGCTTTACCTACATTGTACATGTACAGAGTGCCTTGAGGAAAAAGGATTTTTTTCTCCAAGTTTCACCTTCAATAGAAATGAAAAAAGTTGCCCTTACTTTGCTGCACACCCTCCCGAATTAGTACTCTGTATTTTCATATAAAAATGAGCATTTGAAAGTGCTAACTCAGACTTGATTGAATATTCAAATTACGGTGATCAAGTTAAATACTAAGTTACATGTTCGCTAGCCTAAACTTGTCACTGATTGGGAATTGCACACACCTGTGCTTGTCAAAAATTGAAAAAGAGCTGCATACATCCATGTAAGTTTAAGTAACTTTTTAAATAGGAATAAATTATTGTATTGAGATATGTATTTTTGAGGTAGCAGGATGACTGATGATGTTTGACAGATCTCAAATTGAGCTAATATTCCTCACTGAAGCTCTTAAATCATGCACATTTATACAACGGCTTTTCACAAAGGTGTGGTATTTGACAAAATATTAAATGAACCATGCAGCCTATAGAATAAAACACCATTGTGGATGTTTTTATGATACAGCTCCCATTTTTCAAATACAAATTATTTTTGGTGGATGATTGAATATTCGGTATATTTGGCACTGCCCTACCAAATTGGAAACCATTATTTGGATCCCCTCTGATGTTTTGCTTTGCTCTGCTGCGATCCCTATTATATGCCAGCAGTTATGGTGGTTTATGTATATTCTGGCATGTTGCGCTTTTGCAAACGTATGCAATTGCCTACTCTTCTGTTTAATTTGTGCTTCCTTTTAAGTTTTAGGGGCTTTATTATTCTTAGGAACATGTATACTGGTACATGTAAAAATGCACTTTTGCATCCGTGCAACTTGTGTTTGACATGTCAATTGTGTTGTTTGCTGTGCTGCACCTGTTTAAGCTCTGTGCTGCATTGTGCTGTGCTATGCTATGTTATTATTATGCTGCTCTCTACTTCAAGCATTAATGCTCTGCTTTGCACTGCCACTAGACGCACTATTAATATTGTTTCCCCCTTTCATTTGCATATGCTTTGCTGGGCTGTTGTGCACGTAGCTCTGCTGCTCTTTGTTGCTGCTGCACTGCAATATTTCCTTTGTGCTGTGCATTGGTCATACTGGCTTGTATTCATTAAAAAATCATTTCAACCGCCACCTACCTGCTTAAGCTGTACATTGAGTAGCTAAGCATGACTCATCTGGTCATCACTAAGGCTGCTGCAGATCCCCAGCTGGCAGCTCCAGCCACCTGACCCTTCTGATTTACTACTACGCCACACCATCTCACACATGTACATGTACATGTACACACATCCAGGTGGTTACCATTGGTGGGCACAACACTACTATCACTGCTATTGTTGTTTGGCCCCAGTGCCTGGCTGAGTATAAAAAAAAACAAATCGCGTTGGTTTTTTTTGGAAGGTTCTATTTTAGGAAGGGTAAATACTGCTATATTTTTCATTTACGTGGGAAATTGCTTTAAAAGTTTTTTATTATTCATCGCAATGTTTGTCTTTTTGGAAAAAAAAACATGCAATCAGTACATACCGGTATCAAGCATTTTACTGATGCAAATAGGGGGAAAATAGCTCAGGGGAAAAGTAATGCTAAGAAGAGGTGGGAGTAGCTTAAAAAAAAATCCCCTTTCATAGTAGGGTGTATATTCAAACAAAAGTCGTAATTTTGAGGAGAGATTCACCAGCCTTACAACTTGGGACAGAGATTTGTGACTTTGAATATTTCACCTTCAGTAACACTTGTGTAAATTTACTAATTGTGAGGTACTGGAACTGAAATAGGCAATTACAGTGGTAGCCTCTTTGTTGCGTGTTTACTTCACTTTAGGCGGGCAAAACTAACGGCTGATTTCTTTGTTGTAGGGGCCTTTCTTGAAAATCACACCATGATCACACTACAGAGAATTTTCGGAAAGGCCCATTCGTGTTTGTTATATACGGGTTGTTAGGCACCATTTGGAAAGTCACAAACAATTTTTAAAAATCAAACAATAACAAATTACAACTGAAATACATTGTTTGTTAACCCTTTGGTGCCCAGATTATTTGGATAAGATGCACAGATTGTAACTCTTTGGTGGTCACTAGCAACTGCCCTGTGCCAGAACATTTGTACTGAAATTGTTTATGATGGTTGAATTATTAATAAATGCTTTAATTTCTTTATCTTATCTGGTGAACTCGATTGATCCTACTTGTAGGTGGACTTTCATCTTACATTTAATATCTAACTCGACACTCGTTACACAAAACCCAATATTTACTTTTGATAGCTGTTATTTTTATAGGGACTTTATTGAACAGTGGGGGTTCCCAGTGTAATTTGTGTCAGTATTTAGCGTAAACTTGACTGATAAAGTAACCATTATTTTAACTAGTATTTTTTAGGTTGAGCACACTGCACGTGCTGCGTGCACTATTAAACGCCGTCGATATCAGAATGTTCGATAATCGATATATATCAGAAATGTAATATCAAGCAATATTCGATATATTGATTTTTCCCATGTAAAACTTTAAGACCATAAAGATGTTATAAAAAAAGATTAAATTAAATAAATAAATTTCACTTGATATCAAGGAAAACCGAATGAATAATATGCACATTCACGGGTTAGGACGTGATCGATTACACCTGTTATTCGGTAGTCTCCACTAGGGGTTTTAGCAGGGCGGGCATCCGGCAAATCTTTTTTCCCAAATGACATCCGCTTCCAATCTTCTGATTGGTCCATTGCATGCTTATCTAATGCCTTGTTTTCCAGAACACAAACCCAAAATAGGCTTTACGTCTTGTGGGAAATGTTCCTTCCTCACTTTATTTATTTAAAAGGTAAAATGAGAAGAAGTGAAAAATGCTCACTGAGATTTGAACTCGGATCACCTGATTAGAAGTCAGCACTACTTCCAACCAGTCCACGAATCAGCTGCCAATCGTCGGTGATTTAAACATCGTTATTCCTTGTTACAGTCGACTCCCGTTATAAAGAGCTCGGTCATAACGATAACCCTGATGTAACGAGCACATTCTCCCAGTCCCGATCAATTTGTGTACATTACTATGGGGAAATATTTGGTTATTACGTGCACGGACATAACGAGACTTCGGCTATTACGACGATTTTGGCCGACCCAATGCGAGGAAAAGCATTGTTCTCAACCCATTTACAACGACATCTTTTCAAAACTACGGGCATTGCAGCTTGTCAACGACAGACCTTTTGTCCCGAAACGGGTATCATGCTCCCGTCTTCCAATTCAAGCAACACACTTAAGCTTCACCCATCAATGTACCTTTGTAAAGACTTCAACCCAACGTTATTTCATCTCGCCGATCTTTATAAATAAATTCAATGGGACTGTGATAATCGGCGCAGTGGACCGCTGGTCTAGTCGCTAATCCCCCGCTGCGGTTTCCCTTAGCGCGACCAGGTTTGAAGTTTGCTTACGACTGCGGTACCACGTTTCTATATTATTACAAACTAACAATAGGGGGCGCTCAGGAGTTAAGTGTTAACGTTGTAAGGAATAGCCTTTAGTACTACCGCCCGAACATCGGGTGCGTAATTGCTCCCTATTGTTGGCTTGTGGCTATAAAAAAAAATACGAAGTAAAGAACACAGCATCACAAAACAAAAGGCTCTTTTCAGAGCCACCACAACTTCCAAAAAGAGATAATTCAGTCTGTCTTCAAAAAATAAAGTTTAAAACATACCGTGGTTCCCACCCCCAAAAAAGAATAAAAAAATAAAAATCTTAAACAAATTAAGAACCCCTCCGGCCCCGCCGAAAAAACAATCCCAATGAAAACAGGTTTCCAAGATCTTCAAACGCCCCACCACATATACATTGTACAAATTTTAATCCAAAATTATTACTTTTGTTTATTTATTATTATTATCTTAAAAGAATCCCTCCCGACAAACAATAATCACCAATTGCTGCGAAATTACACATGGAGACACTTAAACCCGGAAGTAATATTAGCGCCCTCTCTTGCCCGATTCCAGCAAATGCAAAACGAAAGCAAAATGTCACTTGGCACGAATGTGCGCTATAGTTAACCGAAATAATTACAATTTCAAAGAATCCCTTCAGAAACAATAATACCCAACTGTTCCAAAAAGTCAACAACCAAAAGGCATCTAAGGATCAGGAGTCATTAAAACCCGGAAGTAATGCATGTATTGGCGCCCTCTCTCGCCCGATTCCAGCAAATGCAAAATGAAAGCAAAATGTCACTCGGCACGAGTGCGAGTGACCTACTTGCCTGATTCTTCTCAGCGATGATGCCTTTTCCTCCGGATTCAGGTGCTCAAATATTGAACAATGTTCCCTTAAAGGTATTTTATTTATTTCATTTATTCATCACCATCTGTTAAATATTTAATATACATTGTTAACAGACGTACATACCAACAAATGACCATCTTTTCATGTCTTCGGACGTGCGTTACACGATTAAAACACGCACGCACATGTACCGTACCTTATGCACAACGAATGGGGAAAACTGCGCTCCGGTTTTAGCGAGGTTCCGGCTATAACGACAGTATTGTGAAAGTCCATCGGACCTCGTTATAACGGGAGCCGACTGTATATAACTTTAATATCTCGAAAGCCTTGGAAATCATGAATCTTTTGATATTGTCCGATTTTGTTTGGGAAAATAAAATTTGCGGGCTGCCCTGCTAACATTTTCACCGACCTGCTATTTTTTCATTGGATTGGTTTGGATTTTTTTGATTAATTTCACATCACAAGTTTCTTTCATGTACAAAGTCAATGGGGCAATATGTGAGTGCGGTTGCCGACTGGACTGGATGGCACCTGGCATGTTGTTGCTAGGCATCTGTATAACCATGGTGACAGTGGCTTCGCCGTCCTGTTCACTATTGTTATGTGTCGTATTAAACACGACTAGTGATACACATGTAGGTGAATGAGCGTGAATACAGCCAGATCCTTTGAGGTTTTTTGTTTTACCTGCTACTCATGATACTGAAAAATATCAGCGTAACCAATTGAAAAAAACACAGTGACGCATAGGAGTTCAAATACTTTTTTGAAGCGAAGAGGAAATAACTCAATCTACCTCAGGCCAACTGATCTTGAATAGGCTTTTAGTGCGACTGTAGGCTGGGGGAAAATGGGGAATTCCTTTTTTTTTTCCAATCATCATTCAGGACGCTTAGCCATTGTAAGACTGCCTATTGTCATTACTTGTACAAGGTGAAGCGGTGCTGCACCTGCTGTTAGACCACCTCTGAGTAACATTTGAAAGGAATGATATAACTGCCAAATGGAGTTAAAATAAGTTTTTTTAAATTTCCGTAAAATAAGGAGAAAATCCAGATAATTTTTAACTTGGCAAGGGGGCGGGCAATGTAGGCTTTCATTAGGCTGCAGTATAGACTTGATTACTGGTTTATATTGTCACAGAATATGCCGACATAAAATTAAATATCTTTTAATGTTTCAAAATCACACACAATTTAGTTACACAATATGCTATTTCAATTTAAGAACATATTTGTAAAGCAATTTTCAGAATACATTTTGAAAATGGTACAAAATATCGAGTAATGTAATCATCTTTTCAAACAGGACATTAAATTTTGAGAATCTATCAATAATCATCACTATTATATATAAAAAAAAAGGTGAAGGGCAAAATCTTATTTGATTTATATCCTCCCGAAGCAAAATTCCATCTTATAATAGTTTATGCTGTACCCGCTGCTATGTACATCAGATTCCAACCGGCCAACCGATCCCGTTAGCTCGGTGGTCGAGTGGTAAGACAGCTGCACTAGAAGGCAGGAGGTCGTGGGTTCAAGTCCCACCGGAGTGATTTTTTACAACTTTCACTCGGGAGGTAGCACACTGAGTATACAGTGTATAAAAAAAAAAATTGTAAACGTCAGTGAAGGGCAAAACCTAATTGAATAATATCACCCCGACGCAAAATTCCATCTAATAATAGTTTATGCGGTACCCGCTGCTATGTTATGTATGTGCATGAGATTCGAACCGGCCAACCGATCCCGTTAGCGCGGTGGTCGAGTGCTAAGACAGCTGCACTAGAAGGCAGGAGGTCGTGGGTTCGAGTCCCACCCGAGTGACTTTTTCCAACTTTCACTCGGGAGGTAGCACACTACCGTAAGTATACAGTGTTTACAAAAAAATGTCGGTGAAGGGCAAAACCTAATTTGAATAATCATCACCCTGCCAGTATTTCTTTTTGAAACCTCAACTACGTTATTCTGTCTCTTTACTTGAATACCTTTGTTTGTTTTTCAGGTTTTTTTTCCTTGCCAAAAGTATAATTTTACTTTGAATGTCATTGGATAACATAATGGAGACAAACATGTTAAGGAATTTCAGATTTTTTTTTTCAGACTTACTTTCTGCAAACATTTACTAACTTCAAATGTAAAGACAAATGGCAGTGTTAAAAGCTTTTGAGGGGATTTTGAGTTCACGTAAATCATGATACTTGGAAACCATAACAATTTATTATTAGGGTGTTGTTTATACACATGTATCATGTATGTCTTTTTTTTTCTTCAAGGGTAGTCAGGTGAAGGGCTCAAATTGCTTATACAGAGGTGTATTTTATTGTGACCATAAACCAGAAACAAATTCATGCAGGTGCAATAAAAAGCCAACCAAAACCACCTGGTGCTGTTGTGTTTTCAAACATGGCATGTGTTACGTTTTCAAACATGGCATGTTTGAAAGCATTTCTGGAATTAAATTATGATGGAAAAGAACTGTTTATTTAGGTTAATAATATTACAAAGTAAGAAAGCAGGGGAAACTTTAAGGTGTGCTACCGGTACATGGAACAGACAACACTCTGCTCCATCCAGTCAAACATTATTTTCACAAGAAAATCTGACATATTTCGCACCACTAGTCGTCCTGCTTTCCATATTCTTAAAAAAACATTGATCTACCAAGTTTTCTTTGCTTTATGTGAACAAAAGTAAGAGAACATGATTCATTATTTGTTGAGACAACAAACATATTGTCTGTTTTACCTAAAATCACTGGCCTCAAACTTTGGTTCTCATTACGTCAGAACAAGTACGTCATCTAGGCATAATCAAAGTTGTGAAAATGCTCAACCAGTGACCGATGCCCAAAGCCTGAACAGTTTTCTTGTTAGGTTGGCGTAAAACACCCCAGGACTCCCTCCATGTGTTTCGTCTCATGTACAAAATTACACATCAAGTATTCCGTTGTACAATTTCTCCTTTCCTTGAAAATTGAAGAGAAGTCTGCGTTTTTTCCCAAGTTAGTCAATGTGTAACATTTGATGAAAGTGCCAATTTGCGGGGTTTTTATCTCCAACTTTCCACTTTCATCTTTAATCTTAAAAGGGCCGGGGGGGGGGGGCGGAATCCGTTTTTCCGCGATAGTCGTGAAAATATTATTCATGACCCGAGCTGTTATGACTTTTTAGCCTCGAGCTTTGCACATCTTTTAATACCCAAAAAAATGTCCGTGCCACTCGCTCTGAAAACTCCCATATACTTCGTGTACACAGATCTGAATTACCATTCGTACATATGAATAATTAATTAACCATAATTCCAAAACCCTTTGACCTATAGTCGTGACATTTCTTGGGTATGTTCATGAAAAGTTGCTCTATGCATGTACCCAGTTTCATTACTTTCATTTATTACAATTTACTTTGCGTACAGCAACACCTGTTTAATTAAAACCTCTTTAAAAAAAAATCTTTTAATTATTCAAACTCAAACATAGTCCAGATGTACTAATGCCCATCAGTTTAATTTTGCAGCATTTGAATAGCATTTTGACCATGTTTACAGTGTAGAAATCGAATACATATTTTGCAAAAGTGTACAAAAATTGTAAGCAATTTTTTGAATATCTCTCTGAATAGTGCATCAAAAGGACAAGATTCAATCAACAACCAATACCTTGGAAATGTTTCAGATAAATGATACACTTATCTTATCATGACTTTTATTTAAACCCCTTCCAATATTAAAAACAACATGCTTTATGATGTCCTGCCCCACTTGGCTTCCCGGATTCTTATGGAATTATTCTGACATCATTTTCATAGCAGTTTGAAGTTCATTCACAGGAGTATCCTTGAGAGATGGGGTTTTCCAAGAGGCTGGAGATGTAATTTTGCACCCAAAAAATCATAGAATTGCTTTATTAAGTACATTTGTAAGAGCTGGGGAAATCCCGTCTGTTCACCTGTAGTTGAAGGGAGGCTTTATATTGATCTGGACAACAATTTATTTATCCAATTTATTGTACATACCGGTACCAATTGTTATTGATGTGTGTGTGCAGTAGCTGTATATTTTGACAACACTGTTGTGCCACCTATGAGCCAAAATCATTGTGTGAAGATAATACACATTTCGTTTGTTTTTCTTTGCTTTAATACTTGTTCTCAAGACATCATTCTCATATTCGTTGTAAGAGCACACAGTTTGAATTCTGCACTGTTTCTTCACATTCAGAATCTAATACATGTACGCCGCTGTTAATTGTTGCAGGGCGGGAACTCACAAAGTACCAGAAAAATGCTGCTTCATGATCATCAAGGCCCATTTTTGTTTTACATTCTACATGTAAATAGCTGAACACATAGTTAGCCTATAATTTGTCCTGATGATTGTTTAACACTGGATAATTTTGGGTTTACATATTGGTAATCTGAAAAATAGAAGTATGTACATCAAGATACCAAAATAATAGTTTTTGTAAAGGTCGCACTTATCTTCTTATTGTATTGTATTCAAATTGTTGATCTGTTTCAACACAATCATTTTTAAATCAATTTGTTCTGATACTTTATGAGGTTTGTATAATTAAGTGGCTATTTACATGTCAGACTTAATGCGAAATTTTGCATTGTACTTTACAATATAACATTGTTTGGAAGTTATATTGTTCATTTTTGTTTCCCTTAAAAAAAGGAGAGAGATGGGGTTTTCCAAGAGGCTGGAGATGTAATTTTGCACCCAAAAAATCATAGAATTGCTTTATTAAGTACATTTGTAAGAACTGGGGGAATCCCGTCTGTTCACCTGTAGTTGAAGGGAGGCTTTCTATTGATCTGGACAACAAACATCCTTTTGTGTCCACTAAATTGGGTTGTTGTGCTGTAAAACAAAAGTAAGATTACATTTACTTGCAGTTAAAATGATGAAATTGGCACGGTAGTGTCAGTGCCAAATAATTGTGGCTTGACCCCAATAGCAGCGTATCCCTCATTATTTTTATTAAATACCCACATATCAGAAATCTTTTTAAATCTGCTTCTATAGTAGTTTTCTTCCTCGAAATTATTCATCTTTAACGAGAACATATTGCAATGATTTCCAAACGATTATACAAATTAACTCACATTTAATGAGATAAGATGACCCTCAGACTGTTAAGATGAGTTCAGCGGCATTGCTAAGGAAGTGAGGATGTGTTGAACACATCTTACAGTTTCGTTAGATCCTGAGTGGATTTATGCTAATTTCAAGCATTCATAGCAGAGATGACATTTTTTTAACTATAAGTGAAATTCCAGCTTTTTCATGGGCTTTTTGGTGGGGGTAGGATTCCTGTATCTTTTTTTCGCATGAAAGAAAAAAAAATTAAAATAATTGAAAAATTAAAAATGGCAACATGTCTGTTTTCAGCCACAAAAAAAAATTGTTACACGTTTTTTATTGTCAAAAGGTTTGATAGTCTGAAGGTTTCTTGATCTTAAGGTTCAATAGTCTGAATGCACACATTTCCCATAAGAGGGGCTTTGTTAGTCCAAGAATTCTGCCCCCCCCCCCCCCCGATCTTGGCCATTGAGTGACGAAAAAGTTTGAAACTCGGTACATACATAGAGCAACTCTTCATGAACATACCCAAGAAATTTCATGACTATAGGTCAAAGGGTTTTGGAAATATGGCTAATTAATTATTCATATATACGAATGGTAATTCTGCTCTGTGTACACGACGTATATGAAAAAATTCAGCTTTCACGGCGCATAGCGCCGGAAACTTTTTCACTGCGCGGCAATTTTTATATTTTTGGTATCAAAAGATGGGCAAGGCTCAAGGCTAAAAAGTTTTAACAGCTCGGGTCGCGGAAATTTTTTTTTTCAAGGCTATCGCAGAAAAAGTCGAGGGGGGCGGATTTGCCCCCCCCCCCCCCCCGGCCCTTTTAGGGTTAAGGAGTGCTACATGGACCAGACAACACTCGATCTGTTACATCCAGTCAAACATTATTTTCACAGCAAAAATCTGACATATTTCGCACCACTAGTCATCCTGCTTTCCATATTCTTAAAAAAAAATTGAGCTACCAAGTTTTCTTGGCTTTATGTGAACAAAAGTAAGAGAATATGATTCATTATTTGTTGAGACAACAAACATATTGTCTGCTTAATCTAACATCACAGGCCACAAACTTTGGTTCTCATGTCAGAACAATTACGTCATTTTGGCATAATTGAGGTTGTGAGAATGCTCAACCAATGACTGATGCCCAAAGCCCAAACAGTTTTCTTGTTACATTCGCAAAAAAAAACCCCAGGACTCCCTCCATGTGTTTCGCCTCATGTACGAAATTACACATCAAGTATTCCATTGTACAATTTCTCCTTTCCTTGAAAATTGAAGAGAAGTCTGCGTTTTTTCCCAAGTTAGTCCATATGTAACATTTGATGCGACTGCCAATTGCATTTTTTTTATATCTCCAACTTTCCACTTTCATCTTTAAAATATCTCTTTGCTTGTATCAGGTCATAACAATGTTGTCCTAAAAATATATTACAATTTACTTTGCGTACAGCAACACCTGTTTAATTCTCAACAAAGTCTTTTTAATTATTCGAAATAAAACGTAGTCCAGATGCACAAAGACCTATCAGTTTAATTTTGCAACATTTAAACAGCATTTTTAAAAAACGTAAAAACTGAATACATATTTTGCAAAATTGTACAAAAATATTAAGCAATTTCTGCTTATCTCTGTGAATAGTACATCAAAATTACAAGATTCAATCAACAACCAATTCCATGGAAATGTTTCAGATAAATGAAAAGTTTTGAATGAATACTACAAATGCATTAATGTTATTGATGCCTGCTTTAGTTAACCTTCTTGCAGTTTATTGTTTCCTAGTCTAAATTCCTCAATATTTTAATGAACTTTGATTGTTTTTACATGTAGGTTGTACGAGATAAGAGAGTCAAAATTCTGTACATGATTTTTAGCTGTTTTCTAAGAACCAATCACACATTTAAGATTAAAATAGTAACAAATGGCAGTGTTATGCATTTTCAAAATATTCCAAATTAATCAATACATTATTATATATAAGTATACTGTATTTCTTTCTCAAATTTAGACTGAGTAGTTTCAAATGTAAACTTAAAATATAAACATTAACGGCAGTGTTACAAATTTTCAAAATATTTGAATAAAATAACTCAAGTTTAGAATGATGCATTCACCCTGGATGTGGACCGGTATCTATTTACTAAACTATTTACATGTAAATTTGCAACAGAGCAGAGTTATTCATAAATCTACATTCAATTCTTTCTTGGCACTTCACTTGGAATTGGAAGAGTTTTCCTTAATCGTGGCAGTTAGTTTAAAAAGTAACTGAATATGCTCAGCATGCTTGTAATTAATGCAGTTCGCTATCAGCAGCTACATGTACTCTTACCATGGTTGCTAGTCCAACATAATTGTCAAATTGTCATATCCTAATGGTTTAGCTCCCAAGCTTTTACCTGGTTGACTCCATGTGCTGTCCTTTCAGTCTTTATCTGATTATCAAATGCATCATTATTGCCAATTAATATCAATCAATTTTATTTTGGTTTTTGACTGTTGGGTTTGTTTTGGGTTGTTTGTTTGTTTTGGTTTCTTTTTGTTGTTGCTTCGTTGGCATTTCAGGAACATGAAGTAAAGGGGTTTTTGCTTGTAGCTTTCTTAAAAGGATTTGTGCTTTCACTCATATTCAAATGCTGCAGGCTGTGTTCTGGAGTCTGGACTAGCATCTGGGTCTGGGTAGGGATTGTTGACTGAAACATTTGGCAGTGGGGAATGTAATGTGTGACATCTTGTGGAGCTGCTTGAACGCTTTGTAGTGGTTCTCTGGGTGGCATGGGGGAAAGCTGATGCACAGGCTGAGACATGGGAGGGGTTGCGTTTCTTGAAGCATTGGTGCACGTTGCACGTGGGACATATTGTCCTGGGCTGGGATAAGCTTGATTGTTGTGTGTGAGATCTCTCAAGAAAGGATTTGTAGTGGGCCATTCTTGTTCCAGGGGAGGCAAGTCATCCTCTTTTGATAAGCCCGGTGGTGGTGAGCAATGAGGTGCATTCAAGTCTCCTATGCTCATGTAGAATGGATCATCTGAGTTGGTGGATACAGCCTGAAAGATTGGATCTTGCCTCAACTGGGTCATCTCAGTGACTACATCAAGATCAGCTTGAGAACCAAAAGCTGAGTCGTTTGCTGGGGTGCGAGGTTGGACAACCTCATTAGCCCCATCATTTTGACTGAATCTATTGACTGTAATGTGCATCATTGGTACACTCTGCTCTTGTTGTGGAGCTTTCTGCTGGTCTGGTATAATGTTTCGATTCTGTTGTTGGTTTCTCCGGGTAAGCATGCCAAGACACTTGTTTAAAAGAATCAGAAAAAATATAATAATCAGAAGAGCGCCAGTCCCAACTGTGACATACATGATTATGCTATGAGGTTTGGAGTGACCATCCCATGTCTTCTTTTGTTTTGTATGATTGGTGAACGTCACCGTCTTGGATACTGGTTCCATCGTTCCCATGTTGACTACATGCATCAGTGTACTTGCTACATGTAGTTTCTTAGAAGGTGAGTTTTCGGTAGTGGACAATGATGGTGTGAAATTGGACCTTGGGCACAAGGAATACTTTGAGATGTTGTGAAGTTGTAGACCGTGCAAATGCTGTGGGGCATGGCATGTCACATCTACTCTGTTGGCAGCTTCATCTGATCTGTGACTTTGAAGCCACACACGTACTGAGTTAATGGAGCACATGCAGATAATGTTGTGGTTCTCTCCTAAGTACAAGTGGTCCAGTCCATTGATCTTGTCTGCTAGGTCAGTGATGTCTTGTAGGTCATTGTTGAAGAGATCCAGTGTCTTGAGATTGGGCAATGATGGGAAGCCAGTTATTGAAACAATGTCATTTCTAGACAGGATGAGTTTCTTCAAATTCACTAAGCCATCGAAAAGGGATCCTTGGAGTGATTGAAGGTTGTTGTTTTCCAAACTCAAAAACTTGAGCTGGCCCAAGTCATCGAAGATTCCAAGTGGGAGGGACTGAAGGTCATTGTCACTGATGTCAAGGTACTGTAGGTTATCTAAACCATGGAAGGCAGCAGTGAGTAACCGCAAAATCTTGTTAGCATTCAGGAAGAGTCCATTGAGATTTGATGCTCCTTCAAATGTGCCTTCGCCCACCTCCGTCAAAAGGTTCTCCTGCAGGTACACTTTCTTGAGTGAGACACACCCCTCAAATGCTCCTGCTGCAATATTAGAGATCTTGTTATGTGCCAAGTCTAGGTACACCAGGTGTCTGTATCTCATGAAGCTGTCAGGTCTCAGATACTTGAGATTGTTTTCCCGGAGGTCCATCATCTCGATGAAGGGACTGCATCCAAGAGGCACATTGGTCAGTGCTTGGTTAACGCAGTTAGCATCCAGACCACCACAGGTGGTGTTGCAGCTAGCATCTTGGGATGCCGGTGCTGCACTGGAGGTGATGACTTGAGAGCTAAGAATAAGAATGATGAGATGCCCAAGTACCATGCTGTCGGCTAGATCGATGTTATTAACCCCTGTAAAGTAAACAGATGAAACAGTAATTAGAATCATGGTCATTTTTTCTTGGCAAAGTATATTATGTTCAGCTTCAGCTTAACTTTGCTTTGTCTATTTAAGATGCTCATCTCAGCTCTAGCCTGACTGCTTTGAACTAACTACTCTGCCTCCGCCTTCACGTCTGACCCCTGTCTTTGCATCTTCCCATGTTATTCCAAAGCTATGAGTTGTTGAAATCAGTACCGATACATAGAAATGTAAGCCTCCTAAATTCTCGATTGTACATACATTGAAAATGTATATGCTCACTAAAATTGCAGCCTAATTCCAGGTGCCAAACAAAAATGAGAAACTCTCCCGGTCTGCCAAATCTGAAATGCTTTCCATGGACCTGACGCGAGAGACTTTCCTTTTATGGTAAAAGGATTCACTAAAGACCCATGGTGGCAGTTGGGTTTTTCCCACAAAGCTACCTTGAGAAACGTGGTGTGACGTGCTTTTGATATAGGTACAGGTATTGTTGTTGTGCAGTGTACCCTATTGATCACGGTGAGTACCTGTACTAGAAATCTGCCTAAATGGTTGCGTGACAGGTGAAGTGCAGTTTACAAAACACTCCCAGTTTGAGTACCCAGCCTGGGTCACTGTTTGATGCCTAGAAAACCAGGGCAGTTGCTGGTCTTGATTAAAGTCTATTGATATCCCACAATTTTTTTTCTTCTGCTTTTTGTAAAGATTGTTCCCCCTTTGAACTCTTAAGATAAAATTAATGCATTGTTTGCAATGCGCACTTTTCTCTGGCTTTTTATGACATTGAGCACTAAGGCCAAGAAAAAAGGGTGGATCAGGCCCCCCCCCCCCCCCCCCCCCCCCCGAAGCTCTGTCAAAACAAAAATGTACTGGTAATAATGTCCGCTTGTGCATACAATACGGACAGAGCCAGCTTGGTTAGAGGGTATTTGTACACTGTTCTGTAATATAGCGTTAATAGTAATCAGCGCCCCCTTTGGTACGAGCTCCCACCCCAACCCCATCCCCCTTTTGATGTTACAAAACCATGTGTCCGAACATAACCAAAAAAAACTGTCTACATTTCAGCGATGATTTTCTGATGAAACACCACCCTCCCCCGCAAAAAATCCTGGATCCCCCCTGCACTTGTCCATCACAATTCACCATGACTCAAGTCAATCCAGACCCAAGTCAAGTCAAAAGCTATTCAAACGAACTGTGACAAAGATATTCTTCTTATTGTTCATTGATTGTTACTTGTGACCTGATTGTGATTTACGTCTATTTATGACCATACTTATGATGGACTTGACTTTGACCATGGAGATCAAATTAGACCATACCGGTATCACTGTTCAGGTTATCGTAAGAAATAAGACAAAGTTCAACAATGCCAAATTTAGGTGAGTTCTACGAAGGCTTTTGAGGTTTTTCTTTCTTTTTTTGCTTAGTATTTACAAACTTTGAATTGCTCTTCAGTGTGATTTGCATACAATGTAGCCTGTGTTGAGAGAACTTCATGTTTGCCTGGAGCTTGCAAAGCTGTGATGTTTACAAAAATGGAGTATTAAAAGAAATCCAGGATTTAACCTTCATACACAATACTGTCTGGGTACACACAATACTGTCTGGGTACACACAATACTGTCTGGGTGCACACAATCAGGAGTTTTATTTTGAAAAATTCCCCATTTTCCCCCGTTCCATCTGAACACTCAACAGACAAGGAAACTACTAGTCATGGAAAACTGTGTTAATTAAATGGGAAAGATTGTTTAGTGTACATGTATTAAGTTGAACATTTTACTTCAGGGACATGCACATTGCAACAACTTTCTATTTCCACTTGTTCTACATTGTACATCTGTACCGGTACATGTACATGTAAAATAAGTGTGGAAGGATTCTCTCTCCAAACATTTTTTTTATCTTGTTCACTAAACAAAAGTTTTTGAATAACATGTACGTGTACAAAATATCCTGCAGTTCCCTTTAAAGATTGAAACCAAAACAACTGGTAACAATGCCTAATGAGACAACCAGGAAACCTTCCTGGTTTGTGTGTAAATATATACAGTGAGTTCAATACTTAAGCATGTTTATACTTGGTTCATTGAATTTACTGCTATACTGAAAAGGAAGTGAAACTATTTGAATTTGTGTGATAATTTCATCATTTCAGATATATATGAGCAATATGTAAAACTTTAAGCAAAGACAAAATTTATTTGTGGATTTTAAATTGGTATATTCAGATGCTCAATTGCAAATGAAGTTGATTACTATGATTAGACCGGTTACACCTCTATGTTCCGACACCCCTATGTTCCGACTGCACATATTCCTATTCCTAACCCTAACCCTAACCGGGAGTAACACAATCTAGGTTGTTGGAACATACATGTAGGGGTGTCGGAACATAGAGCAGTCACCGGTTAGACCATGGTTAATCCATTATTCCAATTTTGCAATTACATACATGACTTGAAATGATATCATTTCAACCCAGCATTTATATTATTTTTTCAAGGCATCTGTAATGTTTGCACAAGCAGCACTGTCAAAATATAAATTCTAATTTTCTCACACTAGTTCAGGAGGAATGATTTCAGAGAATAACATTCTGAAGGTTAGCGATGAAAGAACATTGTATTGTTGCATGGGAAGTTGCAATCTTTTAAAAATCCCCCAACATGCAATACATGTGGGTCATTCCATGAAGTTGGGTACACAATCAATGCATCAGTGACAGTGGTCCAGTGAAAACAAAGTGCTGTTATTTTTTTTTTTGACAAATTAATCACATTTTTTATCGATCCCGATTTATTGAGGATGAATGGGCGAACAAGAAAAAAAAAATTTTTGGGACCTCCAATTGGTCGAAACCCAAACTACGTCACCAAAATATCATGGTATCCATGTTTATTTTAAGAATATTTTGTGACATGAAACATACTCGGTCTTCAATGTACGATTCTGTGTTCCCAAGAGTATATTTTAAATAATGTTTTGCAAATAAAGTTGAACCAATAGACCGTTTACGATTCCCTGATTGTTATTTATTCCATGCGTCTTGCATTTCTGAAGTATCGATCACGGAAGTCTCAGCGCCCATCGTAACATTTCGTGTCAGCAATGTTGCGAGGTGAAACCGAAATTTACCGACATATTGTAAAATGTCAGAGTCATTTAGAAGACCCAAATAACGATTTCCACGAGAAACAGTAGCATTCCATTCGTATCCAACCAGAAATCATGAAAAAAACTACACGATTTTTAAAAAACAACCGTGGTTACTCACTGGTAGTTGACTTCGCATCCACTAAAAAACGTGACGACGTGATAATTAAATGCGATCGCGCGTGCGCCCTCTATAGATTTTCTGGATGAACGTCTTGCGATCAAAGTACCCGGATGCAACCCTTGCTTTGTTGCAAGAAGAAACCCGCGTGCTTTCGGCAACTTTTCCATCGTGGGTGCCAATAGTTTTGGTGTCATTTTTTTACGGTGTGATGTCAGTTACGAGGTATACCACATTCGGGGAGGACAAACAAGGGTTAGATTACAGATTTATCAACACGGTGCCTGGTAATCCCGAAGAACTACTCCCTGTGTATGCTGAAACATGAATAACATCTCAAACAATTGTTGCAGTATAGTTGACACGCTAAAACCTGCACTTCAGCTACGGAATGGATACGAAACAAAATGGTAACCGCGTGACGACGTGATATTCCATTTCCGTGATTTGGCATAAAACATGTTCATGCACGGTCAAACGGCCTCCAAATTACTAGATATGCCACCTGAAGTACAAGTAGACATCGATGATTAAGATGATTGTACTTAAGTTTACTTACGATCCGGAAGAAAAGTGAAATTTTCCGTTCATTTCGGAGAGCTCCCCTCGCGATCTTGAACACGTTAAATTTCCGATCGTGTTTAATGTTTGAACGACGCGATTTCTTCTACATGCCCAGCGTACATTCGATGGTCCCCGTATCCCGAGTGCGATTCCGTTACCGAGCGCGCGCGATGCATCGATTATGATAATGAGTAGACTGGATCACGTTTGTAAACACATGTGCATTTCAAACGATAATAGGGAGTCGGGAACTAGCGCAGCTTTTATGGCGGGTACCAGTTCAAGCTGGTTCCCGATTCCCTTTTACAGTTCAAAATGCACATGTATGTGTTTACAAACGTGACTCATTATCATAATCGTGCATCGCGCGCGCTCGGTAACGGAATCGCACACGGGATACGGGGACCATTGAATGTACACTGGGCATGTAGAAGAAATCGCGTCGTTCAAACATTAAACACGATCGGAAATTTAACGTGTTCAAGATCGCGAGGGGAGCTCTCCGAAATGAACGGAAAATTTCACTTTTCTTCCGGATCGTAAGTAAACTTAAGTACAACCATCTTAATCATCGATGTCTACTTGTACTTCAGGTGGCATATCTAGTAATTTGGAGGCCGTTTTGAAGGTGAAATCTGATGTTTTTTGTTGGAAAATGTTGGTTTGGGACAGTGACAGGATGATGTTGTCCAGGTCGCGGTATTAGCTTGGACCCCACTATCGCCAGACCATGTCCAAAATGTTAAAAAAGGCGATAAGTTGGGTCCAAGTTACTCGGACTAGAAGAGGCTAAGCTTTCACAAATGACGCTAAATATGTGTCCCGAAACCCTAACTGACATTGCACATCGTAATGGAAATATCACGACGTGGTTTCCATGCGACGGTGTGGTACGATTTTGTGTTTTGGCCTGTGCTTTTGCCTGCGTTGGATGGTCAACGTCTGATCTATTAAAAATGGGGTCCTTTTCATTTATCTGTTTGAAGGGGGTTCGAAAGTTGGTGATTTTTACTGAAGTTAGTCTAAAATAAGAGGGGAAGTGTCAACATTGATTGGTCACAGGCCAGGATACCGCCAGACCATTCCATTCTCATAATGGGGGTGGAGCATCATGTGATTTTCTTTTTCTGGTTTGAATTAAGATATTTCAACATTTTTTTCAAACAAAAGAAACAAAACACATAAGAATGAATAGTACAAAACTAAAAAAAAATCTTCCCCTAAGAAATAAATTCATAATTTGCATTGATTTAGGCTTCAGCATGTTCAGTAAATTCATCCATTTGGGAATGGTTAATCCAAGGAACAATGCATCCAACAACACTGTTATGTAATGGGTACTAGAGGGTGGGAATGGAGTGGGGAAGGGGAGGGTAGAGTGGGGAGGGGGGGGGGGTTGGGGTAGGGGAGGGTAGGGACGGGATACGGGAAGGATGGGGACGGCAAAATGGTTTAGGCATCACATCTTGAGATGTAATCAGAACGTTCGATAATTTGGCATCCATGTTACATGTGAAACCCAACCCTGTCCAATAATGGGAGTCTCGAAGCTAAACTCTCTCACATCTTTAGCGGATGTTTCAAATTTGTTCATTTTTAAT